TTTCCTTCCATTTAACTATATTATTTCTACACTGTTCAGGACTTAATTAGGGCTTTATAGGCCTATTATAAACGCCTATAATAAACACAAGGCCCATTATAGGCCCTAGACTCGGGCCCAAAGCCCAACCCACCGTGGGCTTGGGCTGGGGATGGGCCGTTAAGAAGCCTAATCCTTGCTAAGAGTTATCTTTACTAATACAGCTATAGATAAAATAGACAAACAATAGCGAGTATAGCTAAACAGGCAATTTGGGGACTACCGGCATCTGAAAACTGGCTAAGGGGACCAAGCGTTGCTCATATATGGTCCGAATTTAAAATTGTATATTGTTTATAGGTAAGGTCTGGCACGAGAAGGGGAATGTTTATAATTCGGGCAGGCGTTGAGAGCTCACGTCGTCCTACTATAGCATCCGTCAAGGTAGTTTGGATACGCCTATCTCATCTGACGAGGATCATATCGATGTCTACGAACGTACTTGAGCAATTCTGTAGTACACTGGCGCTATCCTGTAGGCCCTGCTACAAGGATGATTCTCGGCCCCAGCGGACCTTTTCCTCTTTAGTTCGCACAACCAAGAGGGATACGTGGACTTATACTTCGACTATTACGAGTCCCAGAAAACATAGCAACATAAATGCTCGAGTAGGGCTACCTTCATTGTTAAATCCTATGGCTCCCACATTGGGAGTCGGCACAGAATTTGACGTATTCTCGGGCTGAGGACAACCTACAATAGATACCTACTGAACGCACGCCTTCTACGGTAATCTGGAGCTACTTTCCTAGAAACGATACCTAGCCGACCGGGCCATTACCAAGGTGACCATCAACCACCACTGGACCTGTATCGTAGACGAATTCTGCGTCAGCAACTCGGGTTGAAAGCGATGAGCAGCCGTAGCTGACGAATGACGTACCGAACTTGGGATGAACCAGATAGCCCTCTTTAGTCAGGTCCCTCGAGTTGGGCTTGACCCACTCCATCAGGCGATCCCAATTAACGCATTCGTGAGAAGCGGTCAGGTTGCCAATGGGGCGGAGGCGATAGTCCGCCCACATCATGGTGAGAACCGTAGTGTCACCCTGGCACATCACGGCTTCCTTCAGCATGTGGAGGCAGTGAGCTGTTAGTGTAGGCTGGTTCAGCAATGTCTTCTTCAACTGTGGCAGAAAGATATTCGAGCCTTACTAGTGTGATCCCTCCATGAGGCTTGCTCCTCGCCCGTCAAGTTGGCAAGCCCGTAGTATTCGGGGTTGAGCGCATGATAGAGATTTTTCTGCTCGGGTTAGCAATGCAACGGGTCATGATAGATAGAGCCCAGTCTCAAAGAAGACAAAAAGGACCTACAAGACAGTGGAGGTGGTGGAAGACCATGATGGATCCATAGTAGGTGCCGTCAGGAAGCTGGATCCCCTCCCAATCACGATCCATTTCTTTCATCAATTTAGGGTCTACCCCGATGTTTTGATCTGGAGTAGGATCATGTCAGCAACTAGATATTTGTCTGACAGCTTTTTAGAATAACTCACACTTGAAAAGGTCGTGCCATCCCTTGTCGATTTTCTCACTGGGCTCACCAAAGTATGTGACGGGCTCGCCGTGTCGGTCCTCCCATTGCTCCATCACCCGGGGCTCATATACGATGTATTCCGGATCGACTGGTGTTTTTAAGAATCTCTGCCCAATCTTCCGGTGGCTTTTGGCGGCATTGTACGTAAGGCTAACAATGAGCAACGAATAAGCAGCCAGAAATACACCGGAGATGAGAGCAAGCTTCAGGTAGGACTTCCACCGATGAGATCGGCGCGCCTTCTGATGGGATGGAAGGTTTTCATCATGGTCTGATCCGATGGACTCTGTGCTATCATGCTGTGACAAAGCATCATACTCGGATGACCGTTTGATGAAGTTCAGCGATTTTTCCATCGCGGCAGGTAGGAGGTGTGCAATGGGATTTGGGATTTGGGACTTGGGATTTGGGGCAAGTCTAAGGTAGGCGAAGATATGAGCTTGTAATAAGACAACAGAATGGAGGCCACCACAGGAGGGCACTCACAATGAGTGCAGATCAGGGAAGATGTGATCCATGTAAGCAAACACGCCATTGCTGCGCAAGGGTGCGTTGGGTCTTGTTTGTGTCAGCCCCCATGCTTGCAAAGCTGATACACCCGCACGATAGATCGCCAATTACAACTAACTGAGAAGAATGTGTTGATCACTGATCGTCATATACCAGGGATAAATGCGGTCAGCGTTACATTGTACCAAAATCAGGATAATGGTTCATGGTCTGTCAATGGTCACAACCATGCGAGGGGGTTTGTATTTTCCTGTTTCAACTCTCTTGACGCGTCATTCAAAGCTGACGTGCTCGGTCAGGCGGCGTCTAGAGAACTCGAAAGCTGGAGATAAATATCGGTTGGTTCTCTCAGGAAGAATCTCTCATAGGCCTTCTACCACTGCCTCTCCCCCGCCAGTAACCGACATCCATCATGAAGCTTCTGCCACTTGCTTTCGTCGCTTTGCTTGGTGCCTTGGCTAATGCTAGCCCAGTTGAGCCAGGATGTGAGTTTCCGTAGTTCCTTTGTCTTGTGTGAAATATCTAACCTTTGTAGCACAAAGTAAAGGTATTCGGGCTCCAATCGACGCCGATGAGCTGTATGACAAGCCCGTGAAGACGCTTGACGCCGATGAGCTGTACGACAAGCCTGTCAAGAGGCTTGACGCCGATGAGCTCTACGACAAGCCCGTCAAGAGGCTTGACGCCGATGAGCTATATGACAAGCCTGTGAAGAGCTTGACGCCGATGAGCTATATGACAAGCCCGTCAAGAGGCTTGACGCCGACGAGCTCTACGACAAGCCAGTTAAACGGGCACTGAAGGTTTGATCAGGGGTCATATTGATGCTGAGGCACTTCTCCGCATCATGTTTCAGCTCTTGCAATGTCCTTTCGTAAACAGAGAATAGTCAGAAAGCCAGAGGATTCAGTACAGTCAAGGTGCTTCGGTCGCATGAGGCATGGGCCTTTTTCCATACCTAATAAATGAAGGAGATCCTCTCGTTCAAATTTTCAAATGCCTCGAAATGTCTTTAAGTAAAACGTAGCCGTTCAAGTAAGAGACAAATCTATTTTATTTTTATTTTAATTTTTTTTCGCAATTCTCGGCCTCGTAAGAGTAAAGAAGCATAAGAAGGAAAGGAAGGATGGTTGTGGTACCAGCAGGGATTAAATTCGTCACCGCATCAAGTCTGCCGTCTCTTTGTTTCTCCCCCTTCCCCCAAGCGATTCTCCCTTCTGCAACCTCTGAATCTCAATACCCATCCGTACTGGCCAGCCAGTCCATGACCCCTCCTTCCGCCTCTTGATCCGAATTTCAAATGGCTACCTCCGCGGAGTTCCTCGTACGAGATGCCGGGACCGTGGACGGCGACGACCAGTTCGTGGTCGCAGCCTTCGACGCAGCCATCCCGTATTTAACGTCGATCGGAAGTCATGAGCAGTGGGGGACGACACCCTTTTCGCACCGCGAAGGCTGGGTGGACGAAACTGTACAGCAGATAAAAGATTCCAAGAGTGCTACCCCCCAGAGCGACGCAAATAAGAACGGCGTGTTACGGATCTTCATCGTCGAGAAAGAGTGCCACGCAGACGATCCAGAGAGGGTCGATACTCACCCGGCGCATTATCGAGTCTCGTCCGACCGTCGAAGATACCTCTCCCTTGGCTTTGCGTTCGTGCGGGAAAACTGGATCCCGGGCTATATTGAGTCGCAGAAACATCTCCAGGTACCGGACTCAGAACGGGAGAGCAACATTTATCTCGAAGTGATGGTTACGGATTCTCGGGTCGGTTCGTTGCGCCGTGGAGCGGGAAGTGCTTTGATCCAGGGGATTCGAGACTATGGCCACCAGACGCAGAAGAAGGCTTTCTGGTTGGATGGATGGGCGGGGAATGATAAGAAGCTCATTCGGTCAGTACATCTAGCCTGATTTACTCTTCTCCGCTGGCTACAATCTAACGTTCATTGGAAACACGGCAGTTACTATGAGCAACAAGGCTTCCAGGTGGTCGGGGACTTTAGTCTGCCAAGAGCCAATACGGCGCCATGGGTAGGAACGCTGATGCGGATGGATATTTGAACCTGTTTTATGTATTCAGCCCGGTATCATCTCGGAGAAATTAAATGCGTTTCGGCAACTATATACTTGCAGTCTTGCAACCACAGAAGGATTAAACCCCCCACTCCTTTCTCAGCTGCTGTTTCCATACCTCAAAGTCGACCTCCTCCCCATCCACCAGCATCTTCCCCGCGGGGACATTCCGAGGTCGCGGGGGAACATAGATAAAATCCTTGATATGTTTCGGATTGCAGATTCGGATGCCCATGGTCCCCTCCGCAAGCTGTTGGACGCAGGGTGGACAGAATCCGGTGTCGAGACAGATGGGACACTGATAATAATCGTCCAGCGAAGGAAGCTCTTTGCGACATGGGCCGTCACAGGTGAGCCAGAGGACGTCCCCAGCGCCAGGACTCTCATTGTCCATTGCTTCCTGTGGATCACCGACCTGGTATTTCCCTAGGACCTCATGATAGGCAACGGCCGTCACGTTTTTGACATCACCCGCCGCCACCAGGGCGTTGAGGAGGTCAAGAAACCCTAACACGTCGTTCTCAGGATCATCATCAGAGAGAATCGCAATTCCCCGTTGGATGGATGGCTTGAAGAGAGCCCGAGCGTCCGCCTCACGCCCGCTCAAGCGGTAGTAGATGCCTAAGCAAATCGCGCGCATACTGGAGACCGTCCACAGCGCCGACTCATCATTGAGCTTCACATGTCTTCCAAGCTTCTCGAGCTTGGCTCCCGCTTCTTCCGCTTGCGCCGTTCCGACTCCGGCCTCGACAGCGTCACAGAGAAACTGTTTGGCCAATGCGACGGAGGCCTTCAGCTTCGCAAAGCCAATCACGGTTTCGTCCTTTGACGAGGCATACGTGTTCATGATCCTCTCCCAGCGCTTGACAGCCTTGGCCTGATCATGGAGGAATTCGCTGTAGATCCGAGCCAGGGACATGTCGAGCTGGGCGGCGGTGACCGTCTTAGACGCCTTCCGAGCTGCGCGGGCTGCAGTGCGCCATGCCTCTACCATGAAACTGAGGTTGTCGGTAGCCAATGCCGCATCGGCAGCGAGCACGAAGTAACGCGTGTCTTCTTCCGGGTTGTCCCACAGCGACTGTGTCAACCGTGAAATATCTTCGTCCGGAACCGGTGTGTCGGCTAACTGCTGGAGCAGGTCAATGGTGGCTTCATGGTCGTGAGTGGTACCGTAGTGTTCTAGAAGCACATTGATACATGTGTCGCAGTAGGGTGTTAGCGCCTGTGCCCTCTTATACGCCTCAAGCCGCTTTTCCAAATCCCCGAGCTTCTGATAGGAGTTGCCAAGCGTTCTAGACAGGTGTGAATACTTCCTTTAAGTTGCAAATTCTCTGGATCAGATGCAATTTGTGCTGACAACGTCCGCATGATTTCCTCATCAAGGTCGACAGCCTTCTGCCATTCCTGTTTCATGGAATATACGATCGCCATACCCGCTTTGCTCAGCCACATGTCAGGGTCGAGCTCAACTGCTTTCGAGAAGTACTTCAACGCCTGGTCGAAATACTGCAATTGGCGGAGGACCATGGCGCATCGGCGATACCAAAGCGCATCCTTTTCAAAATCGCCAAACCCAGCAGCGTCAATGATCTCGTCCGGCGTCGGGTCAAACCTTTCGAGGAAATTCACCTCTTTGCCCTTCATGAGACTCTGGTAGCTCCACGCGACAGCAGCCACAGGAGCAGCCAACCACATATCGTCTGCGACCCATTTCTTCGTGCATAACATGACGACCGGCTGGAATGTTGTGATGGGATCCGCCTCGGTCGAGGAGATGAACTCTTGCTCTTCCGGCGTCAATGACTCCAAAACGTCCTCATCTTCCCACCACTGGCGGACCGCTCGAGTATTAGCCTCCGTGGAGACCCAGCCCCGATAGCCAATCCAGCCCGTGATCGCGTCTTCAGATCTAAGCGCCACCAGCAGCATCTTGGCAATATCGCGTCTATCCTCCAGCGAGCAGTCCGAAGCGCGCGTGGTCAGGAGATGGTGAACCCAATTTTCGGCGGCATGACGGAGCATATGCTCAGCATCGTCGGCTTTTGTCGCGAACTCCTTATCGGTAAAGATTCGCAAGAAGGTCTTCAGCACGTGCGCCTTCGCGTTCAGGTAATGGACACCCACAGGGACATGGCTTTCCTCATCGGACACCTTCCCTTCTGTCGGATCACGGAAGAAATCGCCAATGGATGCGTGGCAGAAGGTGACTGTGGTCGTTCCTTTGTGAGAGTCAAAGTCCGTAAAGTTCTCGACATCCTCAAAGGCCTCCTCATCACTATCTCTCTCTTCCCCTTCATCCTCCGAGTCATCGAAATTGGTCCGGTTCGTGGACATCATCTGCAATTCCGCCGTGGTGAGCCCATCCTCGCGGTCCAGGCTGAAGAAGGAGGCAAATTGGCGCCGTAGGGCTCCTTCGGGATAGATCATACCGTCCCCTTCGGGTGACTTCAGCTTGAGGATAGACTCCACCTCGGCCAGCGTTAAGGGCTGCCTTGAACAGGTGACCCATAGCAGGATCTCATTGAGAAACTCAAGCTCCTCTTCATTAGAGCTCGTCGAGAAGCTGAGGAGAACATGGCGGAGCATTTCTTTCAGACCCTTGGGTGCTTGGTCCAAAGCCTTCCGAATACTGGACTCGTTCCGTTTCTTGACGAGCTCTTGGAGCATGAGGTTCACCCAGAGAAACATCCCCTCCGCTCTGGCCGATAGCTTTTCCACGATCTCCTGGCGTAGCTTCGCTGACACTCTTCTCAGAACCACAGACTTCTTGATGCTCGCATGGATGTACTGGTTGATATCTTTCGAGTTCTTCTGCGTCGTGACATAAATTGTCGGGACCTCCACCTCGAGACCTTCCAGCAACTGGTCACTGATGTGAGGTCGGCCAATAACAGCCAGCTGCAGGTGTGACTGCTGGGCAGAATCGTAGAGGTCTTTTGCCAGACTCAGGAAAGTCCGCCGCTCGTCGTCAAACGCTTCATCCACGCCATCTAACAGTATGTACACATTGCTGTCGGCGTTGGGGGTTTTCACGAAGTAGTCAACAAAGAGGAGTCGCCATGCGCTTTCGAGTGTGCTGATCGCCTCGTAATCTTCAATAGCGGCGAGGTGTTTCAGATACACGGGGTCATTTTTGCTGATTTGCAACGCGAGGTCGCGTAAGGCCTGGTGAAATGATCTCGTACCCGGATTGTCGTCCTTGAAAAAGAAAAATCCCACCGAAGTCAGCGATGTGTTTTGAACCCCCTGAGGATGCAACTCGAGAAGCAGGCTGATCATATTCGCCACGATGTAGGACTTTCCAGCTCCCGGATTCCCCGATATAAACATAACCGGAATATCCTGGACACGCCACTCATTGAAGATACGTTCATCTCGAACCCAATCCCCGGTGCCCGGGATACGGGCCTTGTTGATCTTATCATACCAGTCCTGAGCAGAATCCGTCTTGGATGGCCGGAGGATCTTGTTGACATGTTCCTGCAATGCCTTTTCACGATCCTCACTATTGTCTTGCTTGTTCTCCTTCACCGACACCAGCAAAGTGCCCAGCATCTCCTGCACCTCATTCACCCGTATATTCACTTGGTTCACCGTCATGCCCGTTTCGATCACGGTGGTATGGGTCGAGGTGACCGTGGCCGACATACCGTCCACCACCCGGCCAGTCCGTTTCGACTCGGTCAGCGTCTCTGCCCCAACTAAATCTGCCTCGACTCTCGTTAGTTTGTCCAGCTTACCCATCGCCCCCTGAATTGCATCGTTGCTGCCGAGCAGGATATTGCGCGTGAACTTGAGCAGCCGGCCTCGGCGAATGGTTTTGGTGGACAGGGCAAGAATCTCGACTAGTGTGACGAGAATGTCGCTGAGCTTATTGCTTAAATCGTCGGATATGGACTCCCGGCTATACGCCTTCAGCCGGATAGTGAAGTCCTACGCGGAATTTAGACCCCTTGGCTCGTCATCACCGGTGGATTCTGTAGTCACCTTCAATGTACCCATCAAATCCTGGATCGCATCGTAGGACGCAGACACGCCCTTTGCAGCCCCCATCAAGTAGGTGACGGCCCCAAAGACAAGGCTACTCGGTGGGAAGACCATGGAGGCACCGCCCGCGGCCAAATCGCCGAACAGCTGCACCGGGATCATGGCGGCGTTGAGCACGTCGAAGATCGCGCCCCTCTTCTCGCGGAATTCACGGAAGCTGTTGTTCCTGGCATCTATCTCTTTGGTGAGGTCCTCCACATTCTGAATTTTCACCAGGAATTGCACGTCGAACGGCTCGTCGGTGATCTCCTGGTACTTCTGAATGGCCCGCTCGTAGATAGCGGGGATCTGGTTCTTTGGAACCGTCATTGTTGCTATGCGTCGAGGGAAACAGATGGTTGCTACCTCCACGAAGGCATGATCCAGAGAGAACTACTATGGGAGAAATGATGATACCGGCTTATGGTGGGATACCTGGCTTTATAGGAATCGCGCAACTTTAGGCCGAAACCTCATCAAGAAACGAATGGACGGTGGGGTCTGGCCTCATGTGACAATCTTCAGGGAATCAGGCTATGATTCCTGTCAGATTCTGGACATCTGATCCATCCGCTCGGGCTGTCAGCATCGCTTGTACCGATTCGCCCTGAACCCCAAGTCACAGTGAACCAATGCATAGGCACGTACGCTTCAAACCTGTGCTGCGGCTGACGAGAGCGGGGTGCTTTACGAGGGGCTAAAAAAGGAAGTCTCTTTTAGGGCTAGAACAGATCGTTGGGCTGCTGATAGCCCGTCCGAGGCTTGGGCATATCGGGATGCTATTGGTGTGGCTGCGGTGGGCCGGTATCTAGCTTGCAGCGACTAACGACCGAGTAGGAAATTCCTAAGAGTCAAGACTACGCTTGCTTGACAGACGAAAAGCTAAATAAAGGACTGGCAGTGGACCTGAAAGAAATAGGCTATGGTCTACTCCGTAGATTGGTGGGTATTTCTCTCAGATTGAAGGTCTTGGCCGAAGCCATATACGCCGACCAGTTTCCTATGCAAACCAATCAGGACATCATACCTCCTTAGAAACTCATGTTGTTATTCGGAACAATCGAGTGTCTTTTTATTTACATATATTAGTTAGGCAATCTAATATCCACGCATTCCTAGGTTTATATTCAAGGTTGGATATATTAGCATAGCGATGATCCTCGATGTGAGGTATATATGGGCATATTTGGTGTCCACCCATGAACACGCACACGGTGACTTAGGCTGCGATACTGTACAGTTTCAGGCTCGCCAATTCATCCAGGTCAGCTTTATCTTTTGGGACTGTTGCGGACGACCATGCTGTGGAGTCCTCAGGGCTGATATATATTTATCACCGGGTAGCCGGATCTGCAGAGAACCCCAGGGTCACGGGTGTGGCTGAACCCTTCTACGCTTTTTACTTCCATTTGCCTCGGCCTTGACGAGATCTCCAGAGATCCGCTATCCTCATCGGCCAAGATGCATACTTCAACTCCAGAGAAAGACACTGTGACGTCAGGCATGAGCGTGTGGAGCAAACCAGTGGAGTCGGGAGAATTCGGAAGCCAATGATATGAGATATCAGCCTTCAAGAACCGGTTCTGGGATACCACGCTTGTAGGCACGATGTAAACATCAGTCGAACCCGTGGAGACAATGCTCCGAGCAGCTTGATCAGCGACATCATCAACGTCATCGATCGTCTGTCGGAACGTCGGTGCTCTGGTTGATTAAGCCCACGTTCGTAGGCATACAAGAGCTGGAGGAGGCCCACCGCAATCCGCGTTGTTCACACTCGACTCCTAGTCAGTTTCATCCCTGCACATGCCCGGATGCATTTTCCAGAGCAACAAGAAACGCACGCGGTCCACGCCGAGACCAGTCCGTCCTCGGTCAATGCCACCGACAGTGAATCCAACGCGCCGCTGGATATCGCCGATGAGCTCGCAGAAAAGCAAAGCGAGCGCTCGGATGGAAAGCGCGAGCTGAAGGAAGCCGATTGCTATGAGATCCTGGGATACTCATGGCCGCTATGGAAGAAATGGACCTATCTCGCCGCGGTCGCCTTCGTGCAGGTGTCGATGAACTTCAACACCTCAGTCTATCCGGCAGCCGTCAAGCCGCTCTCCGAGGCGTTCAATATTAGCGAGCAACACGCCCGGACGGGCCAAATGGCTTATCTTGTGACCTACTCCATAGGTTGTGAGCTGTGGGCGCCATGGTCGGAGGAGTTCGGTCGCTGGCCCATCCTCCAGCTCTCCATGTTCCTGATCAATATCTGGCAACTCCCAGCAGCCCTTGCTCCCAACTGGGGCTCTCTAGTGGTCGCCCGTGCATTGGTTGGACCTCCCCCCTGGCAAGCAAGCGTTCAAGACCTGGGTGAACTGACATCCCATAGGGTGGTATTTCGACTGCGGGTGGCAGTGTCACTCTCGGCCTCATTGCCGATATCTATGAGTCCGAGACGCAGCAGTTCCCTCTTGCATTTATCGTCCTATCCTCCTGTATTGGTACCAGTATTGGTGGTGTGATCGGTGGGCCAATTGCGCGCTGTAAGCAAGCATTCCCTTCTCTCTATCGCTGGGTACGGCCCCTTGCTAACCAATGGGATTGACACCTATGTAGTCCTGGATTGGCAATGGTTCTTCTGGATTCAGCTCATATTTGGAGCAGTAACCCAGGTCATTATCTTTTTCATGCCCGAGAGTCGTTCCACCATCATTATGGACAAGGAGGCGAAGCGCCGCCGGAAGTCAGGAGAAGACCCGAACATCTACGGACCCAACGAGCTGAAGGTTCCTCGGATCTCCTTCAAGGAAGCCGGTAAAATCTGGATGCGACCATTTCACATGCTGTTGCGCGAGCCCATTGTCCTGTGCTTGTCCCTCCTGTCCGGTTTCTCCGATGCTCTGATCTTCACCTTCCTCGAAAGCTTTGCCATCGTTTACGAACAGGGATGGGGCTTTGGTACGCTTGGGCAGGCGTGGGCGGTGATCCCCATCAACGCGGCCTACTTCATCGCGTACTTCAGCTACTTTCCCTGGTTTATGCGGGACGAAAAGCTTCGTCTTCGACACGGTGATGCGGCGATCCCTCCCGAGCGCCGTCTCAAGTGGCTGCTTTTCCTGGCACCGCTGGAACCCATTGGGTTGTTCGGTTTTGCGTGGACAACCTTCGCCGCAGGCGACGCGCGCAACGTCCACTGGATTGCGTCGATGATCTTCTCCGCGTGTGTCGGGATTGCTAACTACGCCATCTACCTGTCCTCGGTGGACTATATGGTCGCCTCCTATGGGGTCTACTCTGCCTCCGCGACCGGTGGCAATGCTTTTGCTCGGGACCTTCTCGCCGGTATCTCAGCCATGTACGCGACGCCCATGTATAGCAATATTGGCGACGAGTGGCATGTTCAATATGCCAGCACCATTCTGGCCTGTCTTTCCTGTTTGGTCGTCATTCCCATCTATATCTTCTATTGGAAGGGACCACAAATCCGTGCGAACAGCAAGTTTGCCGCCACGCTTGCTGCTGACCGATCGGAGAACAACGGCCGGCGCGTGAGCCAGATCAGCGCTGAGCCTGATCCGGGGGTAAGCGGATACGAATGCATGTAAAGACTATATGAAATAGCGCATATTCGCTTTCTTTAGAACTTGTATATATGAATTATTATGAAGGACTGAATTTCAAATATTTTATGTATTCTATGATGACACGTATGAACTTGGTCATTAGGAGTGTCAACCCATACCAGCCCATTTGTGAAGTATGTCAATCTTTGAACTTCAATATGTGGAGCTGTGGTCTTCTATACGAAATTTCGATATGTACAACATTTGAGCCAGGATCTTCTCGACGAAGTCCAGTCAATATCATTCGAAGTCCTGGATACTTCCGATAGATCAGCGTGGACTCAAAGTATCCCAGGAACTACCCCGTCACTAGTTATTCACGGCGTAACTTATTCACGACCCGTTGTGCTAACATGATCAAACTATTGGCGTTAAGGACATCAAAGGTTGTCACCTCAGCCCCCATCTGGGCCTTGATCCAATTCCGCAGTTCCACCATGGAGAGCGAGTCCAGCCCATAGACCGAAAGCGGTTGCCCAGGCTCAATCTGTTGGTTTTCATTATAGCGCAACATCCGCGCCAGCCGAGTGGCGAGGATGCTTAGACACGGTTCGTGTAGTTCGTCGGCCGCGGCACCAGCGCGAATCATCGCGTGGAACGATTGGAGTGCGGCACCGAGTTCATCAGTTGGCTTTCCTGCATTGGCCTGAGAGTTCGAATTCCCGACAAACAGTCCACGGAAGCGAGGATCAAATCGGAGGCCAGATTGAGCTGGGTCTTGAGGCACCGCGAGTCCAGTTATGAGTCGAGTTGGGAATTCTGAGGCCCCTGAATTTGGCTGGTGGGTATGCTGAAGAAACTGTTGCCGGAGTGAAGTATCGACCATGCAATGAAGCACACGTTCAGGGATGCCAATCAACTCCTTGGATGCTTCATGACGCCGAGTTAGATCTTCTGATTCTGCCACAACTCCAACGTCTTCTATCACACCCAGGTTAATTGTCTGGGCGGCAAGCCCCATGGAGCGTCGATAACTAGCGAAAGAGTCAAGGAAACTGTTGGCAGCGGCATAGTTTGCTTGGCCTGGGCTCCCCACCACGCTGGAGATGCTAGAAAGGAGGAGGAAGAAATCTAGTTCGCGGCCAATTTCGATAGAAACATTGTGCAGGTTCCATGTGCCTTGGACCTTCCCCTGAATAGATTCGTGAAACTCGTTGATCGTCATCAACTCATAGGGTCGGTCACGCAGGAGCATCACACCCTGTACGACACCCTTGATGGGGACAGGGGCTTGGAGAAAAGCCTGTCGCACGTCGGAGATGCGTGACACATCACCACGGCAGTCATATACATTGCATCCAAGCGAGTGACAATTGGAAATGACTGCTTGGGAGCGAGAATCCGCACACCCGCTACGAGACATCACCACTAAATGGCGGGCACCTCGCTGGGCCAGGTGCAAGGCTAAGCTACCACACAAACCTTTGAGACCACCTACAATGAGATAGGCAGATCCGGCATTGAATGTTATATCCTGGCGCAGAGGGCGTACCGGTGCTGACATCCCTTCCGCGGCAGCCATTCCGTCAATCACAACCTTTCCAATGTGCTTTCCACTACGCATATAAGAAAAGGCCTCTGCAGCCTGGGTGATGGGGAAGGTTGTCACTGGATTGATAGGGTGAATATGGCCTTTGCTTGCTAGATCAAAGACACGGCGAAGGATACTGATGCTGGGGTAAGTATAGCGACCGTCAATGCAAACGAAAGGAACATACCTAGGCAATTTCCGTAACAGTCGTGGATGGGAGAGATCTACAGCACGGAATGAACAACCCCGGTCGAAAGGCTCCATGGATAGAGTATTACGTTCCACCATATCTCTCTTGCCAAGTTCAACCAGAGTCCCACCCGCGGCACATACTCTCCATGTGGCATCGAGCAAGTCTCCCGTGATCGAGTTCACGATCACATCAATTCCCTTCCCATCGGTGGCCTTCATGATCCCAGCGGCAAACTTGGAGCATCTGGATGAGAACATGCGTTCATACGGGATCTTGTATGTGTCATGTAGGAAGCGACGCTTTGCATCACTACCGACGGTCACGTAGACCTCCGCTCCGACATACTGAGCTAATTGAATACAAGCAATTCCAACACCACCAGACGCAGAATGAATAAGGACGGACTGTCCAGGTTGCAGGTCTGCCATATCAAACAAGGAGTAGAGTGCCGTACAGAAGGCGACTGGAATTGTAGCTGCCTCGCTGAAGGACATTGTGTTTGGGATACGATGTGTGAAATCAATTGGGACCTGGATGCAGTTGGCGAAGGCCCCCTTCTCCATAAAGACGACAGGAGTGCCGATGATAGTTTTATCATCAATGTTAGATCCAACTCGACGGATGATGCCTGACCCCTCCAGGCCGAGTAGACGCTCATTCTCGGGTACTATGCCCATCGTAACAGCAACGTCTTTGAAATTTAGGCCAGCGGCCTGAATCTCAATTTCAACATGATTGTCAGGGAGGGTCTCGTCCGGAGTTTGGACGAACCGTAGGCCTTCTAGAGTACCGAGTTCCTCAGCTACTAGACGTGTGATAGGACCATCGGTGGACAGTGATGTGTGCACAAAACCCTCCTTCCACGATTTAATCTCGTGGTTTAGAGGATGATAGGGTACAACCCGATGGATGTGTAGGATACCGTCTTTCTCCACATACTCGCTATCGCTCACCAAATCAGCTTGGCGCATCTGGAGTTTCTCAAGAACCAGAGGAAGAGCAACCAGCGCCGCTGATACATCTTGACTTTGCATATCCAAGGTCATTAGTGTTGCCGCGGGATCCTCGGATCGGATTGAGCGGAAAAGCCCAGCAGCTAAGGCACTACCTGGCTCGGAGGCAGACAGTTGGCCGCCTCGAGTGACCCAGAGAAGTTTACAGCCGCTGGTGATGAGGTGGCGCAGGCACAGCCATTGTGCCTCATTAATGTGGACAAGAAGGGGCGAGTACAACTCGTCAAGAATAAGGACAGGCGCCCCGGCTGGGACATTTGCAGTCAAATATTGATGCTCGGTCACTTGCCATCCTGCTGCTGTCAAATATTGTTCCACTATACGCGGTAGGACAGTATTCTCTTCCATGTAGATGATATGCAGCTGCTTCGCTACTGCAGAAGCGCGATCTGCAAGTACTCGTGGTCTGCATAAAAAGGTTGCCCATGGTTCGGATGGAATGGAGAGCACCTTTGCGAATGTCACATTCTCAACCACATGAACCAACGAGGATTCTGACTCCGGCTTAAGGCTCGTCTCTGCGTAATCGGTTGCCAGTATATGACCATCAAGTGCGAGTAGGTCTTTCAACGCTCCCACTACGGCGACTGACCTGGGAGGCAACGGCGAGACGGCCTTGAGTATGATCAAGTCAAAGCTTTCCTGATTCTCCACACCCAAGTGGCTACTTTCTAGATCCAGAAGCTGGAAGGAGGTATTGGCTTGATCGCGGTACTTCGATTCCACAGCAGAAAGATTTGTGGCATCGCGGGCCAGATAACGGTATTGGCATTGCAACTCAGCGCCCGTTTCCAGGGATTCAAGCCAGACGCTACTGGGTTCCCGAGTTCCCAAATCAATCTCAAGCACATTCAGGGAGGGCTTTTTATGCATCATTAAATCCAGAAGCACTGGAGTGAGGTTCGTGTGCCCTCGTCCAAGCTCCTGGATGGCCTTCTCGTTCAGCGTGGAAATATCCGGCTTCAGGACATCCTGGGTGAGGGTATGTCGATTTACCGGATCAATTCCTAGATCAATCCTATGACTCGATAATCCGGTCATTCGAACCAGTAGAGCGCCACTAGTTGAATCATATACGGAAGTATTTCCAAGATAGCTCTTCTCCGTATCTTCTCTCCCGCGCCCAGAGTAATAGCTGGAAGCAACGGCGATGCCTGCGTCTGGCCGATGAGTGGGGTTTATAATAAAATCATCCACCATGGCGGGAATTAGGGTCTCAGCCATTCTGCTGCGGTCTCCAGCGATCGCTGCAGGTACAACGGCCCGAAATACACCGTCCAGCGCAGCGGGATGAACGGGATACAAAGACTGAGGATCATGAGCTGAAGGAGGGTCTGCTAGTGTGATTAACGAGCGAGCCCGTCGCTGCCCAAAACGCGATTCCACTTTCTCCAACAGGTGGAATGCGGGACCATAATGGTATCCAAGCTCAGCGCAAGCCTTTGTCCATAAGTGCCCGGGAGAGGCATCCTCGAATGGTGCAATATCTTTCTCATCAGCCGGGTCAAGGACAGGCTCTTGGAGCCGGATCAATCCAGCTGCATGTTTTGTAATGGCACCATCCCTACGAGAAGATATTAGGAACTCAAACCAGTTCTCATTGCTTCCCGGGAATGGGCTCATTGTCAGATAGATCTCGCTCTCCACCTCTTCTTCCAAAACAAGCGCTGCATTGAATCGGACATTGCGCAATTGGTAGCTTAGCTCGTTGGAGAGTGGGAATGGATCGTTTGGTTTACGCATGCATCCGGTCTGGTACATTGCCTCGACTGCCATTGCGATGTATCCTGATGCAGGGAATACGACGTCGGTCCCGATTCGATGATCCTTCAACCACGGGAGAAGACTGAGATCCATGGTTTTCTTAAATGTGGGATGGAGCCACGATGTGCCGAGGATTTTACTTCCCAGCAAGTCATGATGAACAAATGGGCGAAACCTCCAGTCCTTGCTAGCTTGTGTCTCGAACCAGTAGGGTGTGGAATGGTCCCAAGAGTAGTTTGGCAGGTCCACGATCACCATGGGACGGGTTTCTTTGCTGTCTGAAATCACCTTCTCAAGGTCAACGGGAGCACCCGCCAGAAAGAGTTGGCCGGCGACTGCGAGCGTGTGATGAATTGAGTCGGAGCCTCGATTCAGTGCTGAAAGATACGGAATTTTGGCTGCTGTCCCCTCGAGGGCCCTTTGAATCTGTGTGATGGGTCCTTTAAGCGCACCATGAGGCCCTATCTCAACCAACAAAGTGGCCGACGACTTTCCACCTAACATAGCACGAGCCGCATCCTCGAAGCGAACAGGAGAAGTCATATTCCTCTTCCAGTATTTAATGCCCGGACAGACCTCTTGCTGGGATCCAGTGACCGAGGAAAACATTGCGACGTCGCCAGACCGTGGGGATTCCTGCGCGATTGATGGGAGGTCCCGGTTGAGCAGATGCTCATACATGTCACCAATTGTCTCCATATATGTGGAATGGTACGCCAGGTCGACTTGGAGCATGCGAGCAAACACTCCACCGTCCGTGAGTCTGACTTTCACTTGCTCGAGCACCGAGGAAAGCCCAGATAAGGTCACGCTTGCAGGGCTATTGTAACAGGCAATCTGGACCCCTTCCAACCCATCCAGGTATGGCGAGACCTGCTCTGCACCCAACCCCACCGCGAGCATCCCGAGAGGCAGGGTGTCGTTTGGTTTCCCCGTCTGAGACGCCATGCCACGATGGTATGCGACAACGATCGCTTCAGCATCGGTGAGGTAGCCAGCCGCGTACGCAGCCGCAATCTCGCCCGAGGAATGGCCAAGAACACTGGTTGGCGAGATCCCCCAACTGCGGAAGAGTTCGACCATTGCTATCTGCAACGCAGTGACCAGTGGCTGGCTCAGCTCCGGATTTCGAATATGCTCAGGGCTACATGGCCTGGTCAATTCGTCATATAATGACCACGTCGGCTTGTTGGGCAGACGATGCAAGACCTTGTCCAGCTTTTCCACACACCTCCTGGCCACCGGAAATGATGCCAGTAGCTCTAAGCCCATCTGCGGCCATTGTGCTCCTTGACCGGTAAAAACAAACCCAACATTCACGGCATTGACACTCTTTTTGCCATAGACTACCCTTGTCGGGTCGATGTGTGTGAGATTATCGGTGATGAGGTAGCCTCTGTGGAAGTGCTGGCTTCTGCGTACACCGAGTGTGTAGGCCACATCTCGGACGTTCAGGTGTACGCTCGGGCTGGCGCAATGCTGAGAGAACTCCTCAATGTAACGTTTGAGGGAGCTCTGGTTGTTTGCCGAGAAGCATAGAATATATGGTTGCTTGGCAGCAGCTTCGATCACAGCACAGTCCGGACTAGGAGGTGTGTAGGATGTTTTGTGCGTTGGGCAGTAATCCAACTGAACAACTCGCGGCTCCTCCAAGATTGCGTGAGAGTTGCTGCCACCAAATCCAAAGTTGTTCACCCCTACACGTCGAAACGGGACGTCCTTGGGGAAAGGGATGGCACTGCGACTAACCTTCACCTTCAGCCCGCTGAAGTCGACTGTCTGATTTTAGCACACTCTCTCAGGAAGGCCCTTCCACGGCGTCTGACTTACTGTTGGGGTTAGGCGTTTCGAAAGTCGGATTTCCTGGAATGAGCCCGGTTTCCAAGATCATGATGCTTTGATCAAGCCGGACAAACCCGCAGCAGTCTCCGAATGCCCGATATTACTTTTGATCTAAGGAGCCGGTCAGTGCCTGTTAGAAAAAGATACGATCTCCGTACCGATCCAATGTGCAGTGGTCTATCATGCGCCCGGGACTCTGCAAAGACCGAGGAGACGCCAGCCACCTCAACTGGGTCTCCAGCCAATGTACCAGTTCCATGGCATTCGAGGTACGATGTGAGAGAAAAGTCAGTGATGTTGGCATTCTCATATGCAGTGCGCACCGCAGCGGCCTGGGCATCAGCGCTGGGAGACGCAATACCTGGGGTGCGACCGCTATGGTTATTCGCGGTCCCTCGAATTACCGCTCGGATTGGGTCTCCAGCTCGTACGGCATCATCAAGCCGTTTCAAAATCACTGCATTGATTCCTTCGGCCTTTATATACCCGTCTGCCTTGGCATCAAATGTGTGGCAGCGTCCGGTTGGCGAGTGGGTGTTTCTGATCGGTCCAGCTGCACCAAGTCATCAGTCGCTGAATCTGCCAGCGTTTACGATTTACTTACTATCACAGCCATATTCGGGGCTATCCTCTATCAGCACGTCTCTTGAATGATTATGTGTATGCGAGTATGGCTTACTGCAGGACCAGATTGGATGCCGCGATGACGGCTCCGTCAATCTCGCCGGTTTGAAGGAATTTGCATGCCATGTCTAGCGCTACCAAGGAGCTGGAGCATGCGGTATCAAGGGACATGCTGCTTCTGTATCAGCATCGCTGTACTCGGAAAATCGGGTGCAGCACAAAACTATACCTAGGGCCTGTAATACCCAGGAAGTGACTAACGCGATTGCTCAACATTGTGCCGGAGCCACCAATGCCCGCATTGACTGGTCTGGAGTCTGGATCCCGTGCGAACACGTCCCAGTAGTCTGGCGGAGTATCAGCATGGAGTTGCTATCCTAAATGGGGGATGATATTTCAATACCTCCAGGGTGACCTCCGACGAAGCAGCCATACCTTTGACCCGCTAGCGACTCCAGTGTGAGGCCGGCATTCTCCAATGCTTCATAGATAACCTCCAGTATGATCCGTTGTTGAGGATCCATGGCCGTTGCCTCCTGCGCTGAAATGTTAAAGAATGATGCATCAAACTTCGCTGGATCGACAGTTTCCATAAACATGGCGCCGGGAGAGCGCATTGTCTTCGGTCGATCAGACCCATCATAGAAGGCGTCCAGGTTAAATCGTGTTTCTGGGACCTTGGTGTGTGCCACACCTCCTTGCACCAGGAATTCCCATAACTTCTGCGGGGAATCGCTGTGTCCCGGTAATCGACATGCCATGCTAACGACTGCGATCGGCTCCTGCATGGATCGAATGGGTCCCCCCGACAGGGAGGAGTCCGAGGTTTGTGGTGTCATAGCCATGATACAAGCGGATATGGTATGTGAGATACAATGCTTGATCGAGAGTTGAGGTATCTAGAGGTGGACGGGTAGATAAACAGGCACAGCCCATCACTGTATCCCACTTCGACTGGTTCCATTCGCCATTTTCTTGGCGAATCCCTTGGCTTGCTTGGTTTCATCAAGGATCTGCATCCTGACATGTGTGAAGAACACTCCGCGCACGAGGATTGGCCATGATATGCATCGGTCGGATGCTGGATTCCGCGCCTTGTCCTCCGACTAGAAGTCTTAACTTTGAACAAGGCTCAGCCACCAGATATCAGCCCTTTCGACCGATCTATACAGTAGCCAGTTGCAACGACAAGAGTCGAGCAAGATACCCCGCCATATCTCGCGCGGGGTTCTCGCGCTGATAGTCCATGCTAATGCAGGAGACAAGGTCCTCGGTGATTGATTCCCGAAAGGATGATCTTTCTCGTATTGGCTCTCCACTCTTAATGCTGAAGAGTGGAGCTTGTCTCTGGACCTCCGCATTCGCCCGACCCATTTCTCCATCGTAGCATCTGATTGCCACGGTTCCGATCTGACGAATTGTTCTCTCGGGTACATGGGCTGAGGGCGAGGTCTACGCATCAAGTCACCCGCCCCGGAATTCAAAACACGTATACCGCGCCGAGATCTTCCCGGTGCGCTGACTTCTAGACAAAGTAAAATAAGTAGATATCAATAATGGTCACGGTGTTACTATGACTTGTAGCTGCCGGCAAGATTCATCTGGTTATACAGATTCTCTTTATCCACATCGCCGTCCACCAACTGTCGGAACAGGCCGTTTCGGGACTGCATCAATTCCTGGGGAGACCCGAATTCCACTGCCCTTCCTTCATGGAGCACGAGTACGCGATCAAAGTCGGCGATCGTTTGCAGACGATGTGCGATTACAATAAGGGTCGGGTTCATTTCTCCGATTTGCGAGCGAATAGAGCGCTGGATCAACTGATCTGTGCCGTGATCCATGGCAGATGTGGCTTCGTCCATAACGAGCACAGCTGGGTCTGACAGCATTGCCCTCGCAAGGCAGAGAACCTGGCGTTCACCACAGGATAGATTGGAACCTCCTTCAGACACGGTGGTGTGGAGCGCCTCCGGCCTGTCCCAGGCGACCCGTCGAAGCGCCTGCACTAGCCAGCGATCGGAATATTGGTCAAATGGATCCAGGTTGGATCGGACGGTGCCCGTGAAAAGAATGGGGTTTTGTGGAATCATTGCGAGTCTTCTGCGTAGATGATGCAACTTCAGAGTGCTGATATCGATACCATCAATCAAAATTGCCCCCTCGCGCGCCTCGAGGCACCGGAGAAGTGCCAGGGCAAGCGAGGATTTGCCTGCTCCGGTTCGTCCAACGACTCCAAGGCGTTGTCCGGGTTCCACGGTAAAAGTAATATTGTGAAGAACTGGCGAAAGATCCGGCGCGTAGGCTACGGTTAGACTCCTGACAGACAATCTCCCCTGCGTCGGCCACCCGTCGGGAGCATTTGCACCTGCACTATTTTCTGTGGGCACCTCAGTATACTCCATGGCTCGTTCCACTGCACTGAAATCCATCTCTGCGGTCGCATACGTCCGACTTAGCATGACCAGCGCATGGCACAGATGGTTGGTGAAAACCAGGGCAAACCCGGCGAAAGAGCCCGTGATGGATTCGCTCGTAACCACGAAGAAAAGGGTGCATAATGAGAAGAGCGTGCCCAACACATTGATGCGAAACGTCAGCCATCGGTTGAGCAGAAATAAATACCAAGAGGTCTTTGCCTGTTGGTCAATCTTTGCATGCATCACAGTGGTATAGTCTTCCGTCCGGCAGAATGCATGGATCGTGCTGAGCCCTTGTGAGGACATGTCAAAATGCTCATATACTGTGCCCCTTGTGGTTGCCTCGAGCTGCTTAATTTCACAGACTGCAACGACGTATCGCTTAGTATACCAGATCACGGCGCAAAGCAGAATCGCAGCGATGATTGTCAGCGTCGGACAAACCAGTACTGCACCCATGATCACACCAACACAGTCCATGGAAGCACTGAACAAGCCAATGAGATCCAATCCGAGTCGTGAGTCAATAAGATAAAAGTCCGAAGCGAACAGATTGACCAGGGTTCCTAGAGGTACCGACTCTAGCCACTGAAGTTGTGCCCGTAGAATGGCATTCAGTGTTTGGCGGAATAGCCTCGTTGCGGCGTGGAGTGACACATCAAACACGAAGTAGCATCGCAATGTTCCCATAACACATGCGGCGCCTGCGATAATGATATAGCCAAGCGTGTGATATGCCATTCTGCGAGGGTCTGGTGTGGCCGTTGATCCGCTTTCGGTCCACAGGCGCACCCAGGAGTACTACGTTCACAGCATTAGCCAAGTGAGTATAACAACATGATCAATTGCAGACGGGTCAGGGTATATACCAAGCCAAGTAAAAGACCATTATAGGTAATATAGCACCCCGCTACGACAGCCCATGGCCTCCACCCACCACTGGTCTGAACGTAGTGTTTTAAAATGTCTCGTTGAACGAGATTCTGTCGTGGACTGCCATCCTGCATGTAAGCACTCCCTGTTCCCTTCCCGGAAGCTAATGGTTCATTTGAAGGTGGCGCTGGTATCGGGTGGGACGTATGTATCTCATGTCTGTGTTCATTATCTGGTGTATCTCTATTCTGCTCGCGGCTGTGGTCCAGTAGATGAGATGGTTTTCCTGCGAATGCAACTGTGCCGTTATCGAGAGATATAATGTACTTAGCTTTAGGGGCACAGAGCTGAACGTGATGGGTCACCAAAATTCGCGTTCGGCCTGCAGCGAGTTTTCCAGTCAAAGCATGGACCAAGATATGCCGCGCGGTGTGAATATCCACAGCACTGAAGATGTCATCGAGAAGCAGGATGCCCGCCCGAGAGTATAGGGCTCGCGCAAGGGCGACGCGCGTTTTCTGTCCCCCACTCAGTTTACAGCCATTTGGACCGATATCAGTCAGATCACCATGCTCCAGATGCTCTAAGTCCTTTGCCAACGCGCAGGCATACAGCACAGATTGATATCTTTCTGGCTCGAGAGGCAGGCCGAAGAGAATATTTCCCCGTATGGTGCCAGCTTCATTCCATGGAAATTGGGGGACAAATGCGACAGCATGGTCAATTACCCACGTCCCTCGTGCAGTTGCCATCTCTCTATATATCTCATCATATGAAGCTGGTACCGGACGTCGCAGGATCCCAGACTGTATTCGGCATTCCCCCAGAATTGTCCGTAGAAGCAGGCTCTTCCCCACTCCCGTGGCACCAGTCACGATGCTTAGCTCATTCGGTGGGAAGCTGGCCGTTACATCGTGCAAGGTTCCTGAGTGCTGAGCTGGTTGGGAGATGTCATAGCATATAGTGGCGCCTTGAAACTCTATATGTTCTTCTGGAACGGTGGTCGACGGGAGCTTCTCAGTTGCAAGGAACTTGCCGATCCTCGTTAAGCTGATCCTGGCACCAACGATCCCAGACCATAGGTCCGGAATGAGCCCCAGGATGAACTGCATGTACCCCAACAGGGACAGAGCGGGAAACGCCACAGAGGGAGTCAGATTCCCATGTATCCATGTGTAGATCCCGATAGCCGTTGCAGAGACTAGAACAGGTCCTACGAGATGGCAAGCCAAATTCATCAAGTACCAGTGGAAAGCCGTGCGGTGTTCCTGCTGCCCTTGGTCCAGAAGCTGGTTGATTTTACCCTCCCATTTTTGTTCCAATGCGGCGATCTTGACCTGTCGGATACATTGTAGGGCCTCGGTCAGGGCGGCCATCTTGCTATCCCGAAGACCGGTCAAGGCGCGCTCTGCTGCACCGTACCTCTGCAGAAAGGTCCGGTGCAACGGCGTAATGAAGAGCAGCGTGGATAATCCTCCCAGTAAACTTTTCCATCCCAACAAATGTGCGAGCATGGTACTGGCGACAATGAGCTTCATTGCCTGTAGGACGTTCGAATAGAGAAATCCTGCCACGCCCGCAATGCGCTGTGTGTCCATGGAGATGAGATTTGTTACGCTTTGATCACTGAGACTATCTTCAGTCGGTTGACGGTGACTGATGACTTTGTTGTAGAGCATCGCCGTCACTTGCTGTGTCATAGGAACCGTGATCTTATTCATCGCCAGCCACAACAGCCAGTTCTCGAGCCACGCGGAGAAGCCAATCGTGAGGCCACAAACCAAGGCCCACCATACTAACGAGGCACTCTCTGACTGCCTCGCTGACTGCTCTTCAAGCAATTGCAGCATCATCCACAATGCGAACTGTGGCGTAAACGCTACCACCGCCAGCGGGATAGAAAGAATAATTTGATTGCGTAGACACTTGCCATGGGAACGGAGCAACAGCCTAAGTATGGATTGTTCATGACTACGAGGCGATGCATCTTGGGACGCGGCATGAGTGAATTCTTCCATTAGAACCCTTGCTCGTGTCCGATCATCCAGCTCCGGCAGATCCTCCACGGTAACCCGACCTCGGGCCTCAGCCAGTGCGACCAACTCGCTCACCCAGGAGAAAGAAAGACGCCCCAGAACGGAAGATGAGCCTTCTCCATCAACTGCCTTTCCGTCCCGGAATATACGGGAACGTCGCGGCAACGACAGACTGATCAAGATTGATATCCCAGCGATGCATTGGTTAATCTGCGCCATCACAAGCAGAGCCTTGCTGGACTTCTCTAATTTCTCGCCCGTTTGCCGCTCAACTACAGAGAGCAATGCTACTACGACGCAGCTGAGGCATCCTCTCAATCCGATCAAATATCGCTCGTGGTAGACTGACTCAGTCACAAGCGTGGTGTAATGCATCAGCATGGCAGTCTTCTAGACGTCAGCATATGCCACCACGAGCATCTTTCTTTCTTTGACTTACCCAAGTCAGAAACTGTAGACAGCGTTCCAGTAAGAACCCGTTGTTCGCTGCGATAACAACACGCAGGGAGGCGATAAAGCAACCACACGCCATGCATATCAGCACACACCAGGTTGTCTTGGTCGGTGGGATCTTAAGTCTTCCATCCTTCTCCGTCGGTATGCGGCCGCCATACCGTGTGCGGCTCACACGCGTGAAGACACCTGCTGCGACCTGTCGCAGAGCAGGAAAGCTCAATTGCAGTACTAGTCCTGCTCCGATAATATGCAGAAACACGGATAATCCTTTGACACCAATCATGGTGACATGTCCTGTCGGTCACGTCGTTCAGCCAGCGGCCGCACAGGCAGTATTTTGGTGTCCGTTGCTGCGGGCCGTGTCAACAGTCCGCGACCAAGCGATACGAGAGTCCTCTTGGCAATGACAACGTGGCTCACCCGGAGGAACTTTGTTTCTCACTGCGATTGAAAGAACTGAGACCGGAAAATACGCTTCACAAATTCGAACAATGAGAAATGAAGAATGACGGTGGGGGATGAGAGTGCGAGGGGATACATCGTCGCAGTGGAGTTCAACTGGGTCGGTTGGTCCCGTAATACCCCGACCGGCGGCCCTACACTAACGTGCACCAATATATACACGACCCCCGCTGGCTTAACAGAAAGGCTGGTCTGCGAGCAGTTCAATACCCCCGGGCTTCGTGCCTGGATCCTTAAGCCAATTAGCGGATCCCGTATGCAAATTACTTACGCGAATCACTTCCCTAGACACGAAGACTTGTCCAAGGTAACTCTGTAGTAACTAGTTGTATTGATGACGGGGAACTAAACGAATAGTGCGAGAATGGGTGTCCTTATATATCCTGGGTCCTGGTATACCCTTCTGGTCTACAACATACTATATGGTATAGATATGTACCGAGTTGGTACTCTATCACATTCCTTTTTTGGCGTGTATACTATGTGTGGTACTCTCGATGGTACCTTTTCTATGTTCTTCTATCATGCCGCTTCGCTGTCTCTGTCGCTCTTATGGTCAATATGCTATCTGTCAGGGTTCGATAAATGTTGACCGAGGGTCGCATCACGTGATCCCGGAATGGAAGGATTTTCCGGTCGCGCCGCAAAGCCATGTATGAAAGGTAGCATGAAAGGTTTCCCTCTTCCCACTCTTAGTGGAGCGTCCAGAAGACTGGGAGTCCGATCTAGATCAATTCTTGGTTCGTTTCATGCCAAGGTTTTGCATTTTCTTCGAAGTACTCCAGGGTTGCGAGGCAACAAAAATCAACGACGGATCTTTGTCACAATCCCAGCGTCTATCCATTGTCATGGAGAGTTCATTGGAGACTGGACGGCCTCTGTTGGATTTGCCTTGCTTCAAGATACAGCTCCATGTTTGATGAGATCTATTGGGAAGTTCATTGATCCAAGGTTTTTTGGTCATTTTACAACGATTGAGGATCGACTATGTCTGCTAAGCGCAGAAGAACGTGTAAACCTCGACACCTTCATTGGGGAGAAAATGCAGCAGGCAAGTGAGGGCAATTTGATTTCTTATTACAGCATCGATGAAATGGTTGATCTATAAATGTCACTAGGGACCCTAACTACCCAACATCCTAGAAGATCTCTGGCCGGTACACGCGCAACACATCGTGCAGCTGGATGACAAAAGTAAGCCACATCAAGGCACATCCACCGGCATCTCCACCGGCGGCATTCCACTTGCTATTGTTGCACCACTGGCCCATTCGGTTGCGGAAGGCCACGGTGCGATCGTAGTCGGACGCGCTGGTCGAATACTGGATCTCTTTCCACTTCCTCCAATGTTCTCCCTCGAAATGCCCCCCATGACCGTAGTTTAACTGGAATCCGTACCGGGTGTTGAGATCGCCAATGATTCGTTGCCACTGCTTCCAGTCGACATCTCCTGCCAACTGGCCCAGAGCCCGGATGATCTGGTGTTTCAACTCCCGTAGATCGTCGTCCTCCAACTTGCTTAAAAAGTCCAACCGGATCAGCCCGGCATACCCCACGAGAGTACCTTTCTTGATCTGCTCCAGATCCTGCCGATGCAATTCTTGTTGCTCCTTCAACTGGTCGTGCAAGGTGCCGATATCGTCGACGCGGTCCCGGACGATGTTTTGAAGAGCCCGGTTCTTCTGCTCCAACTCCTCGACCTTCTCACGTAGATCCCTCACCACCGGGTCTTCCGGGAGCTGGTCTTGCACGGGACGTTCGTCCTGACCTTGTGCGTTTACAATGTCGGCTGAGAAGTGCTCCCTCAAGGCCCGGAGAGAAGGGGTGAAGAAGTATTCACCACCTCTCGGATCAACCCAGGGAACCCCAAGGTCCACCTTAACCGTCCTGGACGCATCCTTTCCATCGTACAGACTGATATGATCCTCGGGATGATCCTCACGGAGTCTCTGGCGAATGATGGGGTCCATACCAGGACCGTCGGCATGGGTCTTGTCTTTGTGCTCCGGGAAGCCGGCGTTACTGCCCCAGCCTGTATTGATCAAATTAGCATCTTTGCGGAGATGGGAGGTCGTTAAGTAGAAATGGGAAAACCTACGCGTGATGAGGAAGTTGAACCCATCCCGAATGAGACTCTGGTAGCACGTAAAGTAGATACCACGGTGCTCGAGGGTCTTCTTCTGGCGCTTTTCTTCTTCCGTCAGTTCAGGACCAAAGGTGATACCCCGACGAAGGATGACACTGGCGTCCTCCATCTGTCCAATATCAAACGCCTCGTTGGCGCCTGGCTTTGGAAGCGTGGCATATCTTGGATCGTCACCATCGTCTTCGGTTCCATGGTCTTTCTTCTTATCGGCTCTCGGCCGCATCTTGCGGGCGTGCGCCGCAAACGGGCACCCTTTAATGCTCTTCTTGGGTCGGAAGTCGAATTTGTTGTCAAAAGCCAATTTGGGGTCGTCCTGGTCGACGGCTTTGGCGACGGGCGCTCCTGTCTCATGCATCAGCTCTCGTCCCAACGGATCTGATATGATATCAAAATCATAGACCCACCGCTCTTCCATCGTCCCATCATGTGGGCACCCAGCTTCTCTGGGCCATTCTCTCCGGCGTAGTTGTCACCTGGAATCTCCTTGGCCTTCTGCTCGAGGAAAGTCTCAAATTCAGGCACCTTTTGGTCGAGCTGCCGGAACACCAGGTAGCTACCCTCCTTGGCCCACTTGGGGCTTCTTCTCCGGTCTGGATCGCCCTGATGCCCGAGAAAGATGTAACTAGTATCCGTTAGTAACCACTGGATGACCGACAAATCACCGGTTTGACATACCCAGGAGGACAGGCCTGAGGTTCCCCCTCGGCCGGGGGTTCATCCAAGCCTTCAATCTTTGGCTGAGAGATGTGATCTTCGTACCCGAAGCTAGAGAACCAAGATTAGCACGGTTCCCGATTACATGAATGGGGAAGCAAGGAGGGAAGCATACTGCTCTTTTCCACGGTTCGCACCAGGGCGAACATTACCGTTCTTGCGGAAAGCGACCTCCATACTGATCTCATCCGGCTCGCCAACATGAAAGGCCCCTTCGAGATCCGCAATCTTGCGACGCAGGGCTGTCGCACTTTGGGCCGCGACAATGAAGACACCATCCACTCTCCACTTCCAACGGTCGAGCCCGGTCTTGGTTTCATTCCCGGGAGGGGCTCTGAAGTGAGGATCCATAGTCTCTGGGTTATCGGCAAACTCGTAGACCAGGTCATCGAACATGCCCTTCTCAAAAAGACCCTCGTTGAGCCGATCCCGGCAATACTCATCGGGATCATCCTCTAGGGCCATGGCATAATTCACCTCGACGTCTGGATGTTCCACCTGGGAAGATCGCCATGATGTTAGAACGTACCGTGAGGGACCTAAGGGGATCTCGAGAGAGTCACCAACCTTGAGCAATCCCATATGAGTGAACGCAATATTGATCGCTGTGAAGGGCAGCCGTTCATTTTCGGGCACCGCACGACGAGAATATGCACATGCTTCTTCAAACTCGCCAATGTCTCTCAGGTATTTCTCGCATTCAGTACCGGTGGTGATTAACCCTCGGTCCAGCACGCCTCGGAGGTGTTGTCTGAACCTTTCCTTGTTGGTAATCTTGAAGAAGAGATAGGACTCATTATTCTTGGGGAGGCGGGGCCAAATGCTGCCCTGGATGTTGTCTGTATCGACCGTTCGCTTCTGCTTTTTGATCGTCATGGTGATGTCTGAGTGTGAAGGACGGCTGAAGTAAACGAGTTCTGCTAAGGCGCCAGAATGCCTGAGGGGGGGAACACCTTTTTAAGTCTGCTCTACGAGAGAAAGACGGGCTATACCGTCCAGTACCAATAAGATTCTAAGCTTTTCGAATTTCAGCCCACGATACGCCATGAGAAGACAGAATGCATCACCAGGGTCAGCTCAGCTCAGCCCCTCTTCCCCTCTCTGAGGTCCTCACCACCGCTCCATGGTAAATGACAACCATGGCCATACATCATCGGGCAAATGCGATAGGTAATGAATGGACCGTCATTTGTGGATCGTCGACCCAGATAGGGGGGTTGGCGTGTCCGGTTCATTGGGTAGCTGATCTGTTGTATCATGTATGCGCGGCATGTTGATCCACTCTTCCTCCTGCCTGAGACGATAAGATCCAATCCAGGGAGAAGCGATGATTCTTCCGCCGATCGAGCTGCTCCCGGCGTCTCCAGCATACTAATCACGTTGCAGACATTAGTACGAGTCAGCGCCAACTTGGGTGGGATCGGCATCATCGACTGCGGCATTTCTTCAGCTGAACTGTGGGGGCAGTGGAGACACGCAGGCTATCCAGAGTACTCCAGACACAGTTTCAGTACCCTCCCATTGGCCCTGCTCTGTTGTTGTCTGGAATAACAGCTCCTTGCATACCACCACAGGTATGGGCAAGACACCTCAAAGGCGAAAAATACACGTTTCCATGAAAAGTCTGTGAACATGAGCGAGGGCTTCCAGCAAATGGAACCCTAACCTGGGGGCCGATCCGTCCGCACGGTGGGGCGCAGATCCACTTGAGTTGTCGATAGTACAGACTGCCCACTGTGCCCAGCAGTCATAGCTCCATATGGAATTTCAAATAGAACCATGATCGGCGGTGTTTATCGGACGATCTCAACAAGAACAAAATCAACACCCGAGGAAGCAGGTTTGCCGATGGACCGGGTATCAGGGTTTTTCATGCTCTTCCCGGTATGCCGGTACTTCCCACCACACTGGAATTCCAGTGGGTTCTGCTTGAAACATCAATATAGGTACCGAGGCGAGTGGCTCATCTAGCCATTTGATTCAATACGGGTCACAGTTTGCAAGTCAAGGGGTACGTTTGTGCGGGTGCGGATGCACGCCCGCAGAAGCTGCCACGAATGATGCAGATGCTCTGTGCACACTTGTAGCGAGGAAGGATTGCCGGTGCCTACCATACATGACGAGATGAGAAAGTCGTCGATCGCCTGGCAGGCTGCAGCCCGGATCCACAGACCATCCCTAGGTGAGTTGGTATTTTGTGGCGAGCTGCGCCCCCACTTCTACGGCAGCCACGGATATCAGGATCGTGGTCAATGACGCTTCCTCTCTGGCTGTTATTTATAAGTCCTGGTCTGTTCTCCCTTCTTCTTCTCGACTAGCATCATCAGACTTCCTGCAAAATGAAGTTGCAGTGGACATCGGGGCTCCTGCTGGGGGCAGCCGCTGTGGACGCCTTCAAACCCGCGGAATTTTCCTATGAATCCTCTGAGGCCGAGTGCGTCGAGCTTGCCAAATCGGCGAATGGCGCGGTTATGTACCAGTCTCCTCCCCCGAATTCAACGCCCCTCGCCAAGTCGAACCCGGAGGACCCAGATGAAAATTGGGTGGTCGAATGCTCCAGTCAGTATAAGGGGTATGCGTGTGATTATGCGATCGATGATCACGACGACAGATACTGGGTGAGCAACCCAAGCCAAGGAGAGACTTCTGAGATCATCGTCGATCTCCGCAAGAGGCATTACGTCTCTGGTCTGACCATGTTGCCTCAGCTGGACAAGGCGAGCAAACATGGACAGATTGGCGAACACCGCATCTATCTCTCTCAGGACAAGGATACGTGGACCCAAGTCGCATACGGTACCTGGGGATCCAACAAGAGTCCGAAGATGTCCGCCTTTAACCCTAAACTGGCTCAATATGTCAAGCTGGTGTCGGATACCGCTGCCCTTCCCGATAAGACACAGAAGGCGCACGGGCAAATCTCGATCGTCAACCTGAGTGTTTACGCGTATGACGGTGACACTTACCCCGAAGACAATCCCAGCCAGGGTGTCTGGGGGCCCACGATCGATCTCCCGATCGTGCCTGTATCCTCCGCAGTCGAGCAACACGGCGACCTCATCATGTGGTCTGCCTGGGCGGACGACCAGTTCTTCGCCTCGCCCGGTGGGAAGACCCTGACCAGCACCATGAACCGCGACGGCGTGATCACCCAGAGTACCGTCTTCGAAACCAACCACGACATGTTCTGTCCCGGCACCTCCATGGATATCGATGGCAACATCGTCGTCAGCGGTGGTGCAGACTCCGGTCGCACCAGTATCTACAATGGCACCGCATGGGTGAAAGGCCCTAGCATGGCAATTCCCCGTGGATATCAGTCGTCGACGACCCTGTCTGACGGTCGCATTTTCGTGATCGGAGGGTCTTGGAGCGGTGGAGACAAGATTGATAAGAACGGCGAGGTCTACTATCCCTTGCCCGACGGCAAGGCCCGATGGGAAGTACGCCCGGGTGCCGAGGTGGAACCGATGATGACCGACGACCGGAAGGGTCAATGGCGGGCCGATAATCACGCCTGGCTCTTTGGCTGGAAGAAGGCGAGTGTCTTCCAGGCCGGTCCGAGCAAGGAGATGCATTGGTACGATGTCGACGACGAAAACACCGACGAGAAAGGTAGGCGTAGCGTCAGAGGTTCCGTGCACAGCGCCGGCCTCCGTGCAAGGGACCGCGACTCCATGTCTGGCAGTGCTGTCATGTACGATGCGACTCAGGGTAAAATTCTTACCTTTGGTGGTCAACGTCATTACGACGGCTCTTTTGGCTCGAAGAACGCCCATCTCATCACTCTTGGAGAAGCCTATCAACGTCCCGTCGTGAAGGTGGCGGGTAAAGGCCCCAACGGTAAAGGGGAGGGCGGAATGCATCACCAGCGTGTGTTCCACACCTCGGTGGTTCTTCCTGATGGCACGGTATTCATTGCAGGTGGTCAGACCTGGGGCCAGCCCTTCCATGAAGAAAACATTACCTACACGCCCGAACTCTACGACCCCAAGACGGACACCTTCGTTGAGCTGGGCCGCAACAACATCAAGCGCGTGTACCACAGTATTTCGATGCTGCTGCCCGACGCTACCGTTCTCAATGGTGGTGGCGGCCTCTGTGGCAACTGCTCTGCCAACCACTACGATGCCGAGATCTTCAGACCCCCCTACCTCTTTGCGGCCGACGGCGAGCCAGCCGTTCGCCCGAAGATCACCAGAATGATCAACGGGAATGTGCTTACCGTGGGCGGCCAGGTCAGCTTCGAGACCGACTCGGAAATCGAGTCTGCATCCTTAGTCCGTGTTGGCACTACAACGCATACCGTCAACACCGACCAGCGTCGTGTCCCCCTGAAGGTCACGGGTGCAGCTGGAAACAAGTACAGCGCTGACCTGCCCGAGGACGCCGGTGTCATCCTTCCTGGGTGGTACATGTTGTTCGCCTTGAATGGTGAGGGCACTCCCAGTGTGGCTCAGATGGTCAAGGTTGAGCTGTCCTCCATTCCGAAGTGGCCAAGTAACAAACCCAGCTGGGAACAATCGGAGGAGCTTTCCTCTGAGTCTCTCGTGGATGCCCATGATTGCGACCACGAAGAAGAAATCAAGGGAATGATTTCCAATCTGCTGGCTTCGTCCAGCAAGTTCTGGAATACCTGGAAGCCTGCCCTGCTCACCCAGGCTTAATTGTCAATAGTGTATTGGATTGTCGGTGTGTCGGAGATATATCCACCGTGCAATCTGTAGTATATCAATAAATGTATTATGGTTGTCTTTCCATCTTGCGTAAACCGACTATATGTCTCACGTCTGTATTATCATGCCAGCCAAATCTGTAGAGGTGTCTAACATGTCATACTCTAGTACTACTTGAATGATAGATGTTTCCGTACCTATCCTCCGTGACAATCAATGCCTCCACCAAAACAGCCGAGTGGGTGCGCTTGGTCATTTGGCGATTGTGGTTTCTACATTTTCTTTACCAAAGATGCGTACGTCATCTCTGTGTTGACCTGAATATAGGTTGCATTCATCCGTGCGAGAGCAAGAAACCTAAACCGTCATTTAGTACGACCCAGTAGGAACCTTTCCCCCAGTATAGTAGACGTCATCCTGAATGAATATATCTAGACACCTAAGACCTATCAATGTGTGAACACCGTGAAATAGATCTACCGACTTCGCGTGTAGTGAGATACTGTTCGAGGTGGCGTGATTTCAGTGGCGACATTGTTACCATGGCTCGCCGATCTCAGCACGTCCTGATCAGACTGCCTGTCTTAGAATGTATTCCGTTGGTTCATATGGGCTATTAATAGAATCTACAAGTTGTAAGCCCAGGGCTGGACATATCGTAAATTAATGGTTCTCCGGTAGAGATCACACGATAGGTATCGCAAACTCTGCAGTCTACGATAGCCGTTAGGTTCCTTCATACAGAGCCAGCGGGCAAGTATAACAGAGGTTTCATTTTCCCTAGGTAGAGTATTGGAGATTATAACTAGAGTTACTGTACTTGGAGCAGGACTGCCTACTCTGCTTGCAGTCTTCGTTGATAGATTTAAGTCCTGTTAAAGAGTTCTTTGTGAAACTGAATGTCCACACAAGGAAGGTCTAGCCAATATATAAGTATAAGTTCGGGTTAATAATGTCGTACCCTCCCTCAGTTATGTGCTCAAAATCCTGGCACAAACCAGAAAAGTGCTAATGATCATCTCTGACATAAGAGGCATAAAGACCGAGAAGACTTCAATGACCGCCGTACTGAGAATGTCCTTTTTCCCTGGGAGTACACTCCAGTACCCAGGCCAGTAGAGTATGAGTCAGGGTAGTACCGCCATCGTGACTCAACACTTTGACAGTTCTTTTTTGAAGCTTCCAACGTCAATAGTACAGGTACATTGTGTTGAGCGAGGGCCCAAAAGATTGTTCTCCTGAAGATTATAGCTGCTAGGAGAATGATATTGCCCCCTACTAGACGAGCTTGGGACGAGCCTGAATGGGTCAGCGAGACTCATTGCTCAATACCACATCAACACTTCATACATCGCGGTGTATCCTATGCTTGGCCTGCTTCTCCAATCGCAGGTGGTTTCTGACAGTCACCGGTTGAGGGTCAATCTCCTCGAGGTCGAGTCCCGCGAGGCAGAAATGTCACCACTAAAACAAAGCCGAGACCGAGGACACCAGCAACCACACCATAGGCAATAACTGCTCCGGTTGGGGCGATGGAGCTGCCGATTCCTGAAAGGTGGAAACCTAGGCCACCATTGATAATGCCAAGCGTTATGATCAAACGACCAAACCATCGGTGTACATAAGCAAACACGCTCTTTTTTCCCGTTCTGTGAAAATACCTATGTTGAAGAAAGCCCATCGCTGGCTGAAATAGGATGAGGGATGGGACGATCACCATCCCGATAATGGGGTGATAGGTCTGTATCAAATCAAGGCTTTTGGCCATGGAGATACCAATGCCGAATCCGGCAACTGCCAGAGCTAGCGTAAACAGTTGAAAAGTAGCATGAATAACGACAGTCTTTGAAGATGGGACAATGTGCAGCATCGCAGCAAATGAGGGAAAGAGAATAACGAACACCACAATCATGATAACAGCATGGGCAATCCTGCGCTTTTCAACGGACCCAGAGTTATCTGACAGAATGGCTTGCCCTGAACTTGATGTCGTGCGGTTTAAGGTTAAAAACGGGTTCATTGAGGTGCCTCCCGTAGCCTTCTGAAGGTCCAGGGCAGCTATCCCGGAGGCATCATGGATAGTGATGGATGCAGATAAGCTATTGGTGTTGAGTGGACTTCCATATTTCACTGCCCAAACCCATGGGCTTGACATGCTACTTGGATTTTCACTCCCACCAGGCCAAGTAATACAGCTATCACATCTAACATTTGCAGTCATGGTGCCATCGTGGATCCCAGTACCGTCCAATACTGAAATCCGAGCTTGTTGGTTATATAATGGTTCAACATGTTCCACACCTAGCCGTGGAGAGACGGTAACGTTCAAACCGTCTCCAGATGCGTAGACCACAAATATATTGGCCCCTTGCATCCGGGAGCCTTGGCCCCATGCAAACCACTGGAGCTGGCGGGTGGATTGCAGCTGGAAATAAATCGGACCTGATCCTGAGGATGCGGTGACTTGAGGGATATTAACACTATAGGTGATTCCATCTTGTCCAGGGGGCGTGAACGTTTCGAGCTGGGCAACAGTCAAGGCGAAAATGGATAGCCAGACGTATATATATGGCCTCAGCATTCCGATGTGGTGGTTGTATGGAATTCTCACGATATATTTTGCTAGCCTAGCGAAGCAAACATTCCACGGTGTCCAAGTTGGCTTTTATCTAGATGAGGTCCGTGGTCGCTGGACACCATGACCGGCGGAGGACCAATTTTCACAATATTCGAATGCCTTCGATGAAAGTATTTCTCCGCAACACTGACAAAGAGCTTGGCGGAAACCTTACGCACTGGGTCTGGGTTGGTCTCCACAACTTAAAAATAAGCTAAGATTTGATAAGCTTTCTCAGGTTGAGGCGATGCAATCCGAAGGCCAATCTGCAACGGTGATTCTAACCCTATGACATGTCGTCAGTCTAGGTCCCTGCAGCTGATCCAGTAGGGTGTGAATGTACATTTACTGTTTTGGGTTATGGCCTACTTAAGCTTTCTTGAGGGACGAAGTTAGCTTCGACAAGGCAGACCTCAATGCCAGTAATTGCCTCGGGTTGGTGGCGCCGTGGCGATGTTAAACCTTCCACACCTCACCATTAGCTGCCGCTAGCGTCGCGAACCCTACACAAGTAACTGCCTGCATCGAATAATATATATGAAGAGAGACCTCTGCTCTGGTCCTTGAAAGCAAGTCCCAAGTCTTTGCTGCAGACAGTACCTTGAAAGCTTTTCACAAACCTCAGCGGCAACGATGAAGTTATCTTTTGACGCTGCTATTCTTTTATGGCTTCTTCTCGTCGGTGCCAGTACTTCAGCCTCAAATTCTACACAATCGGTTGATGTTGGAGAACATGGCTTGTCCTTTGATCCCGATACCATTCACGTTGCCTCAGGGGGTAAAGTCGAATTCCATTTCTACCCAGGTAATCACTCGGTGGCCCAGGCTTCGTTTGATGACCCATGCCATCCCATGAGTGATACCAGCTTCTTCAGTGGATTTATACAAAGCGCGAATGGCGAATCGGTGAGCTTTTCAAGATCAACGCAGATGACGTAGCCCTCTGACGGTCTAGTCTACTGTTTTCACATTGACCATTAATGATACCAAGCCGATTTGGTTCTACTGCGGCCAGATAGGGCATTGTCAGGCTGGCATGGTTGGAGTCATTAACCCTGCGTAAGCGTGTCTGTAGTTGCACACATGGGAAAGTAATATCTCTAACCTTCTTTTTAGAACCAGTGGCCCGGATACTCTTGATGCATTCAAAAAGGCAGCGTCCAATGCGAACGGGGACAGTGTGCCATCTGCAGCACAAGGTGGTATCCTCGGCCAATCCACCTCTAGCACGTCTACTACTTCTACCAGTAGTTCGGCCACTACCACTACCAGCGGTACGTCAAGCGGTACGTCGAGCAGTACATCAAGCAGTACATCAAGCAGTACATCAAGCAGTACGAGCAGCACGTCGAGCACCACGTCAAGCAGCACAAGTAGCCCATCTAGGCCATCCCCTACCGCTACTAGTATGGCAGGAAAGTTGCCCATCTCCATGGCCACCATCTTTGTCTTAATGTTCACCTTAGTTGCGGCCATGCTCCTAATGTAAGTCGAATTGGATGAAGATTGATATTGTATTACGGTGAACTGTAATTCAGCAAAAGTCACGACGATGCTATCAAAGGTATTCGTCCATTCCGTCTACAATTTGGAAAACGCATGTATCTAATGAGTATGGACTTTATTTGATTTTATATAAAAAGCTAAAACCCAGTTCACGCTCCACATCTCTCTGGAAGGAAAATATACAGGGTTGACAAACGGTAAAAAGGGCAGAATGGTCACATCTACTGCGCTTCAGCTCGTTTCTGAACCTGAGCATAGAACCGTCTCTGGAAGAAGAACCAGCAATCCTCCATCTCTGATCACCCCTGTTTGTGCCCAACCTGATGCGCTGCGCTCCCCTCAGTAGTGTTTTAGACACCATGACTGTGTTCTAGCAAGTTTTACTTTTTTTGCTTTTTTGTTGCCTCGCGTGATGGGGTTCAGCCCTGCTTCTATGGCCATATGACTCCGTCTGTACTATGGATGACACCCAGGGGGTTTCATTGCCTTACTCACTGGGAATACCAATCTCTGAACGGCATGTAGTCTATTATTCATGTACTGCGCTCCTGCGTTTGAGCATCTAATTCACTCACTCTTCGACCACATTTTCATTCCAAATGGTTATTGCAAGGTACTCTCAGGCACTGTCAAATGTTCTCAATCATCGTTCCAGGCAACTATCAGACATTATGATAGACGTGTATCACCAGCAGCGTATACCCCAGACCAAATACAAGTGTGTGATGGTCTATGCCCGTGGGAGCCCTCGACACGTCGCTTCTCACGTTCGCGCGTGGTGAACCTCCTGAGGCCTGAAACTCAACCCGTTCCTGACTTGACTAACGCCTGTGTGTCTTGCCGCTTGCTCTCCACTGCTCCTTTTCCTGACTATATCCACTACCTGCCATTTTTCTATCTTCCGTCGTTCAGCTATTCCTTCTTGTACGTACAGCATCGTCATAGTACCGTGTATGGAGGACGATGGAATGAATGACTTGATTGATTTAAGTGGCCTGCATGGAGGAGACTCTAGTAGCAGTTTAACCTCGTCTCTTAATATGCTTGACATATATGCTGTTAAAAGGTAAAACTATGATAATTGGCACCCTCTAGCAATGGTTAGTGGCACAAAAGGCAAGACATGTCAGAAGGGCCATTGACCAAGGGGATTAGACTAATATAATCTCGTTTCGGTCAAGGGCTATGCTTAGCTGGGTATACAGAGTTGTAATCCTTAATGGAAGGTCTCCAGTTATAATGCAAACTTATACGGTATATAAGAACGTCGGACATTCTAAGTAAACAATTTGTTAGTACCGTACAGTGTACAGATTATAAATCTATTCCCACGCACCTGGACCGGAAAGTATTAGGGTTTCGAGGGCATGTGTAACCCATATAAGCCATCAGTGCAGGAACAAGGACTGGTGTACAGGCTTAGCCCTCTCCTCATATTCCTTTGTCAATTCCTCCAGTCAGGCTCACATCAGACGTTCCTAGACTACGATTGACCGGCCCATGTTAAAATACTTTGAGTTTAAAGACTATTATTATACAAGAGGCCCTCCAGAGGCCTGTTTAGTCAGAGAAAGTGTGCTCCGGAATGCCAAAGGTGCTAATAGTCCAGGTCTTGCCGCCATCGCTGGTGGTCATGTCTCCTCCAGTGACTCCCTCACCCTTGCCCAGAGTGTTGATATAGTTGGCATCGGCAACGTCAAGAATGATCTTGGTGTCGGTCCAGGCTAAGCAATCCGTTAGTCTCCGAAGCTCTACCTGGGAATGATTTTCACTTACAGTGAGCGCCAACCGTGCCACAGTTGTTCTCGGCGCACTCAACGGAGCTGCCCCAGCCCTGAGCCTGTCCATCACTCGTGGAGAGAGTCGAGACAGTCTTGCCATTGATCTGGAGTGTCTGTGTGTAGTTTCCACTGGCATCATCGAATTTGTCTGCCCATCATTAGTGCCACGTACATAGGGCGTAAGGGATGTGACATTTTTCCTTACAGTGCATCGTCACCTTATCTCCCTCGTTTCCATTGGCCTGACCATCACCATACAGTGGCATCTGGGAGGTGTCTGCCAAGGGTGTTAGCCGGCATCAGTGTCACCAGGATTGAGACAATACGAACCGCCGGTCTTCATGAGAGTGTAGGCATACATGGTCCAGTCACTCTGTTGCCAGTTGTCGGCAATGGACTGGATCAAGTCGCCGTTCGAGGTGCCCATACCCACCCAAAGGGAGGTGATGGCGTCGGTAGACCCTCCACTGGGCCCCTTTGGCAAGACAAGGGTCGAAGTAGCTTCGCGGATAAACGAGTTAGATGCGACAGGGCCCGTGCTCAGTGCGGGACCCATGGCGGCGTTCACCGAGGTGATGCCGACAGTGGCAAGAGCCGCCAGGACCTGGTTGCGAGAATACATGGCGGAGGTAGTATGTTCGGGGTGTTGTTGGCTGGGAGTGCAGTGAGAGTTGCTAGGAGAACGGAGGACGACCAGCCTGACAAGGACAGAGCTCTTTATATATACGCCGGATGTCGACACTCCCTATTCTTGTCTGACCCTGGAACAGCGCATCCCCTTAATCACCATGCTTGAGCGACATTGTTCTACATTCTCCACCAGTGGGGGACTGAGCCGTGGAGATGTTTCCTGTAGAAGACTTCGGAAAATATGGCTCTTCGGCATAATTCTCAGGCTCCCGGCAGACGGCATTTGGCATCCGGAAACTAAGCCTGGGATTTAATCTATTCGCGGTGGACCAGTGCCGCAGCCTCCTACAGACCTTCCTCCGTCTTGACCCACACGCCCTCGACCTCCTATCGTTGGTCTCGACCGCGTAGTCTGATTCTCCTCGAATCAGAATCACCAGACAATCTGGACAACATGGGGATTTAGCGCCGCCTTAGAACTCCAGATTCCAGCCATAGGATGACCAGTCCCGAATATTAACCGAGCCATCCTTCAGCACTGGTTTCCCGTCCCTGTGGAGCACATCGATTAGCACAGGGCTAGCCAATGACCTTGATACAGATGGTCCAGTTTCCCCGAGTGGAGCATTCTCTGGTGCTTGTCTTTACCACCTTGCTCTGACAGCCTGCGTCGTTGTGGCATTAGAGCTTGTGTACGCTCCCAGGACGATTGACCTGGCAGGGTCGCGGATTTTCATATCAACCTGACATGGTGCTGACATGATAGAACGCCAGCGACGTCAGTGTCCTATCAAGTCGAGATTTTCCATTGCGCTGTTGGCGCCGTGATTATTGATGTGATATAGTCGATAATATTTAAGTGAATTATGAAGGCCCATATTCGGTCCTGCGTACCGTCCAAAGAATACACGTCCCAACAGATAGTGGTCCAACTACGGAGAAGCGATGTATCGCGACTCGCCCAATGGTCACTGGCAGTAGTTCGATATCTTTACTCCTACAGTGCATCTGGGCTGGAATGAACTACGGGTAGGCGAAGCTCCGAGGCAGCTTTCACAATTCTCTGGAACCTTGAAGGCAACTGTTCGCGGTGCGTGTCCTGAGACACCTCTGAGAATGTACTCATTCGTAACTCCCAGATATGTTCGGCCTCACCATAGCTCATCCACGCTACGAGGAAACCAATGGAAGCAGTGCAAGGCCATGTTGTTCGATCAGGGGACGTTGGAGCCGATACGAATGCCTGTACCATCCGCACTTCAGAAGCGCCCGAAGGGTCAATGAATCGAGACTATCCACATGTTCCTGGAGAGAAATTCCCAACTGCCGTCGTGCAGCCAGGGACTGGATTACGGGGTATGAGAGCCCAGAAGCACCTCCTTGCAGATCCTCAGAGCTATCGAAGCGCAACATACTCGCTGGTTTGCGCCATCGCCTTGCGACCGGGTAGCCCGTACCCAAGGATCACACCGTCACCTTAAGCGGTCGCCCCCAGCGATACCGAAAAGAAAACCATCATTGCTTTCTCGGCGGCGCCATGCCACTGCTTCCCGCGTTGTGTGATATTTACTTGTTGCGTTCGTGACTCGTGCGTGTGAATGATGCACTGGAAGCGCTGGCGGACAAATAGGTGCCATAGAGCATTAAGAGCATACCCGTGGGTGTCTCGAAGGCTAGCAAGCACAGGGACGTTGGGATTCGCAGGTCTCGCAGTGTGTAGTAGAGGGATTATGGAAATGCGTTCAGACGGGAATTCTGTGAGTGAGTTGTGTCTGGTCGTAACAATGAGTCGGCGACGAAGCACGAAAGACGCAAAGACACAGGACTGCGTCACGTGCCGCTGAGCTCAGCAGAATCTCAACCCTGTCCGAACGAGGCCAACAGACAACATAGCAACCATCATGGCACCCGCTATGTTTCGTCGTACTCGTCCTTGGATACAATGGCGCTGTCTTGATGTAAAACTCGTTCAAAATCATGAAGTAAACATGAACCATCGAGTGAAGGGACGCCCGATTGCTGAACTTTCGGTGTTTGCTCGGCATGACAAGCCGAGCAATGACCGACCAATTCTAGATCAGCCGAGAAGATGGATTGGGGTTTGGTAATACCGAATCATGAATTGAAAGTCTGGGAAGTCTGAGATCTGCATGGTCATCTTAACCTTAAGTTGCGAACATGATTGAGGCTGCCGTGTACAGCACATCCTGCGCGGTGCAGGACCCGGGGTACGCGGTAGACTGGAGAACATAGGAATTGATCACGAAGTTAACGACACGATTCTAGTCTCCCTGTCCCGTTGATAGCCTCTAACTGGCTACTATTTCAGTCAATGCCTCCGGGAAATCCTCGTTGAGCCGCAACGGCAATCCTCAACATACCCTCAACGACATCCAGTGACTCACTGGTTGGTTCTCAAGGGTGATGCGTGTCAATCAGGGGGGGCGATGCCTAGAATCTGAGGAGCCAGCGCCAGGACTACAATCCTGGCAATGGCTCTCCATGCGTTATGTGGGCACACTGATGGGTGCTCCCCGGGCTCGAGGCTCTACTCGAAATCTAGGCCTCGTTGCACACTCCATGGCCTATAAATACCTGGGCATGCCGCGTGGTGGACTTTCAAATGAGACAAAAAGACATCACTGGGCCTCAAATTGCGTATCGTTCTGAACACATACCATTTCCACTTCATTTATCCCCTGTGCCCTTTCTCAACCATGGCGTCTTTGTTTTTAAATGTCACTTGCCCCTACAGAACCCGTCTGGTCGCTGGCAATTCAGCACAATTGATTGGGAAGCATTCACGAACACGGGCTTCCCCATGGACAGCAGTCATGCCTGGGAGAAGACCCCAGAGTACACAGTCTCCCCTCGTTACAAAGTCATCATGGACCCACCCGGTGTAAGTCTAAACTTGTTCGTCGCCTACCATCAATTTCACTAGCAAGTTCAATGTAAACTCGAGAGTGGCACAACACGTTCTTACACTGCATGCAGATACACGATGTCTCAACTTCAGTCTATTCAGACGGCTCATCGCAACGCCGAAGGCTGGCCAGATAAAATGGCTCTGGGAACTGTCCGCTTTCTACGATGGAGCATGGACTTGGTCACAGGGTACCATCATTCACGTCGACGCGACGTACACTCTCGCTTCCGAATGACCGAACAAAAATGGATTACAAGATTCATTTTCCTGGAGAGCGTTGCGGGCGTTCCTGGGATGGTAGCTGCTATGCTGCGACACCTAAAGAGTTTAAGGAGGATGAGGCGAGATTATGGATGGTATGTTGCGGCGAGCCCTTATACGAACCTATTTGAAACACTATTCGAGGATATGTACCTAACTGTTCCGCTGCAACTGCATAGGATCGAGACCCTCCTAGAAGAGGCCTATAATGAAAGGATGCACCTTTTAACCTTCCTCAAACTCTCCCAACCAGGGCCTGCCATGCACTTCATGGTCCTAGCAGCACAATGCGTTTTCTTTACGGGATTCTCGCTCGCCTACCTGATTTCTCCCCGGATATGTCACCGGTTTGTTGGGTACCTGGAGGAAGAAGCTGTGATCACCTATACCAAAGCGATCCAGGAGCTTGACCGGGGAAACCTACCCCTTTGGAGCAATATGGAGGCTCCAGCAATGGCAATCAAGTACTGGCAGATGCCCGAGGGCCAACGATCTATTCGTTCTCTGTTGATGTATGTGCGCGCTGACGAGGCGAACCACCGGGATGTGAATCACACGCTTGGGAGTCTCAACCAGGATAGTGATCCCAACCCCTTCTCGGCCAAGTTCAAGAACGCGATCAAGGAAGCCAGCCAGCCCTTGTCTCCCGTGAAGGAGTATCGTTGACGATTGGGTTGTAGTTCCGCGCCCCTGCATATGTTTCCAAAGTTAATTGGCATTGATATAGAGAAATAGAGAAATAGAATATGCTACTTTCATGGGTTGAAAGCCTTATGTCAGTTCAGTAGCAGACGAAGCCAACTAGCATTGTGAACCTCTACAAAAAACGCACACTGAGGTATCGGTGCTCGTAGTATAAAGTACATTTATGGTATAGAGCCCAGCCTAGTTTAGCAGGCTAAGGATAGCAGGCGAGTTATTGCTCTATGATTATCTCCACCAGCGGGTTAGCTATCCCACTAAATGTACTCAATACTGCCCATCTCACTACAGGTCCTATGTCCCAGACACCCTAAATAGAGGTCTCAGATCCTTGTTGCTGAGTGAAAACAGAACTACAGAAGATGGCCGACCCAAGTAGAAATGCCAATCCCGAATTCCTGCTGCTAGACAGCAAGTGGAAGGTGTCCATTGTCAAGGAGTCCATCTCCAATTGGGGTCCTTCCAGCCTCCTACCAGATTTTGGGTCGCAACATCACCTGCCGTCAGTCGTACACCCTGTTCCTTGTCTCTTCTTCGATTATCAATCCTGAACCATGTCCCCAAACCTACCACCACACACGCACCCACCAAGAGAAAGGCACAATTCACAATTACGCGGGCATATACCTCGGTGCAGTATCCGCTTTAAATGACAGGCTTGATGGAATGCCCGCACAATTCGCCGCCCCGACCAAGAACCCTACCGTCGCTGCTCGCTGGCTCTCGTCTGTGACGTTGTTGGTATGCCAGCTATGGAAGATACTGCTTGGTACGAAAGCACCGGCCGCAAGGAGGAAGCACGCGAAATAGGCCACCCCTTTGTTAGTGTCTGCATCGACAGTGACGAGAATTATGTATCCAACAAACGTGATGATCAGCGCGGCCGCCAGGTGGAACGAGCGTTCTCGAAAATGATCCGAGGACTTCGCAATGATCCACAGAACAACGGTCCCGACGCAGTAGGGAGCCACCGTGTATAGATTGGTTTTCACTGCGGAGTACCCTTGGAGAGCCACCATTTGCGGGAGGAAATTGCTGACGGAGCTTTGGGCGACACCGAAGCAAAAGCAGCTAACGGCCCAGACGAGGACCCGCCAGTCTAACAGGGCAGCCAGAGCTTCAGTGATGGAAAGGCTATCTGTCGTTCGGACGGACCCGTCTTGTAGCAAACGCATCTGTGCCACTTGGGATTCGGCTTCGTTGAACCAGTGGCACTTGGAGCCGCTGAGGGGGAGCCACCAGGCAGCAAAGGTGGCGATGATCATAGTCGCACCGCCTTCGATCAGGAAGAGGTACTTCCAGCCGGGGAGATGCTGTTCGATCTGGAAGACACCAAAGGCGATCAGGCCAGAGAATGCACCTATCGTCCATGGAAGGAAATGGCCGTTAGTTGGAATGTTGTACTGTTTTGCGTTGCTAATGTAAAGCCTACCTGCGATCGTAACCATGCCGTAAAATATCGAGAGTCGGAATGCAATTTCATTTCGTTTGTAAAACTGTGTCAGGTAGAAGATCACCCCAGCTGAGTATGTCATTAGCCATGATTCTGTCACTCAATGGCCGTTTTATGCATACCGAAAAAGCCCGCTTCGAAAATGCCCATGAAGAGTCGACACACGAGCATGCCAGCAAAGTTGAACGCCGCGCATTGCAGAAGCGTAACACTGCCCCTACGAAACTGTCAACATGGCTATGCTAATACCATCTTGAATGATGAAGGTCTGTGACCTACCAGCCGAGCATCATTATAGGAAGCATGGTTTTACCGCTGAATCGCTTCAGCAGCAGGTTGGAGGGAAGATCAAACAGAGAGAAAGTAACATTGAAAACGGCAAGGATAATACTGTATTGGTTGCCAACCAGCTTGAGGTCTTCGTCAATGCCATCAGTCTTCGCGTTCCCCAGATTACTCCGATCAAGGGAGTTGAAGAAGTACATCAACGAAAGGACGGGAAGAAGTCTAGATTTGGGCGTCAATGATGGATGTACTTCACACATAGGCCAGGTCCTTGCTTTACTTGAAGTCCAACTTTCGAAGGACGGATCTCTCGATGGACGGATCGATTCTGAGAGATTCTCCCGACACAGTGTCCGCTTCTTTGGCAGTAGAGTTAGAAACCACGAGCTCTAGCTCTTCCTTCTTCAAGGTCCGGGATTCCATGACTGTGCACGGGCAAGTGAGCTTTAAGATCAATATAGATGTGTGAAGGCAATGGACGGAAACTCGAAAACACAGGCCAATATAGGCTCTTATATGGCCAGCTTCAATACCCATAGCTCTACATCACTAATCACCCGATCAGCCCGAGCCAGGCAGATATTGCTACCATGGTATGTACCCATGAGGAGTAGCCGTCGGTCGATATGCTTTGTGGTGACGCGGAAGATGGGCAGGCTTTGAGCCGGACGTCATACTGAGGGGGGCCATATCCTATCATGTCGTACACTCAAGGTTCATCATATCATCTTATCGAGTCTGTAGATGGTATTAGACACTAATCTGAGGTCGTTGTTGCTGTTCAGCGAGCGGCATCGATACGATTAGGGCCAGATTCGACCGAGACGGCAATTCCTTGTCGGTTGAACCCGCCCGCCAAAGGGCTGCGATATCAACTTCCCCGCACGCCAGGAGCACTTCACTTGACAACTTCTACCACCAGGATCAGCCCCCTCGACACGTATCACTCGTCCATTGAACTAACGGGGAAGGTCCAGTCGGCGTTGGAGTATCGGTGTTGTCTCCGAGAAAGCGATACCTGAGCTGCTGGGTCCGTGACCTGGAATTCCGGTATTCAAACCCAGGCCAACGAGCAGATTGACAACGGTCTTTCTGAAGGTTATACCAACGGAGGTAGAGATATATTGCCTTTCTAGGCAATATGTCTGCATAAAAACGCGGCGGAACCTTCCGACAACCGACATCTTGTCACGTAACGCGGCGCTGATCCATTTCGAAATAGCAGCCAGTGAACAACCAGGCTGGACCACTCGTCTTCCCGAGCGCTTTCCTTCCCCCGGCATGCACAAGATACTACCATTCTAGCTTATGACTCAGTCGCCTTCAGATAGTCGCAAGCCAGGTTGATCGGAAATAAAAGCGATTTTTAGGTGCCCCCACAATCTCGGGTGGGGTTGCATCCTGATAGATACATCGAGCTCCAAACGGGTGATCCACCTCCAATATAAGATTGGAGTACGTCTGACTCTGACCTGTTGATTGCATTTTGCGTCAGTGACACTGTTTGGTACCTCTTCTTGGACACCCTGAGTTTCTACGATGGCATATCACATACCTCTAAAGGACAAACAGTCACCCATTGTGATTGTGGGTGCAGGGGTTTTTGGCCTCAGCAGTGCCATCCATCTAGCCAAGAGAGGATTCACAGATATCACGGTCTTTGACCGACAGCCATACCATCAGACACACTACGACTTCGACAAAGGCTGCGATGCGGCCTCTGCAGGTAAATACACCGGTCACATACAAGGCTCATGCGGCAATTTCTGACAGAAAATGCAGACTGTAACAAGATCATCCGTGCAGCGTACGGTGACGAGGTTTGGTACCAGAATCTGACTCTCAAGGCAATCGAGGCCTGGGAATCATGGAACCGGTCTCTAACAGAAGGAACAATATTGCCACCCGGAATGGCAAGCAATGATCGGATCTATGTCAACTGTGGGAATTATCATTTCGGGGACGCGGCCAATGGGCTAAACGACTTCGAGAAGCTGTCGGTGGACAACATTACGAAGGCTGGTCAAGGCCATACACAGTACCTGCTGTATTCCGGTCCAAAGGAGGTGGCACGCGCCAGGGCGAATGGGTTTAGCTACGCGGTGGATCCGTTCGGTCTCTCCAAAGATGGAGCATATCAGGGCTATCTGGATATGATCGGTGGATTTGTTTATGCTGACAAAGCTTGCACTTATGCCCTCCATCTCGCGAAGGGGCTGGGTGTGAAACTGGTCCTGGATAGGCAGGCGGGTAGCTTTGACAGCTTCTTAGAAGATCCAGCAGGCAGAGTGGTCGGCATCAAGACGGCCGACGGCAAACAGCACAAGGCCGCAGCGACGATTGTTGCGTGTGGAGGCTGGACACCCAGTCTGGTTCCTGAGATCGATGGCCTCTGCGAGACCACAGCCGGATCCATCGCCATGATCCAGATCCCGGAAGGATCTCCCCTGCGGGAACGTTTCTCACCGGACAAGTTTCCCGTGTTCCAGTGGAATACGCGGGCCGGTGAAAATGGTAATCTGTACGGATTTCCGCTGGATAGTCGCGGCGTGATGAAGATCGGGTACAGAGGGACCAAGTATACCAATCCACAACAGGTCCAGTCGGGTCAAGTGCGCAGTGTACCCATCACGAAGTGGACATCGCCGTTCATTACCGGGTTGCCGGAGAAGTCCGTCCAGGTGGTTCAGAGCTTTCTAGACAAGTATCTTCCCGAATTGAAGCAGGGTGGGATCGGAATCTCGCAAACCAGACTCTGCTGGTACACGGACTCGTTTGATAACAACTGGGTGATTGATAGCATCCCAGGCAAGGAAGGGGTCATTGTGGCTACAGGTGGCAGTGGTCACGCTTTCAAGTTCCTACCTTTACTTGGCGAGTTCGTCGCCGACAAGGTGATGGGGATCGAGTCAGACATGCTGCGCAGATTCCAGTGGCGGGAAGTACCGCATGGGGAAACGCCTCGTAACCAGCTCATGAAGGGTTTCAATGATGCAAATGCTCTCCACCGAGTGCGGATGGTGCCTGACCACATCAGCCAGTATAATTCTAAGCTCTAGGATAGAATTGACGACTAGTTCATAAGAGTCAGCGACACGGCTGGGGAAAGAAGCTGTCAAGATGTGCAATATTCCATCGTCGTAGAGATTATCAATCCATCCCGTATAGTCTCGTGTGCTCTTACAAGTCGACAAACGTCTTGGCAATACTCTGGTCTGTTTTGGTGATCCTTATTAGGGTTATTCTTTGCTTTGAAGAATGGGGCGAGGATAGTTTTTATATACAGCCTGGCTATTGAGTTTGAGATCAACCGTCGGAGATTATGTAGGCACTGAAGGCTATCAAAAACTTGCGACAATAGCAGTAATTACAGCATTGGTCTCAAAAATGCACTCTTGCTTCCTGTTCCCAGCGTGTAATCCCTAGCTAGATATGGATATGCACCAGTGACACTGAAATATATATTTTGCATTCTCTACCGTCGCGCACATTGGTCCTTGATTATAAAGATTATTTCCTTTCTAGGCCCACTGGACGCAAAACCAAGAGTGGACGGGTTCATATAGTACCACAGAGCCCTTAATTGTATTGGTTGACACCGGCCAGGCGTGGATATCTGCCAGACTGAAACTCGGAGCTGGGGCATCAGAGTGGAGATTTCCGGATATTGCGGCCCCTCGGCAAAAATTTTTCCTTTACCCCTTTTTTCCTCGAATTTGTCTTAGCCTCAGGGTTTCAATCTCACAAAACGAAGTTTACTCGGTAGGAAAGGATATTAGAGAGATTGCCCCTGGAGGGTAGTGCTACGAATTAAGTTGGCCAGGCTGATAACCTGGATTGTGTCGTTGCCACTCAGGGGAAGTGGCGCACCAAATGGCCCTCTTTTTTTCTCTCGGAGAAAAAAAAAAAAAAAATAAATAAATAAAATAAAAATAAGAATAGAAATGAACTAATTCTCGCGCCGAGGAAAACGAAGAATGCCGATTGGATCGACTATAGCAATCCCGTACAATGCAGAGAGTAGCATACTTGTATCATGACCTGTGGCGGATTTGCGTGATGTCAAACCCTTGACCCTGATGAGGCCCCATAACCCGATCTTGACGAGGCCTCGTGAAATCGTACTGAAGAAGCAGTCTGTATCATAGCAAACAGGCATTCTGACTCTGTGGTCATCATGATGGTGTTCTCGAGATCAGAGTGAAGGCCAGCATTGACGTCAGAAACCGTTTCCTTTCACAGTCTCAAAGCAACGAAGCAATCCATTGGACAAGAAGGCAGATGCAGTGGGACGAAATGTCAGAGGCACAGCGCTACAGAGCAACCGGCTCAACCGGCGCGTTGGCTACCGTGAGAGACCCTGTGATTGACCGAGTAGAGCTCTAGATCTTGTCAACATGGCTCCACTTCTGGCGGAAAATCTCCACCACTTCGTTGACGAAAGCTTGTTGAAGTACTCGGCGAGCGCTAGAGCGCTGTTCATTTCCTATCATAGAGTAGCTCATTGGTTCAACTTTCGGGAGATTTCCCTGCGCTCATCGAGAAAAAAAAAAATCTCGTGTTGTCCTTATCTAGCTTCTTTGCAGTTGAGTCAACCAGCCCAAGATTCTCTTCTGCCCGTTACTGTGGCGTTGTCCTCGAGATTCGACTAGCGTTAGCGACACATCACCTTGCTGAGTTACATTGAAATGTGCAATCATGGACGACAGCAGCCCAAGACGCCCCCGAGCTAGGGTGAGTTCCTTGATCAGGGATTGACCCAACCCATCTCACAGTGCTCACGGCTTCTTGCTAACTAACGCGGAATCGCGATGGGTGTAGTCAGAAGGGACCAGCCAGGGTAGACTAGAAATCAACAGGGAGATGTCGCCGGGCTCACCGAGACGCGGCGTGAGTGATACGGCCAACTATAGCTCTCCCACGCGCCGCACTTCAGGAGTGGACACCTCCAGAGATGGTGGTGAGTCGGACGGGATGCGACGCCGCAGTATTGTCCGCTCCGTACGGACAGGCAGTTTGGCCCAGCGAACGACTCTAGCCGAGCGCACGCAAGGGCAATTCACCATAGGGGGCCCAGAGGACGGTCCACAGCTGTGGCAGGCACACGAACCCTTTGTCCAGCCGGGGTATTCAGACCTCAACCCCTCTTATGAACAGGCCGCAAATGCGAAGCCCATCTGGTCTCTCGCAAAGCCCTTGCCGCGTGTAGTGCGGGCTGGCATGGTGCCCACGAAGGAGGAGTTGCTTGATGCGCGGTTGCAGCCAGAGCGTCCGGCTGAAAACTCCCAGAAGCTGGGACTCGATGTGAATCCAAATGACTTGGAGCAAGGCCAAATTCCCAAAATGGCAGATCCCCGGAAAATGGCAGCGCAGGTAGAGGACGCCCGCCTTCAGCGAGAAAATAACTTTGTCAATAAAGTTCTCACTGGAGATGTTGGTCCATCACGCATATCCCGGACTTCCTCTACTCGCCGGCGCCGCCCGTCAGTGCGGATTGATGCCTCGAGCGATCAGCTTTCGACAGTGCCAGAAAGGCCGAGCGCGGTCCCGAGCGTAGGCTCCGTTCACGCTGGGGAAGGCCAACTTCATGGGAGGGACGAATTACTTGAGCCCGTGCCAGAGCAACCGGAGGCGGACCTGCCGGGGGGGATGCGCTGCCCGATCTATTGGCGCTGCATGAATCAACACTTCCAGACGATCTGCACCCGCTAGTGCAGGGGCTGGTGGAAGACGAAGTACACAACAATCATACGACCTGGTCCGTTATTCGCACTCACCATCGTGAGGCGCTAGCGGAATCCCTGGCGGTATTTGTCCAGCTGACCATTGGCTTCTGTGCTGATATTTCTGTTACCGTGGCCGATGCTGGTAATCCTAATACAACGGCGTGGGCATGGGGCTTTGCTACCATGATGGCGATCTATATCTCCGGTGGTGTCTCTGGTGCCCATCTCAATCCCAGTGTTACGATTATGTTATGGTTTTATCGTGGCTTCCCCAAACGTAAGATGCCGGAGTATTTCCTAGCGCAGTTCGTGGGTGCATTTGTTGCTGCCTTGACAGCCTACGGTGTATACTACCAATCCATTCATCAATATCTCCTCACTCACCAAGATACGGGGATTGTGACCAGCTTCGTAACGGGCCAGCGTCAATCATGGATTGACCCAGCAACCGCGTTCTTTACGGAACTACTCGGGACGGTCCTCACGGCCACGACGATCTTGGCCTTGGGTGACGACCAGAATGCACCACCCGGGGCGGGCATGAACTCGTTGATCGTTGGGCTCATGGTGTTCGTGCTTTCGAACACCTTCTCCTACCAGACAGGCGCTGCCTTCAACCCCAGTCGAGACTTCGGGCCGCGCCTGGCCCTTCTCGCGCTCGGGTACGGGTCCGAACTGTTCACGAACCCTTACTGGTTTTACGGGCCGTGGGCCGGTTCTCTATGCGGTGCTATGATCGGTGCGTTTCTGTATGATTTCATGATCTTCACCGGTGGTGAATCGCCAGTGAACTACCCTTGGGAGCGCACACAGCGCTCGCTGCGGAAGAGTCGCATCAAATGGAAACGCCGACTACGTATTGACCGTCGACGCCGTGGTATCCCCGACAAGGTGGTTGCTTAATGTTGCTAATTGAAAAGCCCATCCAGTTGTTGAGGCGTGCGTGGTGATGTTGTTGGCATGACTGCAGGGAATCCTCCTTTTGTTTGTCTAGACCAATGGACATCTCTCGACTGTTGGCTATCTCGCGCTGGTCGTTATTTCCTCCTGTATATACATCACATAGACTGATATAGAAGCAGAATGAGAACTTACTGTTCCTACATCGCGTTCGAATTTCAACCTGGACCGGGTAGCCCAATCGGGTAAACCGGGTCACATGGCCTCAGCTGACACCACGTGGGGCGTGGAAACCCGAGATCGACAATCCAAGGATGGAAGCCTTCACCACTCCACAGCCATCCAATGCGCGTCCTTAGCCGCGTACCCACGTCTAGAACCTCTTCTCGCGTGTTGACTACCTCGGCTTTCGGGAAGCTCCAGACCACATCCATAATGCCCAAGGCACAAGCAAAAGCAGAACCATCAGATCTTCCCACTCACCCCTTTAGATCAGCCATTGACTTTGAACAATTTCTCGAGCGAGAGCATGCCACATCTCCAGGGATCTATGTGAAGCTGGCCAAAAAGTCTTCAGGCATTCCATCCGTGTCTCGCGACGAAGCGGTGGAGACCGCATTGTGTTTCGGATGGATCGATGGTCGTGCGCACGCGTACGATGAGGACTGGTGGCTGGTACGATATACCCCACGACGTGCGAAGAGCATCTGGTCCAAGAAAAACGTGACGACCGTCGAGTCGTTGCTCAACGCCGGTCGTATGCGGCCAGCCGGTTTGGCCGTGGTCGAAGCGGCACAGGCGGATGGTCGCTGGGCTCGTGCATACGATGGCCCGGCCAGTATCACCGTGCCAGAAGATTTCGCCGCTGCACTGACACAGACGCCGGCAGCCTCAACTTGCTTTGAAGGATTGAATCGGTCAGACCGCTACTCGGTGTTGGTTCAGCTTCAGTGGATCACTCCGCAGCGCCGAGCGAAGCGCATCGAGACATTGGTCCAGATGCTAGCAGATGGTAAAACACTAGGAGCGTCCGACAAGTCAGCTAAACCCAGCAAACGGAAAACTGTGGACAGGAACCATGAAAAGGGTGGACGTCGGAAAGCATCGAAAAAAGCATGACCGATGCCCAGTCCACGATATCGATAGACAAGGCAACATGAGGCTTCAGATTCACCAGACACAGAGTGCTAACTCCAATTCTTTGCGACGATTTAGGAAGCGTAGATCACTAGAACACGCTGGGTTCAGCTCCTTTTCCTGTGTTTAGGATACTAGATTTGTGACTGAGAAAGTGACCATTCGCCTTTGTTGCCTAAATAATATTATTATGACATCTATACCAATTCTGCATCCGTGAACTATGCGAGAACTAGTAAGCAGCTTCCGACCTTCTCTAGATGTACTCCGGAGCCAGGATGTCCATGTATCGGGAGCATGTAGCGGCCGAGGTGTAGCCTAGTGTGTTGCTTTGTTTTCGTACTGAGGATAGTATGTGTATATCCTCATATCACCACCCCCATCAATGTAGATCTCCTCAGGAAAGCAACGTATGAAGGCAGCAGGTACATACACGTGGCTGATATTGTCGGCAACACCGATATGAATCTACCATCGGCAAGCTGCCGATCGAAACGGATCGGGAGCTAGCCGAACAACTCGGGAGGAGCCGACGTTCCTGCAGAAGCTGAAGAATTCTCTCACGATACGATATCAACCGAGATTGCAGCTTCCTAGAAATAGAAACTACGTACCCATAGAGTCACTTGCCGCCTGGGGGAACCACTCGACAACAGAACTATGATTGGCCTGCCATGACCCGCATCGCGAAAGAGGTCCCATGTGTCTCTGCGGGGAGACAGCTTATCAGCTAGAACCGTTTTTTGGTTCCAACTAGCCTCTTGGAAGACCATTTGGACCCCAGTTTAACCATACTTTAATCATTAGACTGTCCCCCAGCATCTGAGTCCCCTCTGAAGTAAGAGGACTGGGACCCCATTCAGTGAAGGTGTAGAAGGTGATGATAATTTTCCTGTAATTGATAAGAATACGGGCCAAAAAAGAGCAATTTCGCAAGCCGGTGCCGTGCTGGATTCAGGGTTACATCGTCTCGAAGGAATGAAGCCGATGACCTGATGCATCAGGACCTGGCCATTTCTATTGCACTGGTTATTCGCCTTGTGCCTGAGGACCACCCGGGCCCGCGAGTTAAACATGGTGCGCCATTTGGCATGCTGGGGCCATACCTTCAGGGGAAGCCTTAGAAGGAAGATTGGAAGTGCAGATCAATGGGGTCACTTCACGACTAAGGGGGCATTGGTTCACCCGGAGCCATGACAGCGTTACATTACAATGCGTCGATCTTTTTGGGGGCGATGCTTCGTAGTACGTTCTCACAGTATCCATGGCTCCAGAATCATATGGTTGAAGCATTAGACAGGGTATAAAGACCCGCACATTTCTTGCAGAATGAGCGTGAAATCAACAGACCTACATCCCCAATTCCAAGCTCTCATCGCACAATCTGCTGTTCCTTTCACACAATGCGTCTTTCTGAGATCCTCGCCGTTGCTCTGGCCACTGGTGCCACCGCATATGATCTGCCGGAAAACTTGCGGGATATCTATTATAAGCATAAGGTACATCACTCTACCGTCGTTCAATCCTGTGTCACGGACGTAGTGTCTAATATTTACATTTCTACAGGGAAAATGTTCCAACGTACTGAAGGGGGGCTTTACCAACGGTGGCCACAGCGATGGGAACTCCTTCGAATACTGCGGTGACATCGAGGGAGCAATCTTCATGCACTCCTCTGCCAAGGGTGGCCAGTACACGAACATGGATGTCGACTGCGATGGAGCCAACAACTCTCATGGGAAGTGCTCCAATGACCCCTCCGGTCAAGGTCAAACCGCTTTCAAGGATGAGGTCAAGAAGTTCGGAATTTCCGACCTCGATGCCAATCTGCATCCCTACATTGTGTTTGGAAACGAGGACGACTCGCCCGAGTTCAAGCCTCAGAAGCACGGAATGGAGCCGTTGAGTGTTATTGCGGTTGTGTGCAAGGGCCAGCTGGTATGTATATTATCCTCCCCAGGGAACATTGCCAGCTAATCTGAGCTACTCAGCATTACGGTATCTGGGGTGACACCAACGGTGGCACTTCTACTGGCGAGGCTTCCCTTTCTATGGCGGAGCTTTGCTTCTCCGATGAGAACCCCGATGGTGATAGTGGCCATGATGAAAATGATGTCCTCTATATCGGATTCACCGGCAAGGATGCGGTTCCTGGAAAGAGTGCCAACTGGAAGGCCAAGACGACCCAGGAGTTCGAGGACAGCATCAAGTCGATCGGTGATAAGCTGGTTGCTGGTCTCAAGGCTTAGGCTGTTGATTATGGGGCTTGGACGAACGGCGCGGATTAGCCCGGATCACTGTACAGCATATATAGGTCTTCATGTGTTTAGTCGAAGTGGTGTGTATATGTACACTTAGTGAAATCATAGTATCTATCCAGAATCCTTTGCTAATAGTACGCATTGCGTTAAATAATCTCGTATATTGTTGTACTCGACTATCACTCATGATTGACCACAAATATCTCTTCGGAAACCTAGAAGACTACATGACAGATCGAGATGCCCTACACCCCAGCTTGGGGCGCCATGCCGGATGCCATCTTGCGGCCCTCCTCGAAAGCATCTTTAATCTCGTCCAACTTGGTATCCCACCTAACGCCCTCCTCCTTCGTTTCCAGCGGGTCTCGATTGAGCGTCTCCACATCGACATGCACATCCGCGCGCAATGTCATCGTTCCTCGTGCAATAGGGGTGCCGAGGTTGTCAATTAATCCCGGGCCTTTGGCATCGTCCGCCTTGGGATCCTCGTAGACTTTAACGTTGAAGACCTTGTCCGGACGGAAGAAAAAGTCCTTACTCAAGAGGACAGGATCGTTGTTCGTCGGTGGGAATGGATGCATCGTTTCCTCGCGGTAGCCCGTTAAGGTGAGGATCAGAGCTTTGTGGTTGCGCAGCCGAGGACGCACTTTCTTGAGGAGCTCCTTGTCGAGTTTGACATTAGAGGCAGACAGGTTCACGTTAGGTGCCTGTAGCAGCATATGCGAGATATGGTACTGGTCCTCGGAGCCGTACAAATAGAATGGCATAAAGTGTCGTGGATAGTGGTCGTCGCGATTAGCCGAGTTCAAAGGACGACTTATAACAACACGAGTCATCTCCACGGTACATTGGATAGGATTGCCGATGAACGTGTCGCCCTCGCGGGCGCCAATAACGCCATCTATCTTGAGTGCTTCTTTCTTGATTTTCGTGATCAACTCCTCGAGATTCTGGGACTCCTTGGACTTGAACACAATGTCCTGGGCCGAAAATCTGTTCTTGAGCGCTTTGTAGGCCTCTTGTGTGTCCGACTCCAGCGTGGCGGCTAAGATGATCTGCTCGCGCTGTGTAGCGCGGTGGAAACTCGTCTGGAAATCCAGGAAGACTTCATCGGTTCCCCGGAGAAGGAACTCGAGTTCCTTCTGCTCGCGGCTGTTCCGCGTGCGACAGTGTTTCACTTCCTCAATGATCACTTTCTCGAGTTCCTCCTTCATAAGCTTCGTGATGAAGTCTCTGGTGGTAGGGAAGGGGCTCATCACAACATTTCGCAAGACCCAAAGATCCTGCGCGCAGGGAGCGAGTCCGAGACGCCGCATGAAATTCTGAGCACATTGGCCGTACAAGGCTGGCTCGAACTGCGTTGAAGTCAGGAACAGTAATGGCTTCTCGGGCTTGCCCTTGGTGGTGGTGATGGACAATCGGTTCACCACTCTCCTCATCAGATAGTTGGCTTCTTCCAACTCCGTGTTGAGGTTGCCCTGCTCATCATACCAGTTGATCGCGAAGGCGTTGATATTGAGGTCGGAGCCAATATTGCGCAGCCAATCCATGATCTCCTTCTCCTTACTGATTTCATCATTGCTCTTCTCAATCACATTCTTGAGGATCCACTCTCGACGGCTGTTAACCTCGTCGCTCAAGGTGCCTTTGCCGTCCTTCTCGATTGGCAACGGGTTGAAGGGAATGATAATATAGTACGGCTTTTTTTCCTTCCAGCCCGGCTGGTCAACGTGCATGGCGGCGTACCAGGCGGATAGCTTGCAAAAGTCAGAAAACGGCAGTCCACAGGATCCACACAGAGAGGGAAGGAGGTCTTACCCGCGCACTGGTAAAGGCTGCCTCGCCCAAGAGACGACCATATCCGCTGGGACTGAGGCCGATTGTCTGGTTGGACATCCAAGCGGCCATGGCTGCGGCACCGGGCTTGCTGCCCTCAACCCCATAGACGCCGATATTCTCCGTCGACCCCTGCGTCAGATATGGGCTGGTCCAAGTGACCAAAAACCGCATGCGACCATCCCGATAACACAAACTGCCCGCGGGATAGGGGATGTAGCCCGCCTTGTGGGGGTCCACCGTGATGGTATCGGCCTCCTTGAGTGCGATCATATCGGTGAGCGTGTCCTGCCTCAACGCTAAGGAGGGGACCTCGTCCACCGCGGTATTTCCATCATTATCGTCGCTGGGCTTAGTCGGGTCCATCATCTTCCGGGGGATCATGCTGGCAAAGTAACCACCCCAGGCAGCGTCCGCATGCACCAAGAATGACAGTCCCCGGTCCTGGAACCGACGACGCATGGCCAGGATCTCATGCAATCGATCCACCCCACCTTCTTCCGTTGTTCCAATGACGGCCACGACTGCATACACAGCCTGACGTTCTTCGAGACAGCGATTCAGCTCTCGCTCGAGAGCGTCGAGAGAAATGCGACCCTCCATGTCGAGCTCCACGCCCTGCATGTTGGCAGACCCAATGCCAGCGATCGCTATCGAAGTTAGCCACTGATCTTCGAAGGAGAGAGGAGAATACGCACCACCGCCTTTGGGCCACGAGTAATGCCGTGTTTGCGCAAGGAAATACTTGGCGGGCTTCGTGATACGAAACTCGCGCTCTAGCACGTCCTTGCCAGTCGTTTGGATGGTAAATGGCGTCAAGGCCTGTTCGAGGAACTTCGAGGTGACACCAAACTGTCTATAGAGAGCATCTCCCATGTCCAGGATGACGTCGGGCTGGAGGTTGAGCAGTTCCCAGACGCCCAGGTCTTTGAACAACTTCTCTTCTCCAACACAGGTGGTCACCTGGAAATCGTTCGCTATGAAGCCAAGAGGTCCTTCCTTCATAGCCTGATACAACGTAAGGGGGTAGAACTTGAGATTGCGGGCTGCCGATGAGTAGGTCAGAAGAATGACAATGGTTGTCATGGCCGGAAGGCTTACTTACCAACCCAAATGGATTCAAGATTGGCCACAGTCCCATCACAGGTGATGTGACCCCAAGACAGAGGCAAGTGTGTGACTTCTTCATGTATATTATATCCAAACATTTCGCATAGTTGCTGTCCCACCTTCAGCTCCACGACTGTGGTGAATGGACTTGCCTCGACGGCCACATTGTTCGGATTATAGATCATCGTCATGAAATAGCCTAGGAGACCTGGCATAGTCATGTCCGTACACATGTGGCCTTGATAGCGGGGGTGCCAGAAAGGGATTGAATGCTCGCCCAAAAGCGCAGCAGTCTTTTTGACAGCCTCCTGGAATTTCTTGTAGACCGGCCCTAACTTTTGTCGGGCCGTGTCGGAGATGAATGCCTACTGTCCGCGTTAGTCTATTCATGTGCACTGTAGTTTGAGGACTAAATGGAAAGCAAAGGAAGAACAGTCACACCTCATCCTCACCGTAGCTGTCACGAGTCTTCTTAAGCTGCTCTAGGATGACTGCAATATTATCGCTGAACGGTTCCAGATTCTCAGACTTGGGCCCAATGAAGTAGGAGCTGATAAGATCATGGTTACTGATCTTTGGTGGCCCTGGGTCGCCCATGGTGTCGTTGCTTGGGATGTGGTGCTTCTCTCCTCTTGGTATCCAGGTGAGAGATGGAGCTGTTATCAGTCAGAAGGTTCTCACGTCCACGCTCCCATATTTATACCATTCTCTCCCTCTACTGCAATCGTACTTTCCAGCTATGCAACTACCCCGCCTACCTCAGCTGACTCGGTTCGCTCTGTATCATGCACGAGCAGATGCAGGATTGACCTTTCAGGCGCGGGGCCTATACACCAGGGAATGATCGGCCATCAATCAGAGCTGAAAAGGAAGGTAGATTGTTACCCAATAGAGTGACGGTGGCCACCATCTCCATCCGAGAACGATGAACAGATTACCGACAACGTATTTCACCACTCCTATCAGAAGAGACGTCTCATAATGTACCACGACTAGACCTTGATCTCTTCAAGGTGCGAGACCATCAAGACACCCGTACAACTTGCTTGACTGATACATGGAGACGAAGCGTCCATAGAGAGGCAAGTACCTACAGGCAGGCAAGGTTTGAAATCTTGCATGGTTGACATACTACCTTCTGGGCATCGAAGGAGAATACGGGGCTTTCTCAGCCGTTGATAGTAGAGTCAGGCTCGTGTAGGACCCATCCACCCTGCAAGCAGTGACGTGTCGGTGTACCCGGATGCACGGTCAATCTTGGACTTGATCTATCATTTTCAGGCGGCCACAATGAACCGATCTGCACCAGGCCCCGGGCTAGGGATGATTAGTTACTTACTTGGTGGGGACGAATAAAGTATATTGATGAGTTGGAAACTGGAAGTATAGCGTATGGCCCTGGCTTTCCTGTCGTAGTCGAGAATATATGCCAGGCTCCTTCCCTATCGTACCTAGAAGCGGACTCGGACATATCGAGGTTTGATCGTAAGTCAGAAGTGGAGAGAAGTAGCCTTTGATTTTGAACTGTGGATTGTCTCACACAGAAGAAGATCTTAGATACCCAAAGATCAGCAGCTGTGCGTCCACAGAAGGCACCGCCAAGACAGAAGAACAGTCTCTGCGCCAGCCACTGCCGCGAAGACCCACTGTCCTGCAGGAAGTCACCAATGCAAGGCGTCAACCGTGGTCAACGGGGCCTGAACATATGGCTGGCATAGGACGGCATCCAATAACGTGGATATATTCGCCGACGCCAGCTCTCGGAACCAACTGACTCGGAGTTAATCCAACTCAAATCGCCCTCTCCGCTACTCAGGTAGCTTCTTCCCCAAATAGTGGATCTTGGTACGCTGTGCACTGCTCGCCCTCCAAACTACATTCCTATAGGTGAGTGTTAGAAGAGCCTGCCACGTCACTATCTGCGGTTAATCAAGGAAAGCTACGAGTCCTTTCCTGCAGTTTTTTACTTCAATCTTTTCGAAGTTGACTCGTGGTCAAAGGGCATTGAAGCCTTACTGGTGGATAATCCCTAAGCTGCCCGGCGAAGACGTGGGATGCAATTGCCTAGAATTATTGTATGGATGCAGCGAGGATGTCTGCATTCAGCTCGATAGAGGACGAGTGGGGTGTCCTTCAAATCCACTTGGAAAGCTGATCATATTTGCATTGTAAAGGAATTGAACCACCGAGAAGATACGGAAATACGAGTGTGGGATGTGTACTTAGGCAAACAGCGCCGTCAAAACTCACACCAATCCTAGTCCAAAAAAAAAGAAAAAAAAAAAAAAAGATTGCATAAGCCTTTTGCTTAGATGGTATTTATAGGTGCGAACGGAGACTTGATCTTGAAGAACCCTTGACAAGCCAGGTATTACAATAGTCTACCTACGTGCCCTGAGAGACCACGAGGGTGGAGCGCCAAGAGGAGCTCGAATAAGTAGGACTAACCTTGGTGAAGAGTTCATGCCCTTTAATATTTAGTAGGAGGAAGCTTTCTTCAAGGCCATGGCGCACTGTTGATTATTGATGTTGGCTGGCCGAGCCCATATGCGTTCCCTGTCATTTGTTAGTCCCTGTTCCATCATCAATCGATCGATGGTCCTAGAAAGAGACTTGAGATGAATATTGACAGTGAAATGATGTCAGTCTGCACAATCCGAGAAGCCAACTGTCAAAGTCTTGCTAAGAAGTACTTGCGAACCGGATAGCTTACTTGCCAATGGCCCCAGTAGCTTATACCTGGAATTTGACCATATGCCCTGATCAGCACTGGCCTCTCCTTGAACTACGCAATATCTTTCTCTTCTTTCATCTTTACTCTTGCATCTTGGCTTTCCGTTTCCATCTCCCACCTGTTTTGCAGAGAGCAAACAACAGTCCCTATCGATTGCTGGCAAAATTGCTATCCGACTGACTGGGGCAACTTAGGCGAAGTTTCGGATTCTTTAACCGAGCAGACTAGGTATCATCATCATGAAGGGCACCTCTAACCCGGGGCGTTTCTACGTGGCCTATTGGCTATTAAATTCGGCCCGAGGGTCTCCTCCCAGCGATGGTCGAATGATATTAGGAGATGGTGATGATCGCCTCCGTTTTCCAAGGCTCGGCACGCCGATCGCAACATGGATAAATTGCTTTTAAGGGTCATGACTGCCAGTCAGGGAAATTCCGCCAACGGTGAATGTAGGCTGGACCTTTACATGAAACGTTTGGCCTGGGATGCACAGCATGTGCCATGACATTGTCTCTCGGTCACGCCGGCACGCGGGGGAATGGAGGCACATAAACATGCCGCCAGAGGTGCAAGTCCGGATGGACAGAATATCCCATTAACTGCAGAAATGGGATCTCTATGCAGGCATGTGGCTGTGGGTGCGTCGCTTTTCGCGGTCGCGACAGCCCAGATCAGGGTTCGTCTGAGCCCGTCCACCGTGAACACCCTCGCAGAACCCGATTTTCACACCTGGGCCATTGAAAACGAAAGCCAGAATGCGTCCACAACGCTTGACTCTCTCGATTTGACGTTGTCCGTCTCGCCCGAGTCGGACTTGGAGGGCAACAGCTACAAGTATCAATATACGCGGCCCATCTCCCATCTCGGAGAAAGAGTCGTCAACCAAGGGATTACCACCTCCAGCGACAACCCCGGGCCGATTACGTTGACCATCCAAGGTTTGGAAGCAGGGGAGCACACCCTGTTGACATGGCATAATGCCTGGGACTCTTTGGACTCCACCGCCACAATCTCCGTGTCGGTGGACGGTGAGGACAAGGCTTCGGTGCGTCGTTTCAAGCGAGACCCATGCGTATGAGTGCTCACATGGCCTATTTTTCTAGGACATTGAGCAGTCGATTCGCGTGGATAACATTTGGGAGACCGCCACATCTTATGTGACATTCACTGTGGACTCTGCCGGTCAACCGGTGGAAATCGTCTACACACCCTCCAGTGTGGATGGACTTGTCTATCTCAACGGCTTCGAGGTTGACACCCCGGCCTTGAAAGACCAAATCTCATTCCCTTCTCCATCGCATCGTGACGAGCACCTGCAGCTTGGCGGCGACGATAGTATCACAGCAACCTGGAGAGCCCCGTATTCTACTGCTGCAGTCACATATAATGTCTACATGGGAAATTCGTCCGATGCCCTCGACATTGTAAAAGAAGGGCTGAGTGAAACACAGGTAGCCCTATCAGGTACCGTATCCTTCTCTGGGCCGATTATCGAACCACTCTAACATAGCCAAGGGCTGAACACCATGGACACTTTCTACTGGCGTGTGGATGTGATTTCTGGCAACAGCACATATACAGGTCGGATATTCATGTTTCGGCTTGCACAATTAGCATTTCCGGGGGCGGAGGGATATGGGTGAGCTCTATTGCAGATCTATGGAACACGCCGATTGCTCGTATAATGACATCAAACAGTCGCTTTGCCCGTGGCGGTCGCGGGGGCAAAGTCGTCAAGGTGACCAGTCTGGAGGACAGTGAGGAGCCGGGAACCCTGCGTTACGCGCTGGCCGTCGCGACTGGTCCTCGGATTGTCGTGTTCGATGTGGGAGGGGTCATCACGATCAATTCGCGCCTCACGGTGAGTGACAGCTATGTGACGGTAGCCGGTCAAACGGCACCCGGCAAGGGCATCGCCGTCCAAGGCCACCCGTTGGGTCTCTCTGGTGCATCAGATGTGATCTTCAGGCATGTGCGTGTCAGACCAGGAAGTGGCTCGGGCGAGACAGTCGATGGCATGGGCATGGCAGGATCCAACTACTGCATTCTTGACCGCTGTTCAATGGTGAGTTTCTATACCTCCACTATACCTCCAGGACCTCTATGCGCAGTGAGTGACGGAAACCATAGGGATGGGGGATCGATGAGTGCTTCTCGTCCCGCACAGCGCATAACATCACCTTCCAGCGAAACATGATATCGGAGCCCCTCAACGTCGCGGGACACAAGAACTATCCTGAAGGGACAGCTCACGGGTATGCAGCAACCATTGGGGGCGACGTGGGCTCCTTCCACCATAACCTGATTAGCCATGCGGAAGGCCGGAGCTGGAGCATGGGTGGCGGTGTCGACGACAACTCGACCTTCGCTGGCCGTCTTGATATTCGGAATAACGTGGTGTACAACTTCGGTATGGCTATCCCTTCTATCCTGTCTACCGTCCAACTAATACCTTGGGAGGCTCGCGTGTTACCGATGGCGGTGCTAAGGAAGTGAACTTCGTGGGCAATCTGTACAAGCAGGGGCCGGCCAGCGAACTAACATATGCCCTGAAAGCTACGGTGAGTGCTCTGTCGAGATTAGTTAGTGTATCATACTATGACTAACCAGTCTGGGGGATACAGTATGAAGATAACTTGCCCGGAACCCAGCAGTATCATTGTGCTGGGAATTCGATGCCCGACGCATTTGACCAGGATTCCGTTCAATACCCACCAGGGGATGGCACAGGTCAGACCTCAAAGATCGCCTGCTATGCAGACGTCAGTATTGACCCGGCGCCTGAGTACCAAAAGTTCTTCGATGAGCCGTACGTCCAGGGCCATTCTTCCTATTCCACCGTTTTTTCTTTTTTTTTTCATCTCGGACAGAAGTGCTAATATAACTTCTGAGATAAGTTTTTTCCCCTCGTATATCGAAGAGCATACGTCCACGGAAGCCTACAAGCGTGTGCTCTCGGACAGTGGCGCCAGTCAGCCTGTCGTGGATGACCACGACAAGCGCATTATCCAGGAGACCCTGAATGGAACAGCTACGTACAGCGGTTCGAAAACCGGCAAGCCGGGCCTAATCGACAACGAAGCGGATGTCGGTGGGCTGGAAGAATTCCCCACGACAACGCGGCCGACAAGTTGGGACGCCAACGACGATGGTATTGCAGATTGGTGGGACGACTCCACTGGCGGAGATGGCTATACGGTGATCGAAGGCTATATCAATTTTATGGCAGAGCCACATGTGTTTGTGGCTCCAGGGGCATCGGTCAAGTACGATTTGGCCGGCCTGGCTGGGGGGTTTTCCAATCCAGCTTTCGAGGTATCTGGCGGGGGGTTAGGCTCCGTATCTGTAGACGGTACAGTGGCAACGTACACTGCGGGTGATCAGGCCGGGGTAGACCGATTCATTGTAACCATCTCAGATGATGAGGACAGTACGTGGGAGAGGTCAGTGGGTGTCGCGATCTTTGACGACGCTGAGTCTGTGGAATAATGGCAGAGCGAGGTCATCCCGGGTACTGTTATCAAATGAAGTTTACAGTCAGAAGGAACTATGCACAATTCATGTATTCACTGAATTCCAAGAAATTAAACGATAATGTTGTAACTACTATCCAAATCTACCGTCATCAGCGACGGCTGGGATGAAACAGATTCCTAAATCATCATGTCACCCTGGCCGGACACAGTTTCTCTCATCCCAAATACCGATAGCAGTTCAACAGGACTCGGGTTCTGCCAGATGGTCAACTGTGTCGACTTTACAGGTCCAAGTGGATGAGCTTCACATATCCTGAGGCATCCCATCCGACAGAGGAGGTCCTACGTAAACTGAAATAAGTTAGCAGAGGAATCACCACTTGTTGGGAAAGACGATATACCTTTCCTGGCGTGCACTATATACCATACAAATGCCATGGCCGTGAACCCCACGAAGACCACCGACGCATAGTTCATCGAGACGGGGGTGACAGGCAAGGTGGAAGGCATACTGAACAGGACGAGCTCAAAGGCAATCCACGCCAGAGCAATGAGGTTCACCGTCGTTCCTAACGCTCGGCCACAGCTCCACCTTGCTTTGGATACTTCGGCGCGCTTGTTGTAGAATAGGGAGATGCTGATTGGAATGGAATAGGTGATGGCCAAGGCAATCACACCCACCGAGACGAACGCCGTAAAGGCACTGCTGCTGCCCAGGTTAATCAATCCCAAGAGCATCTGTACTACGGTCACAAGACCCAATGCCCATAGTGGAATGCGGAAGCGATCGTCCACACGAGAAAAAAGCCTTGACATGGGGAGGGCCGTATCTCGTGCCAGAGCCCAAGTACAACGAGAGGCAGCGTTGGTAATGCTGATGGAACAGAAGAACCCGACGACGAGAAGGAGGGAGACAAGACCGACAGCACCGGCCCGTGTCCCCATCACCACCAGAAACACATAGGGGATCGGTTGGCCGCTTGGCGCGTTGGTGATGTCGACCAGGTCGGGGAGAGTGACACAGAGAGGGATCACAAAGAAAAGGCCGGCGATGCCACCGACCGGGATGCAGAGGGCCATGGCCTTGGGCACCTTGATCGCTGGGGCATGTACTTCCTCGGCCATAGAGGAAACCATTCCTATCGCAGAGAAGACAAAGGCCGGGGGTAGCAGACCGATACAGAATGAAAAGTTTCCCCAGCCGGACAGGGAGGTATCGTACTGCGCAAGGGCATCGGAGGGAGTGTGACGGCCAGCTTTGGCGGAAACGGAGACTGCTACTAGAACTACAAGGATGCTAACCAGCGTCCAGCCCGCACAGAGGGTGTCTACAACTGGGAGGAAGCGGTTACCGAAGCCACAGATGAAGAAGGCCAGCATACAGATTGCGTAGAGCACTAGAAGGAGCTGCCAATCGGTAGCTTCCCAGTTGGCATAGATGGACACTGTGGCAACCAAGAGTTGCGCAAATGCGAAGTTGACCCCGAGAGTGATGGTCCAGTTCCCGATCAGCCACACCCACGCTGTGACAAATGAGAGAAGCTTGGCTTGTTTGCCAGACAACTGGAAGGACCAGTAGTACGGACCGGCCGAGGTGGGATATCGCGAGGCTAACTCGGCGAGCGACATGGCCACGCACTGATCCATGAGGCAGACCACGATCCAGCCGACGAAGATGGAGAGTTGGCCGCCACCATAGATGGCTTGCATCAGTGCACCGCTCTCGGCGAAGGGAATCCCAGCAATCGAGAGCGATTGGAACAGGAGCGTGAAGAGCGAGCGGTTTCGACGGAGTTCCGAGGGATATCCCAGCTCCCCGAGCGCCTGATCTGGGTCATCTTCTCGCGTCTCCAAGGGTTTCTCTGGGTCGGTCTTGTCGGACATTTCGGTCTCACAATCATGATAAATATGGAACGAGCATGGTTATGCCCATGGACTTCGGGGCAAGCCATCTTGTTTACATATAGTCAGTCGCGTAGCGTAGGTCCAGGTCATCTGCACCCCCTTGCTTCTCGCTTACCGAATCCGTCATCAATGCCATTGGCGATCCGGGTCAGATACCGACACATCGTCACGAAGCATGTAGAAAGACGTCACTTGCAGGTCGCATAGTCTGGCGAGGCGGTAAATATTGCGCGATCTGGTTAAGATAGCGTCGCGAAAACGCGGGGAGAGCTTCGCATCCGAGCTTGCCGATCTGCACTGAGGAAGCGAGATAGCCTCGCCTAAACTGTTTACGGGAATTTTAACCATATAGACTTTGCCATCTCCCCTCACGATCTCCACTTCTTGACCACTATCGGCAGTTCGCGATTGGATCCATCATCAAAGCCGCGAGTGGAGGCGTCACCAACGGTCAAGATCCAGAGTGATGTTGCGCACGGTCTTGCCTTCAGATTTCCATGGCCGGACAAGACCAGAGAGAGAATTAGCGTCATTGTTGTGAGGATAGACTGAGAGAATCGTGGCGCACAACGCATCCAAGCATATAGCTTTCACATAGTAGTGTTCAGGAGCTGTTGGCAGAAGCAATAGCTAGGACTGTCACGAGATTTCTTCAACCCTTCACTGCGAGCTTCTTTTCTCTTCACCATGATGTTCTATTTCTCTCACCACGATCTTCTGTTTCTCTTGAACAAAAACAGCTACTATCATCCTATCTCCTTACCATGCTCTTCCTACATTCTCGTCCATCGATTCTCCTCTTCCCATGGATTGTTCTCTCGCCATGGATTCTCTTGCTCGCCTGTTTCTGTTGGCGTCTGCTAGATTTTGTTGCAGATATCTAAACCTACAAGGGTCCTGATGATGACTTATGAGATAAGAACAAATGATGTAAAGATGATTAAACGCTACCGTTATTGCCTAAAGAACCCTCCTCGTCGACGAACGCGCTTGCCTTTCACTTCTCCTATCCCGCAGTACGACTCTCCCAACCTTTCCCCAAAGACACTTGATTCACGAGACACCCCCAAGATCTAACGAATCCACGCTAGCCCGTCATGTCGGCTTTCGACGATATGCCTTCCTTATTCATACCGAAGAAGCGGTGCCACGAGGAGATACCACATCTGACGGATAGGAAAGACTGACTCAGCTCTGAGTCAGACAAGGCGAGGAAGAAGCTGAAGGCACACGGTTCTTTTAATGCGCAGTTCTGGACAGCAGCAGCCCAGGTGGTCCAAGTGGATGGGTCGGATGACGACGATACTGATGATGATGATGACATGAATGAAGAGGATTACTACTAGACAGCTTCATCACAGATTGCTTCTAATGCGACCACCTGTTTTTCTTTTTCTCTTTTTTTTTTTTTTTTTTTCGTTTGCTTACTTTCGCACTGCGATTCCATGCAGGGAGAAATCACCTTGTTCTGATACGGGCGCCTGTTTTTATATTCATCTGCTTAATTTCATTAAATGATGAGATACACAGGGAAATTGTTATTCTATGTCGAATAGGTTAGTTAGCTCTATGAATAACAACTTCCCAGTCTTGCTCAAAAACTACTTGGGGCTGTCATCTGTGTGTGTTCACCGAACAGCTCGTAAGGCCATATCCGTGTTCGTAATCTGGCATACCTAATTACCATATGGCGCCAACTCGATGGTTAGTGTCGTCTATGGTGAGACCCTGTCTTAGGTGCGGATCAAGGAAACTTGGAATCCTGATTATCAGATTAGATTGATACGTTCTCGCGCATTTGATAGGCTCGTGGACACAGCCGGAGCCGTGTCCAGTATCGAGTTATCCTTCTATAGGAGTAGTGGAATGGAGACCAACCCACAGCCAAGACAAATGGTTAGGTGAAAAGTGCATCTTTGCGCATGGTACCACACTGGCGACGTTTTCCCGATGCTACGCCAGGTGGTCGATATTTTTCTACTACGACAGCATGTTTTGTGGTCCACCGTTGGGTTCCCACGTATGTACTCAACTCTTGTCTTGCGCCCCCACGACGAGATTCAACGACGGTCGCCATCGTCTTCCTTTCCAATCCGTTTTTCTTTTTTTCCGTTTTGAGCATTCCTGCAATAGGTTAGAAATCAGAAACTCGCCATGGTAGGTGCTGCGTCACTCAATCCTGTTCAACCAGCCGTGAATCCAGCACTGGACCCAGTGAGCACGACACCTGTACTGGATCCTGAAAAGCCCAGTCTGTCAGCGTCAAATGAGAGAGAGGGTCCAGAAAGGATTAACAAGATTGCGGAACATAGAGCAGCTGGAGTCGAGAAGGCCGAAGCTGCAGCCCTTGTCTGGAATAAAAATGCTCTGTGGGCGATTTATGCCTGGTATTATACCACCCCCCCTTTTCTTGATACAGTCGGCTGTCCTGTCTGAGGAACGAACCGCTAACGGCCATGGTGGTATCCTAGGATTTGGGTATCCTTTTTCATGTTGGCGTTCCATTCTTCGATCGGCACCAACGTACTCGTAAACGCATACGCGAATTTCAAGACCGCTCCCGAGATTTCGACGGCGGCCATCTTAGCCACGGTGGTCGGGGGAGTGGTGAAGCTACCCATTGCCAAAATCCTGAATATCTGGGGACGAGCCGAGGGCATGCTGGTCTTTACGGGCTTGTTCCTGCTGGGGATTATCATCCTGGCATCCTGCCGTGGCCCGAGTGGGTATGCCGCTGGATATGTGCTTTACTGGGTTGGCTACAATGCCATCTACCTCATTCTGGATGTTTTCATCGCCGACACGTCTGGGCTTCGAAATCGGGCCTTTGCCTTTGCCTTCTCGAGTACCCCCTTCATCTGCACAGCGTTCACCGGCCCATTAGCCGCCCAATCCTTCTTGAACATGACCACATGGCGGTGGGCATATGGCGCATTCGCGATCATCTTTCCCATCGTCCTGCTGCCCCTTGCTATCGCTTTCAAGCTTTACGAACTCAAGGCGAGAAAGCTGGGTTTATATCAACCGAACGGCCCCAGTCGTACCTGGGCGCAATCACTTCAACATTATCTCCACGAGTTCGATGGTAGGTCACGTCTGTTTTCCCGCAGCCCTTCGTATGTTGACCGTTTGCCGGATCGCAGTCGTCGGCGCGTTTCTCTTAATGGCCACGTTCATTCTCCTCCTGCTTCCCTTCAGCCTCACCGTCTACGGACGGGCCCAATACCAGTCAGCGACCTTCATTGCCATGCTAGTGATCGGCTTCTGTCTCTTTTTTGTCTTCATTGCCTGGGAACGATTTTTCGCCCGCCAGCAATTCATCCGGTATGATCTGCTCAAACAGCGAACCGTCCTCGGAGCATGTGTCCTCTCGGCAGTACTCAACCTGGGCTACGCGGTTTGGGACCTCTATTTCCTCAACTTCTGCATGGTGGTGTATGACCTCAGCGTCTCAAACGCAGGGTACATGAATCAGATCTATAACGTGGGGTCGTGCTTCTGGGCACCCTTGTTTGGGATCTACATTCGCCAGACGAAGCACTTCAAGCACGCGTGCCTCTTCTTTGGACTACCCTTGATGCTTCTCGGTTCCGGCCTGATGATCCATTTCCGCGGGGAACACGACCATATCGGATATCTCGTCATGTGTCAGATCTTCATTGCCGTTGCCGGTGGTACTCTGGTGATTGGGCAAGATATGGCGGTGATGAGCGCCGCCGATCATGACGGCGTGCCCATGATGCTCTCCATCCTCGGGCTTTTTGCGAGTCTTGGGGGTGCGGCAGGGAACGCGATTGCTTCTGCGATCTATACAAATGTGTTTCCGAGCCGATTGCGACAGAATCTTCCGGCTGGGGTGAAGGACGACTGGGCTGAGATCTATCTCGGTGGCTATCTCACGCAGATGGCCTATCCATTGGGCTCGGAAGTTCGAACCGCCATCAACCACGCGTGGGGGGACAGCCAAAAGTATAGTTGTATCGCAACAACCGCGGTTATCGCTCTCGGGGTTCCGTGTATAGCGGTCTGGAAGAACTTGGATGTGGGTCGGAAGCAGAACCAGGGAGTCATGCTGTAACCATTGATCCCACCCGCATCTTAGTCATCGCTGGGGGTTCAACCTCGGTCTTCCGAAACAAGAACATCCCTCTTCTCGACGATGAGAGGCCCTTTATCCCCTCCAAACAGTTCTGATAAAAATATAGAAAAATTCCGGAAAATATTCTCATTCCCAAAGGTATTTGTGGGAATTTTTTCTACTATTGAAAGTGCTAGTTGGACTTGAAGTATGCTCACCCTCTAGTGCAGATACCACTCGGATATGCTAGGATATATATATCGCATTTACGTACAACACTGAGTTCATCCGAGCCTGTGTAGAAGGGCAAATTTCGTAGCAATACTTGGCTCATGAGCCTAAAAAATGTTTGCATTTGTTGATGAAAGAAAGTATTATGAATGGTCTATTTTCCGTGAATTTTCCGGATTTTTGTCCAGACACGATCGGATATCGTAAACAAAACACAAATGTCGGCGTCCACCGGTGTCACGTGAACGCGGTGTGTTTACTTTCTTGCACTCCGACTAGTTATACAAGTTCTCTGTTTCTCCCCCACACTCTCCTCAACCAAGGATGAAGCTCTCGTTCACGCACGGGATACCAACGCAATGCTGATCTCCACGAGTTGTTCTTCTCACCTCCGGAGAGCAGTCCCCAAAGTATTTCACTTATCGATCATTCCAGAGACTCGGAGCGCAGCCCAAAGATGGCACCAACCCACTCCCCGCGCGACTCCACTGGGCCAGAATCTGGGCTTCAGGATACTTCACCCGGTCCGACCGATCCACTCTCAGCCCGATCCAAACCACCATGATACACATCAACGCCAACGATTGTTTGATTTATCGCTTAGCCTCTCGCGAACGCAGCTGAGTGGGAACACGGACATGCAATACACACGCTACAATGGCCATGGCGTGGCGATGCCCTTCAACCGGCTGACGAAGCTCGACATGGTCAACCAATTTGGCCTCAGCGCACGCGATCTGCGCACACTCGATGTCCCGTCGGATGGCTTCCCACATATCCTCATCCGGGAATCCACCCTGCTGATCCATATGTTCAATCTGCGGCTGTTGGTGCAAGCCGACCAGATGCTGGTCTGCCACATGGAACCAACGCCCACAGAAGAATCCGATACGATCTCACGCGTCTTCCTCCGTGATCTGGAGTCGAAACTACGCGGGGACCCCGGCTTGGGCGTGTCCGTGGGGTTGCCGTACGAACTGCGCGTCCTCGAGGCGGCGTTGGCGGCGGTCACCTCCACTCTCGAAGCCGAGTACGTGCTAACCAAGGATCAAACCATGAAGACCCTGCGAATGGTGGATAAGGAAGAAGGCGAGATCCATTCGAATCTACGAACATTGTTAGACCTCATGCGAAAACTCGCGACGATCGAGAAGCGCGCGCGGCAGGTCCGCAGTGCGGTCCAAGACGTATTGAATACGGACGAGGATATGGCCGGGATGTACCTCAGCGACAAGCGAGCTGGAAAGCCTCACCACGTGGAGGACCATCAGGATGTGGAATACTTGCTGGAGGCGTACTATAAGGCGAGCGATGCGGTCGTTCAGGAAGCGGCGAGCCTAATGGGGACGATTCAGCAGACAGAAGAGAGTATACAGTCGATCCTGGACGTGTGGCGCAACCAGATCATGGTGCTGGAAGCCAAGATTGAGATCCTGATGTTAGGAATGGCTGTGGCAACGCTCGTAGCGGGCTGGTACGGCATGAATGTCGTCAACTACTTTGAAGAGAGCGGCACGGCCTTTGCAGTACTGGTTTCATCCTGTCTGGTCGCCATCGCATTCCTTTCGCGATATGGCTTCCGGCAGCTGCGGAGGATCCAGAAAATGCATCTATAGAGCGAGATATATTCGGCAGCCACCATGCCGCAGATGACTTGATGTATCCCCAAGCCAACAACAGCATAGCGAAATATTGGGCATTCGAGAGATATCATTCTGATATTTGAATGATATGGGGGTCTCGGCGTGCAGATGAGCGGTGAATTGCATGGGTACAATCTGCATACTTAAAAGTTCAAGTCTTGAGCTTCTGCGGGAATATTCGAGAGGACTATAAACCACCGCGCTCATACTAAAGCGGTCGGCTTTACTGTATGAGATGAGATGTACTACCATTCCTAAGTCGCTGACGTCAAAGCCTTAACGGTAACTTCTAGACGGTCTACAACGGTTGCAGGTAACAATATGCTGGCCTTCATGCCTGGACAGAATGAGACGGAGTTTACTCTCGCCCGTTCTCCAGGACAGTGGAATATTGGAAGACATCGTACTGCTCTTGGTCGCCGTAGACACTGATTCGGATGCCAGCGGCAACCATGTCATAACGCTGGCTACAAACTGCAGCATTGCTGCCCACCTTCGAGGACCTCCGAGATCAAATCTGCGATGACTTGAGAAATTCCACCCTGAGACTCCTCTTCAATGATCACTGGCTGACCTGTGACATGAGACCCCAGAAAATGCTTGACCTTACGACTGACATAGCCCACCTCGAAGTTAGGGATTGGCTGCGCGTCAGATTGTGTTAAGGCAGTAGTGACAATAGACATTCAGTAACTTTCCCGCCGTGGGCTTTCCGAGTAGAGCATCGGCGATCCGTGAAGGCGTCCTGAACAATAAAGAGGGAAGAACAACTCGCCCCAGATAGCTTAGGATAAGCTCGTTGATCAGATCAACCACACGATCCTTCCATGGGTCGACCAAACTGCAAGATTCTGAGTTTGATGCGAGCTGATTTCGATAGGGACGCCACCGCATGTGGCGATATCCAGAGGCACATGCGGCCTAAATGGGTCGTAAAGCTTCAAGTTCCTGGACTCAAAGGACATGGTCTCCTAGGGGATATGGTCCTAGGAAAACTGACTCTGGCAAGGGTAGCGGGTAAAGAGAAATCACATTGGCGTCTAGGTGGCGCTGAATGCATGTGCAGTAACAGTAGCCCAGAGAAGTCAACGCCTTCCGGGAGCTGCCCGCTCAATTCGGTCTACATCTGTCTCTGGTTTCCGTAGAGGGTGGCTGTGCCCAGTAAATGGTGTCTGAGTGAAATCGGTGCCGGACACGTACTCTTCTTACCGGATGAAACCCGCTGGTCTAGTTGCCATCTCCCATGCTATGATAGTGGCTATACACTACGTATGGGAAAAGTGGTTGGACCCTAAGGTCCCGCATGCCAACGCGTGAAAAATCTGTCATTGCTATCAGGCATCAGTAGTATTCTTGGGGCCAACAATAAAATCAGTCCCTTTCCGTTTAAACAACCTCTCAGTGAGGCTCAGACGTTCGACCCGGAAGTTATAATTCTGCTTCATTGCAACACAGTTGAGAAAATGCTGAGGTAAATCAGCCTCCAAGAATGCTCGATAATAGGCCTCTCTGCTAGGGGGGTGTAGATGGAAAATGGTTTCCATGCGTCTCCAGTCATCTGCATTGCCCTCCTCCCAGTGATACGTACAAGCCCTACAGTACGTGCCGGGCTCCAATGTTCGTGTCCGAGAGTCCCAGTATGGAAATGCCACTGACGCCTGCAGTCTCCATGAAGGCTCGTCCTCCTTCTCCACCAGTGGTGTAGGATTCCACCGGCGCCGGGGTCGTCCTCCAGTGTGGGTTCCTTGATGCCGGCGTTTTTGCCATTCCTGAACCCGGCGTTGGTAATCTCTTTCATACTCCTTCCGGCGAGTCTGGTACGCCCGCTCCATTGCCTTCTTACTTCCATGGAGCTTTATTCCCACGGCCTTTGCTCGAGCAACATCCATTAGGTGGTGTGGAGGCTTTTCTGGATGGTAAATGATTGGGAGTTTTGACTGATGGATATCCGCTAGAGTCAATGCAAACTTTAAACAGATATCACGCATGGGAGCCACTTCGTACTCGGGTCGGAGATAACTGCATTTATAACATGAACGGGTCAGGGTCGGGAAGTAAATAAAAGGGCCTAAATCGGTACAGGTCCGGCACCAGGGATGGCAGAACTCAGTGAAAAGCCGGCCGATGGGAAAATATGATGCGCACTTGGTAATATCCATCATGCGGAGCGTGTCGGAGGCCAAGGCCCTCAACAAAGAGTACGCCGGAAGCGATTCGACTAAACACCTTCCTCTGGTGCTGACTCGACGCAACCTCCCTAGACTGGGTAGATCGAGATTGAGCAAGATCAAGTGGACGATTTCGAGTGGGAGCCGATCAAACAGAGGTGTATACTTCGGATTGATTCTTGATTTCTTATGAGGGGGAGCTTTGTATAACATCACCGCGGGCTTGGAATCATCTGGACTGAGGTAGTAATCCAGGGTCTCCCTGCACGGTTTCTCGCACCGATATGCTGTGCCTGACGCCATGTGAAACAGAATGGTGTTCGAATGGCTTGGATAGAATGAACCAGGTGAACGATCAAAGAGCAATGCTCTTATCCCTCCTTTTTGAAGTTCTCGGCCTCTCTTTCCAGTGTTTGCATCATGAATACGTTCTCCCAGGGACGGTACCAAGACTCTTGGTCGGAGGGAGGTGGTTCCTTGGTCGAATAAAGGGGAGTTATGGAAAGGGCACAGAAACAAACAACGGCATAAGTCCATTCGACCGATCCTACATTCTTGTACCGTGATCGGTGCTGCATAAATCCGATCTAAGCTAAAGGGTCGCCGCTATCATCCGCTTCCTCTTCTGCCTCTTCGTCCTCTTCTTCGTCCTCTGCCTCTTCGTCCTCTTCTTCGTCCTCTTCTTCGTCCTCTTCCTCTTCTGCCTCTCCTCCCTCCTGCTCCTACGCCTCTTCCTGCCCCTGCGCCTCTTCCTCCTACTGGCTGCCCCCGCCTTCGCTACCACCTGCGAGTGGCCACCAGGGCCCATTCTCATGGCCATACACTACTGTCGTCTCCCGCGCGACAAGGTGATCGGGGCAATAGTTCCCGACCAGTCGAGGTCGAGGTGCACTCAGGCGAACACACTTGGTGTTTGAGCCTCACCATCTTCGACGTTGAATGAACGGGCCGCGATGCTTGCAGCCGCACGAACATTGCTCCTCGATATAGTGGCACCTTCAACTCAGCTCATAAGACAGCATCCAGTGATGATGGCCTTTGTCCTACTTACATGGCTGTTAAAACAGGAATCCAGAACCGAGTGGATATTCTGGATTATTAGTTTCAACTTCGAACACTATGGGCATACAGCGTACGAAGCTTGTTGTAGTGGAAAGTTGTACTGGCTAAGCTCAAGCGAAACGAGAATAGCTGTGGAGGATGGTGATTATGCTGCATCCCACAAACTGGAGCTACTCCTATATCAATACAAGCCCCCATGCTGCCTTGCGCCTTCCGCCTTCTGTGGGATGCAAAGGGTTGACCATAAGAGGCAAGGGGTGTGTTCGGGTGCCGCGAACAAGAACACCGCCGTCAGACGTTGATGAACGAAGTGAAGTGCACTCAAAATTAAAAAAGCATTCGACATATGTACAACTAAAGTTAACCATAGCAGGAAGGTAGGCCCTGGTATCCGATTGACCCCCGTGGTTGATGTTGATTCCGCAGTGCCTTACGCCGTGGCTCCGGAGATCTTGAGGGTGTAGTCCAGCCCATGCTGCACCTCCTCGGTGAGCTTGAAGGCATCATACTGGTAGAGTGTCTTGGGGGTGTTGGCAATCACCACGCTGGCTTCTTCATTGCTGGCAACCACAGCCGAGCCAGACCCATTCTCGAGCGCGACATACCGAACAGCGCCTGTGTTGGTGCTGCGGATGGCCAGCGTTGCGGTGAATACTCCGCTGGCGGTAATGCTCACTTGAACGTTGCCAGCTCCGGTATTGCGGAGGGGGATGATGTTGGCACCCATGTACTGAGGCTTGCGAGAAGACTGGACCACATAGGTGCCATCGTCTTGGGAGTCAGTATTTGCGTAGTTGAGCTCGCTCCTTTGGCTGAGGAATGCCTTCTGAGCAATTGTGTGGCCGATGTCCACATAAGCCATGCGAGCCCAATAGCGACCGACAATCTCCTGCACGGATGCGGACGTCGAAACACGCGCAAGGGTATGGAGAGGCGTCTCGTTGCTGCCCTTCTCATATTGTTGGAACAGCTGGCGAACCACATCGTTGCCCAGGCCCGCATAGTTGTCCGGGTTGTTGGTCAAATATGTCAAGAACGGCCACGCCTGGTAGTAGTTCCCACTCCCCGTTGAGCCATCCACGATGACCTGGAAGGAATCTCCGATCACTTTGTTCAGCTCAATCATGGTATCACCGGTCGGTTGGTTGTAGTTGGACCGTGCCTTCGCACATAGTGGAGAGGTGATGAAGGTATCTGCCACCCAATTGGCGAGCGTTTCCCACCATGCGCCTGTCGCAGTCTGGTCCACCCAGGTCCGACTATGATAGGTGAGGGCATGACCATACTCATGGACGGTGATTCTCGGATCCGCGAGGGAAGATGGAATCACCTCCAACCAGCTGAGACCGGTGTTGGGGTCAGACTTCAGCACGCCTGCAGCCCCGCCCAGATCATTTACTTCATAGACATTTTCCTTCCACAGGGTCGTCACTGTGTTGGGGTCCGCGTTATATGACATCCCCGAAGTCGTCCACCCGAGGTCACCGACATAGCAACTATAGGCAGCTTCCAGCATGGCTAAAACCCCATCCGCATTGCTCTGGTCCGACGAATAGAGACGGAAATGGTCGGAGTCCTTGTAGCTCGCTCCGCCGGGGCCAACATTGGGATTCGCCGTGAATGATACTGGCTGAGCACCGGAAGTAGCTTGCGGGGCCGGCGCTGCAGAGGCCTGAATCGCCGACAAAAGAAGTATGGGGATGATCTGTTTCTTAGGCGCCATAGTGATCAAATATAATGAGATAATGGCTTGTTGTCCCCTTAGTCGAGGGGCCCTGGCCACCACCTATTTATACTTGTCCCGGAATTTCAAAATGCAGGACCCCTAAAGTGCCAAGAAGACCTTGGAGCGGCCAGGGCGATTGTCGGTCTTCTGCTTCAGGGTCTAACATCAATATGAGACATTTCCCGACAGCAAATGCTGCCGTGCTCCTCCACCGCAATACCTGAGGCCAGATCTACCATTTACAGCCTCTTGGTCATGGAGAAATAATCAAACTGGGTCTGAGCCGGGCATCGGGGGCACGACAATCGAGTGAAGGATGGATGGCCCCGGTGATGTGATATCGCCTGCTCTCTTGAGTCATATCTGGGTCCACCTTGTAAACCTCGCTGTTGACTTGAGCCTTAAGTGCACGTTTTGGTTAGGCTACAAGGAACTTGTGGGGGGAATAGAACATGGCAATGGGAGAACGTACCGAAGGACTGAGCCTGGAAAGCCCATATGAGCAGGTCCCAATCCACAGATATGAAATGGAAAAAGGGGGAGATTGTGGGGATCATCCTGTCTTAATCTGAAATCTCGCCCGACTCCCGTGGTTTCAGAGCCATCTTGTTCGGAGCATCTTCGGCATTACCACATCTTGCTCCCAGCTCAGCTTTATCCATGAAGCCGAGGGTCGTACTATTGTCCAGTACCTCAGTAGATGCTGCTAGAACACGGGGATATTGCCCCAGCTAGGGTAGGATCCATCTGCCGACCAGGCTTCATACATGATGCTCGGAGAAGGTATCTAGCGGAAGGGAAGGCTCCCCAGGATATGCGGAGCGTTTTGACCGAGTTGTCATCTGAGGGCCTCCTGTTATTTGACTTGTGAATTCAGCCTTGTTCCGGCCCTGAGAGCCAGACTGGAATGCTTTTGAGGAAGTCACTGGGCAGAAATATTGAATAGGTTGGACACTGGGAGGTGAATGGCTAGGGAAGAAAGCCCTACCCGACGCAATCCGGTATGAGCCGAGATGATCACTGCACGACGTAAGGCGCCGTGCATATCCTACTAATAATAGTCTAGTCGTTGTTACTCGAGTCTTATGCATGGCTTGCGTTACTCGTGCCTTTACCCCGCAATGTCCTTCACTGGCCTCCACGTCCGATCAGTGGATGATGCCAGTTGACGGTCGCTCCACCGGCCCTTGCAAGCGCAAAACACAAAGCACTACTTGAAAGAAGGTCTTCATATTCGACGACCATATCCAATGCTTCCACCGAATAAAGGTGATCCCGAGATTGAGAGAGTCGATCATGTTGAAAAACAAGATGGAGACATGCTTGCGCCAGCAAAGCCCACTCCGGAACAGAACAATGTCGGAACCTTGCAACGTCGCCTAAAATCCCGCCATGTCCAGTTCTTAGCGCTCTCTGGCGCCATTGGAACCGGTCTTTTTGTCGGCACGGGCCAAGTGCTCTCGTTATCTGGACCACTGTCGATGACCCTGGCGTTTGCGCTTGGCGGCTTGGATCTCTATGCCGTGATTAACAGCATGGGAGAGATGGCCACTTGGCTGCCTCTGCCAGGTGCCGTCCCTATCTACGCGGCAAGATTCGTGGATGAAGCCCTTGGCTTTGCACTTGGCTGGAATTATTGGTATCAGTTTGCTATTGGCGTGCCCATTGAAATCAGCGCTGCCGCGATGGTCATTGAATACTGGCCGAACTCCGTGTCTCCTGCGGTTTGGATCACGATTCTTTTTGTACCCATGGTCGTCGTCAATAGCCTGCCCGTCCGGACCTATGGCGAGGTAGAGTTCATCCTGGGGGCGGTCAAGCTGACGACAATCGTCGGCTTGATGTTGCTCATGTTGATCATCACTCTCGGCGGCGCACCCACCCACGATCGGATCGGATTTCGGTATTGGAACCATCCCATGGAGGAGTATCTCAAGACTGGTGCGCTGGGACGCTTCCTGGCGTTCCTCAAGGTGTTTGTCCAGACGATCTTCAGCTATGGCGGAAGCGAGATTGTCGTGGTAGCTGCCGGGGAAACGGAAAACCCACGACGAAATATCCCCAAGGCGGTGCGTCGTGTATTCTGGCGCATTACCATATTCTACGTTGGCAGTGTTTTCCTCGTCGGCATGTGTGTCTCTGCTCGCGATAACCGCTTGCTGAACGCCATAAAATCCGGCGCGAAGGGGGCAGGGGCTAGCCCTTTCGTGATCGCGATTCAAAACGGTGGGATTCGAGCACTGCCGTCGATCATTAATGCGGTCATTCTGTCCTCGGCTGTGTCGGCTGGCAATTCCTTCTTTTACGCCTCGACGCGGGTCCTTTACTCGACGGCGCTCGATGGCAAGGCACCGCGGTTCCTTCGATATGAAAAGTTCGGGGTCCCGTATGCCTGTGTCGCCATCACCACCGCGCTGAGTCTCCTTGTGTATCTCAATGTGTCCTCGAGCTCCGCCGAGGTCTTCTTTTGGATCAGTAACCTGAGTTCCGTCAGTACCTTGGTTGTGTGGACGGCCATTGGGGTAACATACCTCCGTTTTCACCGGGCGTTGAAGTATCATGGCATTGCTCGGTCAAGTCTCCCGTTTAAATCGCCATTGCAGCCGTATCTGGCATATTTTTCGGTCGTCTTCTCCTCTATTATGGCACTTCTGAACGGATTTGATGCCTTCTTCCCTGGCCACTTTAGTGCAAAGACCTTCATTCCACCCTACATCGCTATCCCCATCTTTGGAACCCTATATCTCGGCTACAAGCTTGTCAAAGGCACCTCTATCGTCAAGGTAGAAGAAATCGACCTGTGGTCCGGGAAAGAGGAAGCCGATCGCCTGGAGGCAATTTGGGAGCAACCGAAGCCACGCAATTTCCTCGGTATGTCCAATTCCTGCTCGTATGTGACTTGACTCACGCTAACATGGAGTAGAACGAATCTGGTTCTGGATCGCATGACGCAACGCAGTTCTTCTACGCGTTCAATTTTTCCTTGCTATGTGGCCTTGTGGCAAATGTTATGGATCCAGCTTTAGCCATCTTGAATTCACATGGAGCGTCCACAGAATGTGATTCATATTTCGGCTGACCAATAAATTAACAATAATTTCTGTAGTCAGCCCCAAAGCCCTACCACGTTGTAATCGAGTAATACCTGCGAAGAACCGAGCAAGAGTCTGTCTGACAACTCAACGTGTACTCAGGTAGAGAGTAGGGAGCGGGCGTTTGACTAGATTTTACTTGTATAGAGCGGAGCACGCGCAAATTCACTGCATAGTCGCCGTCCGCATATACAACTCAATAAACCCTTTATACTGGTGCTTCTGGGCCATCTGTTCTCCGCTGTGATATCATACCGGCTACCAGTGCCCTTACTATATCTTCTATCTCCGCTCCGCTAAACTGACGATACCTTTTAATTGACGGACGATCAAGGCAACCACAATCCCTCGAGCGTACTCTGGGTATAGCTTTCGCTGACACCATCGACGCTCCTCCGCACATACTGGTCCCCAGTACCATGGGAATGCTTGGACTTCGACCCGCGGCACAGGTTTGAAACGTGGTGTTGAAAACACCATTGGAGATGATGGAGGTATCGAACACGGTGGAAGATACTACTCGGAATGACTTGGTAAGATTTAGATCTTTAAACTTCAGGATTGGAGGGGCAATCTCCTCAGATTATCACCTTGATGACACGCCACCACTTGTCCATGCGGGTGAGCAGGTTGAGTTAGTTATCTGACAAGAAAGATTGAGAACGATTGATAAATGATCATCGTTCCTACGGAGTACGAACGGGACCAGCAAGTGGAGGAAACTTCGTATTAACCATAACCTTTGTCCCTGAATCCACTACTCCTGCTGCACAATGCAATGTTTATCCCATCTTTGGAGGGTCCGAGGAAGCTATTTGGGGTCAAGAAACAGGGTATGTGGCAAGAAGAGTTTAGTAAGGTTGTTAAATGATCAAATTATGGCCAGTCTGCAGAAAATGTGCCGCCCCCAGGGCCTGGCTAAAACGATATATTTACACTCTAGCAGGCATCAGATGGCACCTTATCGCTGCCCACCCGACTAGATGAATGGTATTCAGCACCTTCGCCCAAACCACGCTTAGCAAACGCTTTCCAAATCTCACACTTGTTAGCACCATTGGTAAGAGCCTTGTCGGCATCGAGGATGGCATCACGCGCCTGGACACAGTTGGGGTTGCAAGGTTGCCTAAAAATACCAAGATTAGCCGGTGTGATGGGTAGAGGAGGGAGAGATGGAGTCGTCACTTACAATGCCATGCCATCCATCACTAGCTTCATGGCGAGATACTTGCCGTCAGTCGGAACTCCGTCCTTGAACTCGGGCTTGGGACCATCGTTCTTGCCGTGTTTATCAATCAGGTTCCACAGCAGCTCGTACAATACAGTAGCCCACACCGTGCCGATCGCATGCACTTCATCCAAGTCATTGAGACTAGTGTAGGTAAGAGGGTTGGTCTCCAGGGAAGTGGAGAACGGGTAAGCACGGATGCCGCCTTTCTTGTTGGCAGCCCATTCACCCATGGTATAATCGGTAGAATGAGTATCGCCGGACTTCAGCCGAATTGCGGTGGCCATGAAGTCTCCCCAGCCCTCGCCCATGCCACCTGATTCAAGAGCATTCAAGCAGCCGGCGTTAGCTGGTCCTCCAGTAAGCCGGTTCGAGACTGGGTACCGCGTGGTTAGTTAAAACGGTCTTATCCTGGGGGTCCAAGGGGATACATACGACCGTGAGTATACTCGTGAATCACGATACCGGCCTCAAAGGAGCCGTCACGATTGGGTTGGGACTCCGTCCAAATGTACATACGCATGCGACCGGGCTGGCCATCCGGGGGCGTCGCGAAGTTGGCGTTGTTCGTGCCAGAACCGTCCTGAGCATTCAGGATGACGTAGTCGTTTCCAGCGCCTCCCTTGCCATTGTTGTCGTACTGGAAGTTACCAGCCTCCTCGTTGAACCCTAGAGTGTAGAGCAGGTCGTGGTACGTGTTGGCAGTGTAGAACAGCTGAGTGATAGATGCATCGATATAGGAATCTGGCGGTGTCGCATTGAGCGAATACGGGTACTGGAATTTCAAATCGGGGCTATCAGGCCGATGGTTGTTCAAGTACTCAGAACCACCAGTCGGGTTCGACTGCGCAATACCATTATTCCCGCGAGTAGTGGTATAGTTCTTTTCCCCGTCACTGATCCAGGTGAATGCAGACGCGGACGCATCCCATGGATCGCTGATAATGGTACGAGCGCCCTCGGTTGGATCATTGAGGCCCCATGCACTGTGCTTCGGTGTTAGGGCTTCTGCGACAGTTCAAAGCGTCATGCTGAGAATACTCACAATACTTGGTAGTCTGCTTCGGCCACGTAGTCGACCACACCGTGGACATCTTTGCCGGTATTGGCATCAATGTAGGTCAGGAGCCAATTGCTGTCAACATCGGTCTCGACCTTCCAGGTCAAGGCAAGGCTGCCATCTTCCTTCTGCAGATAAACCAACTGGGCCTTGGGATCCGACACGGTGCCGGTGACTCCCTTGAAATTGAACGACTCTTGGCCTTCGTTAGCCTCAGTGGAGACTTGATCCACAGTGATAGAAAGCTGCAGAGCTTCGGAGGCTCCCTTGAGCGCTGCTACAGGATCGGTATAGTCCCGCTTCGTCAAGGGGTTGGCATCGGGAATCTTGCCAGTATGGAAAGAGTGGCCATAGGAAAAGATCTTTCCGTTTTTCCCAACCTATGTGATCCGGTTAGCAGGGAATAGAGTATCGGGGGGCGGTAGCATACATTGACATTGAAGTCGGCATTGTCAATGTCAAGGCCATGGGCCGTTTGACGAAAGTTCACGTGAGCGACCCCATTGCTACCAATGTAATGGTCCTTGACGAGACGGAAGGTCGCGTCCGGCAGGATATTCTTCACGAGCTGAGTTGCTGTCTCCACGTAGCTCTGCTCGGCGAATGGAGAGAAAGAGGATGACACATCACTAGAGGACTCGATCGCGTTGATATACTTTGCTCCTTGGTGCAGACGGAATGAATTCAAATCAACCTTGCGACGTTGAAGTCCATGGGCATGATGAGTAGGATGCGCAATGACGGCCAAAGGCAGGCTAAGTGCTCCAGCCAGTAGAAGACCCCTCATGATGAGCTGCGAGAACGTTGAACTCAATGCAAATGAAGAGATGATGGTCTGTGGAATGATTCTGCCATGAATGCTGCGACGCTCAGGTGTTATTTATACCAGTTGAATTGGAGATCGCGACGCGCTGGACCAACGCAGAGAAGCATTTTCTCTTGGCCCGAGACAGCCCGGTGCGAGACATATTGCGATGCATCCATCAGTCTGGGGAAAAGGCAATCAGCTGCGCGTTCAAACTCCTGCAATATCCGACAAGCTTCATCTATAGCTGCTTGGGGTTACCTTCCTGCACCTCATGGTGGAGCAATCACACAGGGTCAGACCACTCCGTGCAGAGTATGAGAGAAATGTACAGGGCCGTTGAGTGATAGTCCTTTCTTCGAGCAATTGCGACATTACATGGAAGGAACCACTCCGTCGGCTCTCCGATTGACTTATTCAGGGTCTTCCCGAACGGGCTAGGTCGCTAAGACTTTAGATTGCTCTTAATACCACTTTAGCGCCAATTCTGCGATGCGGGAAATGAATGCCGAGACTTTTCTGCAAGTGCCCAATGGCTCAGGGACGATGATCCCTCAGAATCATCTTGGCATTCTCTTGGGTTACATGCAGGTACAAACCTCGGCGGCACTTATCAACGTTCCAAGTGAGTCTCCAGAACGGAAAACCGGGCCACAGACCAGTTCAACCCACACTCTGTGAACTATCCTTGCATTCCAACCCCTTCAATGGTCAGAAGAGTCTTGCTCCGCATGTTTCAGGCATCATGCCAAGCCCGATAACCTTGTACTGTACCAAAGCCGGCATGACCTCATGCACAAGCGTATACCAGAGAAGCCTATTACGGCGTGCGTGCACGTGAGAGTTATCTTCTCAAGTTACCTATCATGATAAACCCCGAAGAGGGGGAATTGCCCAAGCATAGGAAGTGTCTTGACAAGCATGCAATACAAGAAGTGGATCCCCGTCGGGGGCTACACATCATGCATGTCAACCCAAGGTGAAGACCGGATTCTCCCCGACATGCGCTTAATACCGGCCCATATAGGGCACTCGCGCAAACGAAGTCAGACCGAGTAAGACATTTTTTGAGGGGGACTCAGTACACCCACCATATCCAGTAGCTCCAAGGGCGACAGGTATGTTTGAAAGGAAGTGACGTTGGATTCTGCCCTTCAAGTAGAGATACACTATATGAGGTGCCAGAGCACTACTATCTATCGTAATCATGCATATGTACAACAGCATCGAAGAGGAAAATGAGAGGGAAAATCAACAAAAAAAAAAAAAAGAGGGAAACTCTAGAGAAACCTGAAGCAGCCACCCGATTTAAAGCCTTAAGGGAGTCCTCTCCGAACTCCGGTCCTTATCCCAATATAACTCCGCAAACGCTCCTCCTCTCTCGAGCAGGGCCGCCGGCGGACCTTGCTCTTCGACGCGCCCGGCATCCACGACAATAATCTCGTCGAAATCTACAATGGTTTCCAGTCGATGTGCAATGGCGATGACCGTATGATCGGCAAATTCACTCCGGATGAGTGACTGAATGAGGTCGTCCGTTTTGGTGTCGATGCTAAAGGACGGCCAGGTTAACCATCGTGTCATAACATATAATATAGTAACAATATAAAATCACTAACCTGCTTGTCGCTTCATCGAGGACTAGGATCTTCCCCTCCGGCCGTACCATGGCCCGGGCGAAGCACAGGAGTTGCTTCTGACCCGGAGAGAATGTATCAGGCGTAATCGTAGCATCTAAGCCACCAAGCTCTCGGACCGCATCCCACAGCTGGACCTTCTTCAACGCATCAATGAGGATGTCATCGTGGATTGAAAGACCGGGGTCCACGTTAAGGCGAACCGAACAGCCCGGTAGGAGGAAGGGCTCCTGAGGGATACAATTCAGCTGAGCACGCAGGTGGTTACGAGCCAGCAGAGAGATGTCTAGCCCGTCGATGTTGATCGTGCCGCTGGTCAATTCAATGAGACGGAATAGGGACGATACTAGCGAGGACTTTCCACTGTAATTTACGGTTAGGATCGGGGACTGTATAGGGGGAGCAAAGGATGAGAACAAACCTTCCGGAGCGGCCGCAGATGCCAACCTTGGTGCCTGGCTTAATTGATAAAGAAATATGGTCGAGCGCACGGTTCGAGGAGTTCCTATCGCCACGGTATGTTAGTCGAGGTACGAACTGAAAAGTACGACAAGACTCGGAATCATACTTGTAGGAAGCCACCACATTGCTAAACTCGATTGCTCCCCTGGCCGGCCAGTCTGGCGGAGGTACAGCTGTCTCGTCTTCCAGATGCTCCGACTCAATGGTAGACTTGAAGTTGCGAATTCGTGCCACTGCCCCAATGGATGTCTCCAACACGGTCCATTGCTTGATTAGACCCTGCAAATTCTCGGTAAATGTGACGATATTCAGCAGTGCCAACCCAATGAAGCTGGCGCTCACTTTCCCACGCGTCGCGACAGCGATGGATACTAGGACGACGGCAAATCCGGCCACCATCAGGGCAATGACCAGTTCAAGCCAGCGCTGAATGGCGAAGAGCAGATAGAAGGGCTTTTGGGAATCGTTGAGCAATTTGCTGTTGCGTCGGCGGTAATGCTGTTCCCACTTGTAGCTCCGGATGGTGGACAGGCCACTGAGACTTTCCAGGAAGTGGGAGACCAGCGGGGCTTTGGCTTCGATATCTAAATATCGGATCTGGCGTGAGGTACGCAGGTAAAACCGTTGGGTGAAATAAAAGGCAACTATACATGCGGGTATGGTGGCGGCGATGTATCCCGTTGCGGTACAGATGACCACCATTTGGGCTACACAGGTGAAGAAAGTAAGGATGGTATTCAAGACAGAAAGGGGGAGCTCCATGTCGATCAACTGCAGGTCCTGACTGAATCTGGGGGAGAGGTCAGCAATTATTCGCGTTCACTATGAAGCTGCTTCGGTTGTTGCTCACCGGTTCGTCGTGTTGCCTAGATCGGTGGTCTGGAAGAATGACATAGGGGCACTGGAGAGTTAGTCGAGGAAGAGAAGACAGGATGAGTGGGACGTACTCTAGGACACTTTTCAAGAGCTCGGCGTGCATATTTCTGGCACCACGAGCTACCAGGTTCGCCATTAGATGCCTAGTTAAGGATCAGCATGAGGGAGATGCTAAACAATAGACTGTAGTTCCAGATCTGACAACTCACCAGCAGGAGGTGACAAGTGTAGAAGTGGCCATCACCGCGATAAACGCATAGATACCGAGCCAATATCCCAGTCTCTCGTTGGGATGATCGATATTTGACTTTGCCCATTTCTCCACCCAAAGGGCTAATCTCGTTAGCAATCGCTTATTTCACCTGTGTGAATAAACTTACAAGGGTATGTAATGGTAACCACATAGGCCATGATCAAAAGAACAAAAACCGCGGACCGGAACACCCCCAGAACCTGGGCATAGTACCAATAGATGGACATATCACCCGTGCGTCGCCCATCCCCCTGCGGTGTCGGTTCTAATTGTACCTCTGGGCTGGCCAACGAGAGCCGATGCTGAGAGAGCCGGTTTTGCGAGAGGCGGTTTGGCACGAATTCGCTTTGGCCGAACTGCTTTTGTGAGAACTGCTCATGTGAGAATTGTTGAGAAAACCGCTGCGAGAAAGGTTGAGAGAATTGCTGAGAGAAACGTTGGGAGAATCTCTGGGAGAAGCGCTGAGAGAACCGATTTTGAGACAATCGATTTCGAGCCCTGGCTCTGGGGATAGGGATCTCGGGGGCCTCCAGGTGAACCGTTGCCTTCCGTTTCGGCAAGGCCGCCAGACTACGAATATAGCTGTCAGCTCGAGAATGGAGCTCTTTGTATGTTCCCTGTTCCATGATGTTGCCTGATGGGCCCAGAGCGATGATATGGTCCGCAACAGAGAGGCGAGAGGCTAAGACATAGTCAGCATGAGGTGAAGCGTCCAAAGGATATCGAGGGAATACGTACGACTGTTCGTCGTCAGGATCACCGTCGTACCCAGCTTCCGTAAAAGCCCCCCTGGAGCCAACAGAGCATGGAAGACCGCATCCTCCGTGGTGCGGTCCAGCCCGCTGAAGACATCGTCGAGAATAATAGTCTCTGCTCTGGAGTACACAGCCCGGGCCAGAGCCTTTTATAATGTACTAGGTCAGCATATGACTATGCATGGAAAGGACACGAGATCGAAGTGAACAAAAAGAAACTTACCACGCGTTGCTTCTGCCCTCCACTCAGAATAGCACCTTGAGTCCCTAACATAGTCTTGTCCCTATTTGGTTGTTTGCGGATATCATCATATAGGGCGCATGCGTTGATCACGGTATTATACCAACGCAGGTCGTACAGCGACTCTCCCAAGATATTGTCCTCGATGGTGTTATTCGTCAACCAGGGTGTCTGCGAGCAATACGCAATCGAGTCTGGATCGGCCTTCAACGCTCCCGAAAACATGGGCGTCTCTCGCAGCAACGCACGCACAAATGTGGACTTCCCAGATCCGACGGGTCCGACGACAAATGTCACCGTGCCTCGATGAATCTCAAAGCTGAGATCTTGTACCACGGCTGGCTTACTCGCTTCCCAGCCAGCGCTGCGGCCCTCTGCCACAAAGACTGGACCGGTGACTTCATAGTACAAGGGTAACTTCTCGCGACTGGAGATACTGGGGACCCCTTCCACAACCGACATGCCCTTTCCGTCGTAGACAACTCCAATCTCCGTTAGTGCACTAGATAAAACGCTGGCAGGGATGCTGATGTTGCTCCGAGTCCCTTGAGGCTCATGTGCGTCGTCCCTTCGTGGGTCTGACTGCAAGAACTCGTTTACTCGTTTAATCGAGCCGATTGCGGTGGCGACTCCCGTTGCAGCTTCAACCAGGTTAGAGATTGGAGTGGCAAGAAGAGTGAATAAGGTGAGCGATGTGAACGCCTTAGTGGCCGTCAGAGTTTCGTCCCCTTTATGCCGTGCTATGAGGGCGTAGATCGTGAACGAGGCCAGCGGAGAGAGTGTGACGTTGCTGTAGGCCACGCCGACCACCAGGATCAGGAGTCGACGGAACTTTTCCGACTTGACAACCTCTTCGACACGCATCGTTTGGACGAGGTTGAACAGTTTGTCGGTCAATCCAGCTGTGCGGATTCCTTTTACAGATCCCAGAACCTTGGCGGTAATATCGACTCGTTTTTCAATAGCTTCCAGCCAGACCTGCTGGCGAGGGCCGGCCAGTCCAGAGATGAGCAATGACAAGGCCATACAGACTACCCGTAGTCAGCAATATACACACACTAAAAGAAAGAACATGTGCACATACTAAATACTACGATGATCGGGGCGATACTGGCGACTCCCAGCTGACGCCATAGCAAATACAGCGCAATAGGAATCTCGACAATACAGGCCCAGGCATCGTGGATGTAGTGTAGACCACCGGAAATACGCTCCATATCTGCACTCATTAAAGTGACAGGGGCACTGGTCTCAACATCGATGTCACGCATGACCATGACGTGACTGTAGAGCATGTCGACCAGGCTAGCCCGTATCATGGAAACCACTCGATATGCCTGATGATGGGCGAAGGCCGTGGAAACCTGACAAATTCAGTGTCAGCTCTATATCGTCTTACATTCATAGAGTAGACAGACTCACCGCGATACCCGTGTAGACTATAGCGAATGCTCCAATCAGTGCGTATCCCTGTGACTTGGGGTGAGAAAGCTCGTTCGATCCCACCCAGGTCGTGGTTGCTTCGACCAGAAAGGGCTGTGCGAACGTGAATGCCACCTGCAGCGCTCGAGGGAAGACTCCTAACAATATCGGAACCAGGTAGTATCGGCAGCATGCCCAGAGTAAACTGTGAGGGGAATTCCGGTTGGGTCCTACAATGATTTCCCTGTCATCAGGACGAATATAGCGTGAAGAAGTAGAAGAGACAAGCTTACCCTTGTTCCATAGCGCATAGAGCCCGCTATCACCATGCCCCGTAGAGCGAAGTGAGTCCTCAATTGGGGGAAGCAGCTCAACCGTAAGATCCACGCGGTTGCCGAGCATTAAGAGCGGGTTGAGCCAGCAGTAGAGACATTCTCCCAGAATCCCCACGGTCGATTCAGGAGGCGCATCTTTGTAGTTTCGTCTCAAGAGGGACCTCTTTGACATCGTTTCGGTAATCAGTAACACCACCTTTATGCACAGTGTCACCGTATAGAGTACCGCTATCGAGCGATTCCTCTCCAGGAAGTATAAGGTGCGGGTCTCGGCCAAGGACAAGATCGAGGAAAGGAACAGATAGCCACAGTTGATAGTAGCGGGCCGAATAGTACAGATATGTTCATAGTGAGAAAGAATACCGAATATGATGGAAGCCAGCCAGGAGACGACCGCCGTTGCGATAGTAGCTCGAGTGGTTTGTCCCGACGGCGCCGCCCAGAGGCCGACGAGGGTTAGCTGGAGGACGGCCAACAGAGCATATCCACCCTGGCGAGTAGGTCAGTTTGCATACTTTCTTCATGGGCTCTTTCGCTGCAGGTGCATCATACTAGCTTTACAAAATACCGATATCCTCCCTGTACCTTTATTGTCTGTTTTCTCAAGTAGTATATGCGTGGCAAGGCCCAAAAGAGAAAAAAGAGGGTCACCGGCAGTGTGAGGACCGTCTCTTCGAAGTATAATGTGAAATCAAAGCCATTTTTGCAGTCATGGCTGACAACAGGCCCAAAGGTATCTTCGACAGCAATAGGGCATGCTGCCGTTGCTCTGGAATGAAGCCAGAACGAAGACATGGAGATTGCGAACTAGTGATGTTTGATTGTATTTTCATCTATGGTCGTATCGTCCACATTATGAGATAGAAAGTAGATCATGGTGATCGACTTTTGTTCATCAACGTTTGGAATTTGACGGGTTGGCTCGTGGCGGTGCTCGTGGGTCCGAAATGGCCGTACTTTATATGCATGGTGAGCCGCCGAGCTTAGGGTTTACGACGACTATTCTATTAATGGCACTCTACGGGACTGACACTCGCAGAATCACATATAAACTCATTCTCCAGGCGTACATGACATGCAGGCTCATCAAATCTCTACCAGTTCCTCCTAGTTCCTGCCAGATCTGCCCCCCACCACCCCCACTCCAGCTCTGACGAAGAACTACTTCAGGCCCCTCTGAAACAATTTATGCCACGCGATGAAGACCATCTAATCCGGCCATGTGCACTGCTAGTGCTAGACCGCGTTTGCGTTTCACTTCCAGGTGTTCCTGCTGATCTTCTTGGCCTCTCATCTTCAGCCCCAACCCCGAGCCTTCAACGCTAGCATCAGCATAAGCGTCAGCATTGGCATTGACATCAGCATCAGCATCAGCAGTATCACCATCTTCCAAAAATTCCAGAAACTGGAGAACTTCGTCGGGCGCTACCGTCCGGCGACCTTTTTTGAAAACATACTTCGAGATAGCGGACGCAAGAACACCTTCCTCCGAGCCCGTCGTACTAGTCTCCTGGTGGCTACCGGGTTTCAGGAAATGGCTAACAATGTATAGCCATTTGTCATCCCAGCACAGGACTCGTGACTCGACATCATATCGCTGCCAGGGCTTGATCTCCCGTCGGAAGATACACGACACGCCGCCCAGCACGGGAGTGAGATGTTTTAGTGTTCCGGCTTGTTTCGCCTCGACTCGCTGGGCACTTTCGTTGGACGGCTTTCTCGATGGTGGACATAATGGGGTAATAACGTCCTTGAAGAGCAGTAGCAGTAGTTCAAGCCGGTTTATATCCAAATCCGCGTAGAATGTGCTGTTAGACTTGTGCAAATTGAAGTCGACCTCCGCCAGAGAACAATAGGACCGGGTCCGAACAGGACGAAAGAGGGTAGAAAGCCCATTGCCTGAGGAGGGTTTATTTCGTTTCCAGACAATATGGTTCATGAAGATTGCGATAATTCGGGCCTGTTAATTCGTACTCACGCCGTGGCGGTTAGCCCAATGCTTCGTTCGAAGCCACGTAGGAAAATGCAGACTATCACTAACATGCCATAATCCAGGAATAGCTTTGGAATCATAGACGAAAAAGAGCAGCAGAATGCTGCCCACCACGGGGATGAAAGAGTACACAGACATGGCAAGAATTGTAGATTGAGAAGTAACGAGAGAAGAGTTGTTCGCAAAGTAAAGATGAAAAAATGATGGGGGCCACCGGCGATATAAATACAAGCCCCCACCATAGAGCTGAAAGCCTCGGACAGTAAGAATTAAACAGCCCCATCCTTGCCTGTTTGGGCACTAGAATAGAAGCCCGACTTTTACCGTGAATTGATCTGATGCTACGGGGGTGTTGTTTGGGAAATTTCAGTGCGGTAGAGGGTATATTGAAGGAAGCAGGTCTATCGGTACAAAACAACAATCATGGGTACAAAAATCAAAACACCTTCATCGACTGAATAACAGACTCAATCTTCTCCATTCCACAAGTTCCAGCAGTGCTCATGTAGGTTTCCCACTATTGACTACATTAGCATTGCGCAAACAGCCTCATGCGATAGGGAAGGGCAACTCACCTCGTTCAAGACTCCCATCAGGGCAGCAGACCCAGTCAACTCCCTCACCATCTCGAAATACTCCTTCGTCAATTGGAACGGCCGGGCCGTCAGGTTGGGAACGTACTTTCCGACCAACCGCTTCGGGTCGAGCGCATGGCGGTCGATCAAGTCCAGCAAACAGCGTCGGAAGCCAGGCACACCGGGGAGGAGATGTGAAGAATGGAAGGGAATGTCGATGCCCTTGAGAGGAATTGTCGCACAGCCTCGTGTGAGGGCTGTCCCGGTCTGGGTAGTAGCAACTTGCGATTTTACTAGCGAGGTTAGCTGGTCGGGAGACAGGACGTTCGAAGGGAGGAGAGAGGAAGCGGTCGCGTTGATATGATCGAGGACCGATTTGAGGCAGTGGAGCGGTTGGATCTGGGGTGGGTTAGCGAAAGGATAGGACAGAGCAAGAGTAATGAAGGCTTGCCTGTCCTGCGCACACATATTGCAACCCTGCTACGTTGAAGTTGACAATCTGCAGCAACTGTCCTGTCTCGGCTGCAATGGTTTCCACCACCAGCTGCAGCGCTGCTTGGTCAAATCCTAGAGAGTCTCTGTGAGTAACGGCTAATCTCAGCTGGCTAGACGCATCAGGACGACACCTACCTGCGCAGACCCGGCTTGGATCAACCGCACACATCCGGAAGTCGGATTGCCCTCGGTCGTCGCGCTCCACGGCGAACTGCATCAACAATCCGCGATAGAATACCACTTGCACCAGGCTCTCCACACTGAAAATCTTCCCGACCGCACCGAGGGCTGCATACTCGCCCAGCGAGTGACCGGCGTACGAGCTCCGCTCCGAGATTAATCCTCTCGCCTGGAGATCCGCAAAGATCGCCAGCTCCATCAGCGTCAAGGCTGGCTGGGTGAACTGCGTGGCCGACAACAGCCCCTGGGGTGCATGGTACGTGTAGAACTCAGTGTCCTCGTCGATCTCGGGGAACAACGGGAGAAGCTGGACGTTTCCATCGGTGCCCATGGATTCTCGCTTCATGCTCATGTATTTGTCGCGGATGTGCCGACCTTGCGGGCCTCCGAAGTACACGGTGAGCTCCTTGGGGTCATTGCGGACGATATCGGTTATGCGGAAGCCTGATGAACCGTTTAGTAAACGCTTACCAGCTAAAGAATGCTTGGAACAGGGAGGATCAATTGAAACCCACCGTAGTTGTCGGAGAAGTAGGTATCAGCATAATCCCACACTTGCCGTGCAGCCTCGCTCTGGGTATACAGCTGCATTCCCATGCCCTTCTGCTGACTTCCCTGGCCCGTGAACAACAGCGCCGTCTCCTCAGGTTCCACTTCAGCCTCTCCACGTAGCACTGTTTCTCCGCGCTGAACATGCTTCGCTTCGACGGAGATGATCTTGCGGCCCGCCAGCATACCCACATGCTGGAAGATGACCTCAATTTCATCTCCCGGAAGCACCATGCTCGTGAACGAGCAATTGAAGCTGCGGAACGCACCAATGGCCGACGCGCAAGTATAATGCTCGACGAGACCACGGACGCGTGCCGACGTGTACATGCCGTGCGTGATCAGCCCCGGTAGATCAGCATACCGTGATAGGGAGGACGAGACGTGGATGGGGTTGAAATCCCAGGAGACATGGGCATAAGCCTCGTTCGAGTCCGGCATTCTCATCATGAGTGACGAACCCTCGCCCGTGAGCGGCATCGGGTTGTTAAACATGTGCCGTTTCTTGACCGGGCTGCCATGGCGCTGCAGGTAGTCCATGACGGGGTTGCCACGACAGGTGGCGGCATAGAAAGCAACTGTTGCGACAGAGCTCGACCGACCAGGCAGTGAGGACTTCAGACGCACATCACCCACGGTGGTAACGGCCTTGAATGTATCCCTGCTGGCGTATTGATAGGTCGACTGCAGTACGAAAATTAGTGTCTGGTCCTGCAGATCTAGGTCAGCATCGCGTGGCTTGAACCACGGTTTCGACTTCAGCAGAGCCACCTCCATGGGTCCGCTGAGGCACAACTCCATTTCTTCTTCGTCGACCTTCCGGAAGGTGTTCTCCCAGTCCGTGTGCGTGCCGCGGTACAGGAATTGGCTGGTCAGCTCGAGGACGACCTTCCCTTCCTGGTAGACGTCACCGCGCACTTCCACAAGCTTACCAGCATCCTCGATCGTGATGGCCTGAATACGAGACTTGGTCTCGAGGACAGCGCCCTCCTGGATAGGTTGCGCGTCTGGGGGGATGCGGAAACCATTGGTGAGATGCACCAATGTCAAGAGATCCACGTCCAGCTCGTGCGAGAACAGTGGCTTCATCAGTGCCTCCCAGCCGACAACTACCCCAAAGTCCAGCGGTGCGTACAGGGTCTTTCCACGCCGCTTGCTGGACGCATCGCTGGCGTTCTGCACACAGTGCGCAAACTCTGCAATCGAGTCCGCCGTGACTTCGAGCTGAGTCTCGCAGAATGTATCATGCACGGATGTCCACTTCTTCGGCTGCGAGCTGGTGAACCACACACGGTAGTAGAACTCCTTGACCCGCTCATTACGACCCTCCATGATCTCATGGATGGGCGCGTATACAGCGTCGCGCCGGTACTGGTACATCAGCCGCAAGCCGATAGCCGCACCCCCAGCGTTACGGTAGTTAATGATCTCCAGCGTGATGGACCCGGACTCGTCAGCACGGATATCGACGACCTTCACCGGTTCAGAATGTGGGCGGTATTCGAACAGCGAAACAGTCGTGTCGGACCGGTGACCTGCCTGGACCATCACATAGGAATCGCGCGTCGGCTGGAAGAGGCGGCGCAGTGGGTTCTCAGAAATCGCCCGGCCCTGCACAATGGTAGGAGCATTGAAGAATGCCTGGCGCCAGCCACCCTGCGTCCCACCCAGCGCGGCTAACCACTGGTCCAGCGACGGCATCGGAGAGTTCATCTCGGGAGATACCTCGTACAGAAGCGAACCAGTGTTGCCAACGGGGACGCAGCTGATCCCTGCCTGCGCCATGCCCCACTCACTGACGACGGGGTAGGGCCCAAAGCAGTGCACGATGGGGATTCCATCCTCGAAGTAGTCGGGATCCCGCATCTCCAGACGTTCAATATGCCCCTCGTGGATGGCATCCAGGATCTTGCGCGCTGGCTCATCGACCGCCGTGGAGTAACGCGCGGCGACTGGCCCGTGTAGAATACACACTCGCCCAACATCTCCATCGACCACCGCGTTGAGATCCTCCGACTGCCACAGCGAGTCCTTCTTGAAGTACTCCTCGAAGTTCTCATCCAGCACGGGCACGAACGGGACCGGCTTCTGGCCACGTCGTCGGCACAGGTGCAGGAAGTACTGCGCGTCCTGTGTACCCATGAGTTGGTCAGCGGCACAGGGGTTCTGCTCAAGAAATCGGTCAATAGCTGGCTTGGGGTCGTGAAGATCATCCACGCTGGTGACCACAGAGGAGGTAATCTTCATGTCGTCACCATCTTGGCCCTCCTCTCTTTCATGGCCGATCCGGGCTTCTACGCGCAAAAGGAAATCAAACAGGAACTGCTGGAACGAGGCATCGATCCAACGGCCTTCGAGTGAAACATATGTCAACTCGACCAGCCGCGAGATGACCTCGGCATAGGTCATCTCCTCCAGATCCACCACGTTCCCGAGCTCGTCGCGTCCAAACCAGACTTTGTGCGAGTCGGCGTTCAGTCGGCGGATCAAATAGTCGCGCTGTTTCTGGAGTTGAGTGAGACGCTGTGCGCGATCGAGCTTGAAGATTGTCCGGTCTAATTCCGCCCAAAGGCGCACACCACGCGTCGCCAATTTGTGGATGGGCTCTCCCATCTCGGAGGTCACCGTCATAATTCCTCCTGCCGGCTGGGTGTAGGTCTGCTCCCAGTCCGCCTCGTCGGCCACACCAGGTGTTGCAACAATAGCTTGCTTCACTGCGGCGCTGGTATGGGCCTCCTTGGCGGTCATCAAGCGGCTACCCAGCAGAATGCCGTCGAAGGGCATGAGTGGCCGATTGTACTGCTGCGCCCACTCCCCAGTGAGGTAAGGGAAGGTGTCCTCGGCCCCCCCGAAGCCACTGCCTGCCACCAGGATCAAGTTCGAGCAGCTGCGGACTGCCCCATAAGCCTGGAGGATTGGCTGGTGGAAGTCTTCGAAGGAATGGTGGCCACCCCCGCGACCGCCAGTCCATTGGAGGATCACCGGGAAGTTTGGATGGGCCCGCGCGATGGCAATGACCTGGTGAATCGCCGGGAGCGACCCCGGTTTGAAGCTGATATGGCGCAACCCAAGATCACGGATGTAGCTGGTGGCGACCTCCAGCGAGGGAACACCAGCGCCCACCGTAAGACCCTCGATGGGCACTCCCGACGCCCGGAGACGTGTGAGCAGCGGAACCTGCCAGCGAACTGCCTTAGGGGCAGCATAGATCATATTGACAGTGATTCCGCGACCCGGGGGGATCTCGCGTAGTAGACGCTGGATCGCCGTTTCAAGCTGGTCCGGGCGATGATAGCCTCCCAGGGCGAGTTCGACATGATATCCAGCCTTCATCACCGCTGCACAGAAGTCCCACGCCGCTGTAGTTGGGGTCATGCCCGCCACAATGACCGGTGGGAGTCCCAGCAGACGACTCAGCTTGGTGTCGACCATGGGGCGGCTGCCAGATACCTGAACCAGCCGCGGTCGGTACTGCTCGCTCCAAATCTGACCATACGCCAGTCCCGGGGAAGGGCTCCAATCGAAGATCTCGCTGCGATAGCCCAGATCAGTGTTGGTGCCCTCCGCGACCGTGGCCAGGATTGTGCGAACCCCAGTGCCATCCTTGAGTCGGTTCGTCAAGGCCCCAATACCGGATACGCCTCCTGGGCCGAAGTCAATGATGTGCGTGGCGCCCGGCAACTTGATGGCTTCGGTCCAGACAAGCTCCTGCGATGTAATCATAGTGACCAGGTCGGGCACAATATTCTGGCTTCCGAAGGCCCGCAGGTCACTACCCGTGCGCGTACAGAACACGGGAATGCGAAGGTCGTCGCCCCTAATGGTCAAATCGGGGACATTGGCGAGAACTGCGTCGGAGACGTCGGCCAGGTAACTGCTATGGAAGGCGGCAGTGATGGGGAGGAAGCGGTTACTGATCTCGGGTTTCCGCTTGCTAAAGGGAATGCGATGCTGGGTACCCTTCGCAGGGGCCTTGACACCGCGCAACCAGACGTTGAATCCATGCAGGGACAAGGGTGGACCTGCCAGCACGGCGCTCTGTGTCCATTGATCAAGGCGATTGCAATACGGGCGTCCTCCGAGAGATGTACATTAACGGCGTCGACATATTTCTGGAGCTGCTCCAGGGGGCAGTCGCTGACACTGAGCATGGGCCCCGGAAAGCCCTCGCCATGGGCCTCCGCATCAGCGACAATCACCGGGGGCAGCTCGGCCACGGCAAAGTGGTCTTGGCTGTACGCTCCAATGGCCAGCAGGAGGCGCAGGGCATCCAGGGCCAGGTTGTCAAATTGTGTCCATGACTGGGCCACGGCCGTCACGGTTGCGGTGACAATGCCCTGGGAGTGGCCGGTGGTACCAACGAGTGCCGCCTGGATCTGGGCTGGAGTGGACCCCAGAACACGCCCAATCACGCGATACCAAGCCAGTTGGAGCAGGCCGATGAGCGGCATACTAAGTGGGGCGGAGATCAGGTAGGCTGAGTCTGGGGCCCGCTCGGGATGCTCCAGCCAAGTGATAATATCCAGACCCTGGTGATAAAAGCGGCTGAACCGCTCGTCGAGCGATTGGCGCTGCAGCAGGCTGGATGCGGAGACAACCAAATCACGCACTAACGGCCGGTAGGTGTTGTACACCACTCGCAACTCGTCGAAATAGTTCTCATCGTTACCCTGGCCGCCAAACACGGTGTACAATTGTGCCTTGCGGTCCAACGCGGCCGTCATCAGCGCGGATGGCGGGTGGGATGGCCGACTGATCTTTCGCAACGCATGACGCGCCTGAACGTAGGCAGCTAGGATGGTCGTTTTGACGTCGGTGCTTGCGTCCAGCTCCTTAACCACCCCGTGCACTTCCCGATTCCACAGGATGTCTCGCTCGAAGGTGTCCATCGCCGTGGCAAGGAGCACCCGTAAGTCATCCTCTTTCAAACCACGGCGCTCTCGCTCCAGGCGGCGCACGGCAAAGCTGAGGAATCGAGCCCAGAGCTCCACCAGTGACGACAGTTGCTCGTCCCCTGGAGTCTTACTCAGGTCATGGAGGAAGTCGTCCCGCAGCTGCAGGGCCGTTGGGTAGGAGCCGCTGGCGACGGTGAGGGAGTGTTCAAAGGCATGATAGGTAATAGTAAGGGTCTGACACGCATGAGAAGAAGTGGAGGAGGTGGAGAGAAGTTCTGGAGTCGCCCAGCCGGAAGAGAGTGCGAAAGAGGCCGCGGAACCAGCGCTGGCCAGGGATGGGGAACGGGAAGCGGAGGAGGCATTCATCGTGGAAAACATTGTGGCGGTAAATCGTCGTCTTGTGGATAATTCCGTTGGGTCTTCGTTATTTCTTTGTTGAGATGATCTTCTTTGTTTCTGCAAGGCTCATTTCCGACTCTTTGTTTGAAGATATTCGCAAGATATTTATCCAACGGGTCGCGCTATAACACCCCAATCGGGAAATCAGCCCTAAGCGTCTCACTTCGCAGGGACGCTAAGATGCAGCGTGGGCTCAGCCTGCAGCCCTCGAGCCTCACATCCCAGTCTAGTTTCCCCCCAACTAGAATCTGACGTGTGTTGGCTCTAAAAATATGGTGGGCCAATGGGTTTAGGCACCGTCATTCTGTCGATCCTGGGTGAGCCTACTAGTTTAAGAATGCAGCAGGTAATCCGTTTTTTCCCTCTGCATCTCAACAACCACTTTTCTCCTCCTCTCTTCTCGTTCCCTCTCTCATTCCCCTTTCCGTTTGTCTGAATACTCTGGAAAACCTCTGCTGCGAAGACACTGGTTGTCAATTAGCGTCATGGGTTTAACAGCGAAGTGCGGTATGTTCCTCTAATTCCTCTAGTGCCATTTTGTCTACCCTATTGTTTTCTTTGCTATTTGTTTTCCACGTCTAATAAAAATTCCCCGCTATCCCACGTTCTTAATTCCCCGTTCCCACATCTTTATCTACACCACGATGTGGATTCCCTCCCCAAAACCAGTATTTTTCAACACTTTCAGCCTCAAAACTTTCCAATTTTATGAGCACCGCAAAACTGACGAATTAATGCAGATCTCACCAACGAGAATGCGCAGTATCCCTACTGTGCCAGTCCCGCGGCTGCCATTATCTTCTCCGTCCTCTTCGGAGTGACGTTCGCAGGCCACTTGGCGCTGGCGATTCTCTACCGTAAGAAATTCTGCTGGGTGATCATTGTCGGCAGTGGATGGGAATGTCTGGGTTTGATCATGCGAGCCTACTCGACACTGGACCAGACCAAGTCATCCACCCTCGCTGCTGCACAGCTGCTCGTCCTGCTCGCCCCGCTGTGGATTAACGCATTCGTATACATGATCTTCGGCCGCATGGTCTACTACTACACCCCGAACAAGAAAATCAAGGGCATCAAAGCCGAGAGCATGGCCAAGATCTTTATCTGGCTCGATATAACGTGAGCGCCCTTGCACCATCTCCGCGAAATCCTGTCGACTCCGGAGACACTGACCATGGTCTAGCGCCTTTATCATCCAAGGCACCGGTGGTATTCTGGACTCCGACGGCTTCGGCGAGAAGCTGAATCGGACTGGAATGAACATCTACACCGCCGGTATCGCCATCCAGGAATTCTTCATCCTCTGCTTCCTCGCTCTGTTGATCGTGTTCCATAAGCGCATGCTGTCGGGATATCGGAACATCGAGCGCGGAAATGGGTGGAAATGGATGGTGTACGGCATGTACGTGACATTGCTCTGCCTGACGGTATGTGTGCTCTTTTTTCCCACCCTCTGCATAACCAGCATGCTGACAACGACGTAGACCCGTATCGTCTACCGTTTGGTCGAGTTCGCCAACCCCAACCAGGCCGGAAAGACCGTGCTGAGCACCAAGGAGGCCCCGTTTTATATCCTCGAGTGTGTGCCCATCTGCATCGGCATGATGCTCTGGAATGCATTGCACCCTGGTCGCATAATGCCGGGTCCCGACAGCGAGTTCCCTAAGCTCTCGCGCGCGGAGAAGAAGCAAATGAAGCAGGAGGCGAAGGAAGCGAAGAAGCAGCGCCGAGTCGGCTTTAGTCAGAAGTATACCGCGGTCAACGACTCGGAATACACCCTCACGCGCCCCAGTGACGAGGAGCGTGAGACTGGCTATGGCGGAGGACGGTGGCCCCTGAACGAGGTGGAATCGGGTCGAAGAGGCTATGGCAATGAGTATGGTTATGTTCGTTGAGGACGGTTAGGGTCGGAATGAGACTGTGTGGGATAGGGAAAAAGGCTGGACCTGGCTGGTTTTTGGGTGTTTTTGCTTCTTTCTTCATTTTAATTGTTTCTTTGTTTTGTAGAACCTCGAATCTTTATTATGTTATGCTCTAGTTGACCGATATCAACATATGTATGGGTTACAGATATCCACAATGAATAACGAACTGTGATGCTTCTATAAAGATCAAGAACAACTCCGGATAGAATTCTTCACAACCACTTGCCTCCAACGCCAGCACATAGGATATAAATAAGACAAAGCAAATAAAATATTGAAAGAATGTAAGAAGGGTAAGAACGACGTAAACCATGGAACGCATCAATCAAAGGGATATCACTGGAGGAGAAGAGCGGGATTACATGTTCTTCCCGAGGCATGCGGTATGCAAGGGCGTCTGGCCTTCGAGATCGCGGATCTCCAACTGGGCCCCGGCTTGCACCAGCATTTCAACCAAGTCACGCCGATTTCGCTCACAGGCAAGATGCAAGGCTGTACGGCCCAGCCAATCCTGTGCGTCTACCTGAAGGGCGTGGCGACGCGTCGGACAGAGCAACACTTGCACCACCTCTGGCCGGTGATGCTTCACAGCCAGATGCAGCGCCGTCTCGCCCTCCCGCGTTGTCATGTTGATATTCACACCACTGCCGGTCGGCGAGCCCAATAGCAGTGTCACCAGGCGGGCGTGTCCCTCCATCGCCGCGAGATGCAGGGGTGTCAGCCCCGCGCTATCGGCGATCGAAGCATCCGCGCCCGCACTGATCAAAACCCCCAGAACAGACTCATGGCCGTACAGAGCCGCCCGGTGAAGGGCAGTATTGGCGAATGAAGACTCTCCCGTGGGAGTAGAATGTGACGGAACGGAATCCACAACCGTTGGGGGGCTGGGATTCGGGGTTATACTAGGGGTGGGCGCGTGGAGTGTCTGGGGAGCTTTGACCGTGCCTGCTGCAGGGACGGGGACAGCTGGGGGTTGGGAGTTTGTGAGGTTGCCGTTGCTAGTATTCGCCAGCGCATATGCTTCCTCGATGGGATTGTAGGAAGGCCCCCGGCCAGTCATCGTCGGTCGTTGGGAGCCATCGAGTGACGGCGGAGTCCACGACTCGGGGAAGGACAGCCCGTCCAGTGGAGGAGAAAAGAGCTGAAAGTCCGGAGGGGTTTGTACTTTCACCTGGGTCTGAAAGGAGGGTAAGGGTTGTTGCTGCTGTTGCTGTTGCTGTTGTTTCTGCTGCTGCTGCTTCTGCTCCTCCTTAGGAGCGTTGGCTGCTGCCTCTTTAGCTCCTTCCAGCTTTTCCTTCTTGAGCCCTACATAACATGGTTAACGGAATCAAGGCATCATCTCCGTCCTCCAGTACTCACTTTTACGGTATCCCCTCTGGGCAATTCGATTTTGAGCCCTTCGCCGCTCCACCCGATCATCGATGTTCGCCCAGTTCTCGCCGACGACCTGAACGGAACTATCACCCACGACCGCTGATCAGCAGATGAAGACGAGAAACAATGGGTCTGAAAGGGATATACATACGTGATCATCGCGCAATGGGGATCAACTGACATTCTCATCGCGATACTATAAGATATGGGCTATCCGTTTTCACGAACGGGGGCCATCGCCCGTCCCTGGGCCCTCTACATATATGTATGGGGGAAACATCACCCCGTCATCTTCACTGCATGCAGTCCCAGACCTCTGCCCCCAACATTGCTCGGATTTTTTAGATTGGTATCCTAGCGTATGTTCATCTTACGAAAGAAATTACTGAGCAAAGTCAATTTAGGGCGCCGGCCACATGGTTGCCACATGGGGAGGTCCATAACGAAGAAGATCACTTCCTACTTTCACCAAACGAGCCGATATCCAAAAGTATGGCAGATACGGACTAAGTCGAAGGACACCAATGGGACAATATTTTGCTGGGTCGCAGTCGAGTCCATGGATCCTGTTAGTCTGAACTGCCTCGTTTAGGAAGGGGCCAACGTTGGCTTACGGTGGAGTTGAGTTGGTAATATTATTCGATGAGATCATCCGACATTTGAATATGGACGTTTATGGTTTCTGGATCTTTTGCCTCTCTTTCTTCAGAGAGGCAAGATGGGATCCGAGTCTGCGGTTGGCTCTATACGAGAGGATGTATATTGATTTGCACAGCGAGTGTCTACATGTAGTAAAAGGCCAAACAAAACCCCGGGCTCGAACAAACATGAACATGGGGTAGATCAAAGCACTATGCAATTGTACACTGGAGATCGGAACTAACGTATGAAGCTCTAAAAAAAGAACTGTATAGAGTTAAAAACAGTCCGCAGTCATAGAATTGTTACAGCGTCATGCGCGGGAGTCCCAAGTACCAGACTATGCAAATGTAAAACACTGCCAGAACAACGGCACAGCGAGCCATGGCGTACATGATTTCCGGTCCGTTTGTTTCAGAAATGAACCCGAGAGATTAGAGTAAGAAAATAAACTGTCAAAGCGTTGCGAAAGAAGATCCTGTGACACGGTGGGAAGGGCAGTTACAATGGCTACTGGCTCACGTTAGGGTGACTCGGGCACTGGGGGTTGACCGTAGTTTGGATATGAAACAAGGAACTTACTGCTCTGGGTTAACACTGGCAATGCCCAGTACCTCGATGTATGCCTCCGCATCCCTACGAGCCAATCGAGCCTGGATATCTGATGGCCCACGCAGCAGCCGGAGTGCCCGACCAGTCCTGTTTCCTTGTTTGAACGCACCCAAAAATAGAGTCACCCAGTGGAAATTCCCGAAGAATAAGCACTAAGGGACCAGGTACCGAACTAAGGATCGGGATCCATAACCAAGCCCCTCTTAACAGAAGCACTATAGTTGGTGGCTTGGCATTCTTGTCTGGTGGAGCTTCCCAGATACGATTGCATGACAATCCCCCTCGTTTTCCCAAACTGCCTGACTCAGGCCATCAGTCCAACACGACCGGACTAGAAGCTGGCTATCGCAAGTCCTTACTATAGTACAACGTAGGTTGATACTTGAATAGGTCTAAACACAGCGAGAACTCACCCAGCGGTTTGGGAACAGTGCACTTACACGAGATCATCCCTTCTTACTGTCAGCATGCATTCCACTTGGCATTCGCTAAACCCGATCTGATACGATCCCCCCAACATCCCAACTCCGCCTCTCTCATGACAAATTTCTTCCCGCTTTACGAGGCAGAAATCTGGCAGAAACAAGGCAGAAACGGGATCGATACCTGATCCTAGGGTTCCACCGCACACGGGCCTCTCACTAGCATGCAAAAGAGGCAAGGACAGACAATCAATCCTTGCGCAGTTTGCCTCGTCCTCGGCTGCAAAGAGACATGGTCTTAGTAGATAACTATTAATTAGCTCAGAAATAATACCCTCTTGGGTCCTACATTCCGCCCATATGCTGGAAAGTAGAGAGAATTCGAGGAATTATATATATTACAGTGACGTCGGCCATCATTGTTCTAGACAGGAACCATCTACGGGGATGCATAAATATAGATTCAAGGTCTTAGTATGTAAGCTTTAAATTTGGACCCCTACTGATATATTTAGATTGCCTGTCCACTAGCAAACATACAATCTAAGCAATAAGCTACACCAGCCCTCATTTATGAAACTGCGCTACTCCGTAACTCAATCCTGATTACCGTTCGTGGAAGTAGGGCATGGTCAACTGGTGACATGAATTTCAGTGTGGCGTAGCCTATTGAAATTACAATCGATCATCGCCGAGTCAACGTCCAAAAGAAAGATAACGTAAAAATCATCCATAACTAAATCATAAACACGGTCATGTCAGGTGACCAGTACACTACATCTTCACATCAGAAGCACCGGTAACAATAGGATAGCCTACGAACACCAGTTCGATACTTCTACTTAGAGGGAGGCAATACTACGTTAACAGACCATTGCACGACTTGAAATGAAATGAAATCTATTGTCTAGCCTTTCCAGAAGGTTATGCGAATCACAAAGTAGATAGAGAAAGTACACGAGACAAGAACACAAAAGTAGAGACAAATGAGATAGATACAGAAGAAGAGACGAAATCAGACATACAGATGAAAGCTTTTAGAGCCACAGGAAAATAAAGATATGCAACCATTACATCATTCAAGGAGTGTGAGTGTATAGGAGATTCACCATCTGTTCCATTGAAGAGTGGTGAAGGAGGTCCTCCAGGCGAAGCTGGGGTGCATGCTCTTGCAGTCGCAGCAGCACCCGTGACAAGCCCACAAGTTCACCGCCTGCTGCAAAATAGCATTCTGTTGGAGACACGACTGATTTATTTGTCGACGGCAGAGTCTCGGTCCACGCCTGGTGCACGGCCTCTCGTAAAGCGGCCACCTTGGGCTCGGAAGAGTCCGCAGGCGGCGCGCCAATGATGATATCTGGTACGGTGGATTCCCTAACCATAGGAATCAGAGGCTGGCCGGCTTCAAGTTCCTCCACCGATGGCAAAAAGGTAGTGGATGGGCTGGACGAGAAGAAGCGGATCGTGAGACAGAGTTGGTCAAGCAAGTCCTCCGCCTGGATTGCGGACATGACTGATGTCGCTGTAATGAGGTCGATGTCAACGTGATCGCCTGCGGGAGTTGATAGGATCGATACATCCATAAGATCAAGTTCCGAGCCGATGAAGCCAGGCTCGTAGGACCCATCGCCCATCATCATAGCCCGATCCGGCTCAATGTTCTGGTGCTGGATAACACTGCTGAAGCGCATCCACCGCGGCCAATCCGTGCACTGCTCGACAATTGGGCGCAATCCGAGTGACTCGAACGGCATGTTGGCCACCTGCTGGTTCTGGATAGTGCGAAGGAGGTCCATCACAGTCCAGCGGTCCTGGAACTGAGCGCGGACGGGGACCACATTAAGACACGGGCCAACAATCCGGTCGATGTTGTCAATTGCCAAGTTCCGGCCGGAAATGGTGTGGCCGAATACAACGTCCGGTCGAGCTGCCATGCGAGCCAAGACTAGGGCCCAGGCGGACTTGGCGACGGTTGCGAAGGTGATGCCGTCGCTCGTGAGTGTGGTATTCGGTACCCGGCGCCGGACGGAGAGAACCTCATCGGAATCATCTCGGAGGCCCGGCTTGTGGCGCTCCACGAAGTTTGTCATCGTAGATCCCGCTAGAAGGGACCGCCAGTGTTCAATGGCAGCGGGGTCATCGGATGCCGGACAGAATGAGGTGAAGGTCGAGAAGGGCGGGCTGGAGGGTAGGGTTTGACCGGTATACGCCTTCTGCAAGGCCTCCCAAATGGTGGGGAGTGAGACACCATCGTATTGTGCGTGCGAAATGCGCATGATGAGGCGATGTGCGTGGCCGCGTCGCTGCTGTGCCAGAACAAATTGAACGAAGGGATTCTCGATTTGAAGGTTGCCAGCCTTTCCTTCCTCGTACACTCTCTGGGTTGTTTCGTCGAGGTCATCGGTGGGGATGACAAGGAAGACCGGATCAAGTTGCCGGAGGACTACCTGCCAGAATCGGGATTCATGTTCCGTGAAGACGGTGCGAAGAATGCTGAACTGCCGTACCAGTCGAAGCAGCCCTGGCGGAGACGGTCCACATCCACTGGATCGGAGCTCTCGAAGTAGAAGTAGTTGAGCATCCAACGGGGCCGCGTCATGGCACCAATCAGCGCAATTTCCTGCATGCTGGTGGTGGGGCAAATCTCTTCGACGTGGCCTTCTTCGACTCCAACCTTCGCAGCAATTGCGTCCAGAAGGCTGGAATCACAGGTTGATGATCCTTTGCTCGGAGACAAGACAGGAGTCCCATCTCCAGGGGTGACAGGTGCGTTGGCTGTAGCCAGAGCAGCGATGTCGACAAGGGAAGGATGGTTGAAGATATCAGCGACACTCACAAAGATCTTGGAGGCACGAGCGAGGCTGACCAGTTTCATGGCGACGATGGAATCACCACCCAAAGCAAAGAAACTGTCGTCTGCCCCGATCGACTCACGATCGATCATAAGCACATTCGCCCAGAGACTGGCTAGCGTGAGTTCCATCTCCGTCTTGGGGGGCCTCTTGCCGGCGGTGGCCAGCGAGAAGGTCTGCAATTGAGCGTCTGAGAGTGAATCGACCATGCGACTAAGCAGATTCCGATCCGCTTTGCCAAGGGAGTCAGTGGGCATGGTCTTGAGGGGGATGAAGAGGATGGGCTGCAAGTAATGGGGAACGGAGGTGTGTAGTGCAGACTGGACTGTAGTAAGCTCCTGTTGCAAGTTGGTAGTCATGGTATCGGCCAGGCTGTCGATTTCAACATCAGGAGACTGTACAGACTCATCGTAGAGGTATGCAACAAGCATGTTTCTGTTGCGGGACGAGACCAATGTAGTGTCTACCAAGACATCGTACGTCGAAGGAATGTGAGACTTGATGGAGTGCTCGATCTCACGAGGGTCGATACGTTGGCCGTACATCTTAAGCTGAGTATCTTTGCGTCCCAGATACTCAATGCTACCATTGACATTGAACTTGACCATGTCACCAGTCCGGTAAACACGAGCGAATCCATCAGCAGGATATGTGTGCTGCATCCAATCGGGACGATCGATGAATGCGACCTCACTGGCCTTAGGTTGACCCAAGTAACCCTCCGACAGGATAGGTCCTTCAATGACCAATTCACCCAAGCAGCCCAAAGGAGCGAGCTTGTTGACGTCTTCCGGCTCAGTAACCCACAATCGACAACCAACTGGGAACCCGATGTTGGCAAATGAGTCCTTAGGATGGGTGAACTGTGACACAGCACACCAGACCGATGCTTCGCTGGACCCATAAGCGTTGAGAAGGGTATCGACCTTGCCCGCCCAAACCTGTAAATTATCCTGGGACGGGCACTCCCCACTCAGAACTAACGTCTTCAGCTTGGGAACGTCAGTCGGGCGCATGCTGTTGGCGACGTTCGGGGTCAGGCAGGCCCAGTTTGCGCCTACCCGGTCAATGGCAGCAGCCAGATCCTTGGTCTGACCATGTTCAGAGATAACACACACAGTGCCACCACTGAGAAGGGTTGTGAAGATCTCCGCGTAGCTGATATCGGATGTGTAGGCGGCAGATTGCAGCACGCGAGACTTGGATGTAATCTTCAATGCGGCGCCATGGTTTCGAATACTGGTACAGATGGCCCTGTGGTCGATCGCCATGATCTTGGGCTTACCGGTGCTATCAGAGGTAAAGGCAAGGTACGCGGGCGATGAAGGGTCAACGGCTGTCCGAGCTCGGGGAAGGTCAGCACTGGTAGCTGCGACCTCAGAAGCCGTGGTTGTATCAGCGATGACAACATGGCTGGACCCAATAGCGGCAGCCAGGTCAGCATATTGTGGCGCCGTAATGACATGGTCAATGCCAGTGTCATGGACGATTTCTGTCAGACGGGAGACAGGGTCCTCTGGATTCAGATTCACGCATGCTCCGCCAGCCTTCAAGACGGCAAGCTGTGAGACAATGGCCCACTTGGATTTATCGAAGCACCAGCCTACAGTGCACCCCGCCGTCACCCCAAGTTTCACTAATGTGTCGCTGAATCGAGAGGATAGATGATCCAGTTCTTGATAGGTCAGACTGCCATCCCAAGCATCTACTGCTTTGCGCTGTGGGTGGAATCGAGATTGGACACTGAATAGATCGTGCACACGGGCATTAACGGGTTCAATAGGGGCGCCCATCCAGTCGAGAAGCTGGTCCACATCAGTTTGGCCAGTCATAGTGATATCCACCATAAGAGTATTTTGAGGCAGGCGGAAGAGCTGGTGGATGAGATTCTCATAATGCTGCAGCAACCATCCCATTTGTTGTTCAGGAATAAGCATATCGTCGTATCTGACACGAACATCGAGTTCTGAGTCACCAAGATGACACTCTATAATCAGTGGGTAGGTGTCAAAATCAAACTGCACCGAGGAGACTTGTTCCAGGTCTAGATCGTTCTCTGAATCCTCAAGAATAGGTTGGATGATAAACAGGTGACCGAAATCGGCAATGGCCGAGCCGTTTGGCTGGATTCGGCGGATGTTCTGTAAGCCGAACTGTTCGAAGGGTGTCATATCCAGAGCCTGTTGTTGAATGCCGCCCATGAGCTCCTCGATTGTCTGGGCTCGATCTAACCGGACACGGATGGGTACCGTTGCAATCATCGGTCCCATTATGTCTGCAGCACCACGAAGCGAAGTACTACGGCCGGAGAGGACATGGCCGAAGACAATATCATCAGAGGTAGTGTAGCGGCTGAGGAGGAGAGACCAGGCCGATTTCAACACGGTGGGTGTAGTGAAAGTAAGATTGTCCCTCTGCGGAAGGCGAATGTGCAAGGAGCGGGTCTGGTTGGGTCGCAGAGATTGAGCAGAGTGGGCGGAGGTAGGGAATTGGGCGGGGAGATTTCCCTCAATCTGGGAGCGCCAGAACTCCTCAGATTCCTCACGGTCAGTGGTAGCGAGATGCTGGATAAATTTGCTGTATGGGATGACTGGGGGAAGGGCAGACAAGCCTTCCCGGTAGATGATACCGACTTGCTCGAACATGAATCCCTGACTCCAGCCATCGTAGACAGCATGATGAGAGGTGTGAATCAGGCACGGGCGTGGATCGTGCTCGTCGCCAGGGACGATGGCGTTGCGCATCAAAGGTTGGCCATGGACCATAGGCGAGAGCTTATCGGCCCTCACGTAATCTTCCACAGAGCTCTCCCATCGCCAAACAAGCGGCTCAGCAATAACAACTTGGAAGGATTTGGAATCATCTGTGTAGATAATGCGGGTGCGCATGATCGGCTGGAGCTGGGCCAAGGACTCCCAGGCTTGTTGGTATTTCTCAAGATTGATATCAACGGGAAGTCGGAAGACAAGTCGCGATACATATGCCGTCTCATCCTTAGCGGTGAGTGCCATTAGTGCCTCCTGCGAGGAGGTGCAAGGGTACATATCCTCAATCACATTGGCGTCCACCGCACATTGAGTGGTTGCTTGGGCCACAAGATCCTTGACTTGGTCGTCAGGCAACAGACTGAAAGGCTCCGGTGGCGCATCGCTGGTCTTCTTCCTTGACAAGGAGCCATCGATATTCTCCGCCATCTGGTTCAATTTAGGATAATTAGTCACGTCCGCAACGCTCATGGAAAGACCTGCTTTGCTGCCGGCGGCAACAAGCTTCATCGCGGCAATCGAGTCTCCGCCGAGGTGGAAGAAGTGGTCGTCTACACCGATGCTGTCGGTGCCGAGCACACGAGCCCAGAGTTGCGCGAGAGCCTTCTCTGTTTCGGTCGAGGGCGCTTTCTTGTCCACCTTGGAAAGAGCATATGAAGCTAGTGTCTCTGGCGAGAGGCCGTTCCCAACCGTCCTTAATACCTTTCGATCCAGTTTGCGGGAGGGGGATAAAGGCATATGCGAGACGGGGATAAAGAGTTGTGGCACCATATGCTTGGGCAGAACCTCCAGCAGGCGGGTATGCAAGGCTTGGAAACTTCGTCGAAGTGGGCCAGAGAGGGGAACAAGTAGGGAGTCCACGTCCCCAGAGGCAGTCTCAGGCGCACAGATAAACGCAGTGAGGATCTTAAGACTGCCACGAGACTTCGGTGTTAGAACTTCGACCGCCACTTGGTATGAGTTGTTATCGTATACGGTTCGAATACGATGTTCGATTTCGCCCATCTCAATGCGTTGCCCGTGAAGCTTTACCTGGGTGTCTTTGCGGCCGATGAATTTGAAGCTTCCATCGCGGTTGTATCTGACCAGATCACCCGAGCGGTACATGCGACCATTGCCTTTGTCGTGAGGAATCCACCATTTGGGGGGTTGATGAATGCTGCCGCCGTCTTCTCGGGCTCGTTCAGATATCCCCTGGCAACAATCGGGCCCTCAATGAGGAGCTCGCCAGTGGAGCCAATAGGCAACAGCCGGTCGATATTATCTGGGTCTACAACCCACAGAGTGCATCCCAGCCCTCGGCCAATGTTAGTAGGGTCCTTGATGGTACTGGTCTGAGAATTGCAGGTGGTGCAGACACAGCATTCGCTGGGTCCATAGCTGTTGATTATCTGCACATGATCAGACCATAAATTGACGACCTCTTTAGTGAGTGGTTCCCCACTGAGAACCAGAGTTTTGAGAGTGGGAATACTACTTGGTACCAAGAGACTGGCAACAGTGGTGGTAAGTTCCGTCCAGGTAACACGGTACTTGGCCATAGCATCCGTAAGGGCATTCATCCTCTCGTACTCTGAGGGAACACAGACACATCCTCCCAGCATCAGTGTCCCAATAATTTCGTCAAAGGAGACATCAAAGGTGTAAGAGGCAAACTGGAAGGCGCGGGTACCAGGACCAACTGACATCTCACTCAGATGCGCAACAAGACCAGTTACAAGGGAGCGGTGTTCCAAGATACTTCCCTTCGGCTTTCCAGTACTTCCAGAGGTATATACGATGAATACAGCATTGGAAGGCTGGGCAATGGCACCAACAGGCTCATTTGGGCAGGGGAGGCTGTCGAGGTAGTCGCCACCAATTGGGAGCACTCCCGATGGAGGGAGTAATGAAGAGAGCATTGCTGATGACGCCTGGTCACACACGACCAGGCTAGCATCGAGATCGTCAAGCAAAAGCTGGATTCGGTCCCTGGGATGCTCAGGGTTAAACATGCAGCAAACACCGCCAGCCTTCATAACCGCCAACATTGCGATAATAGTCCATGAGCATTTGTTGAAAACGAGAGGGATAATCATCTCCTGTTTGACCCCACGTGAAATAAGCTCGTGAGCCAACTTCTCAGCCAGCATGTTAAGTTGACTGTAGGTAAGCTCAACATCATACGAGGAAACGGCGAGAGCATCAGGTTGCCTCCGAACCTGTTCCTCGAATTGGTAATGAACACAGGATTGGATAGTTTCCGGGCGATCCCTGTTCCATTCAAGAATCTGCTGTAGGTCTTCCTCACTGATGGTTCCAATCTCCTCTAGCGTGTTGATATTTTCGTCGCCGCCTGCTTCCTGAATTGAGCTGAGACGCTCAATAGCACGACTATAGCGACTGATGATCCGCTTAACTTCCTCACTGGAGATGACGTTTTCGTCAAACAAAGCTTTGATTTCGGCGCCATCGTCGAGAATGTTGCACTCTATGATCAACGCGTAGGGGTCCTGATCGTCGCCGCGGTCAACTGCCACATTAGTGAGTCCCAAGAAATCAGAGGGCTTAAATGGTGCCGTGTTTGGTTGGATGACGAGAAGGTTCTGGAATTCAACGGCTTCTTTAGCCTGTTCACTCATGAGGCGAATGTTCTGAAGACCGGTATGCTCGAAAGGCACCATATCCAAATTCTGCTGTTGGATGCTTCGGAGGAAGTCGAGCGGAGGTTGGCTACCATCTACCGCGATGCTCACGGGAACTGTCGCAATGGTGGGACCAACAACCTGGTTGATACCTGGGAGAGCTGCATTGCGACCAGAAACCGTGATCCCAAAAGTCACCTTCTCAGTTTCCGTCAGGCCAGCAAGAACAAATGCCCAAGCTGCTTTCAGAATGGTGGTGAAGGTAATGTCGGACGGCTGTCTTGACAAATGCACTGAGCTGATCGTACTGTTGTTCGGGTACGGTTGGTAGGTACGATCTTGCAATGTTGGATATGTCAGAGAGGGCTCTGCGAACTGAGCAGTCCAGAACTCAGTGGCAGATTCAGGGTTGGTTGCTCTGATATATTGGATGAACCGGTTATAGGGGACCTCTGGCAGAGCCATTTCGCTATTGTATTCAGCAGAGACCTGCTTGGTGAGGATAGGGATAGTCATTCCATCATAGATTGAGTGGTGGGCAGTCCAGACAAAGTATTTCTGCGTGGGGGCAGATACGATTGCATAACGTGCCATTGGCTGGCCGTAATCTATTGGGTTAGACGAATCCTGCTTCAGATAGGCATCCAAGTCATGAGCAGACTCCCAGGTCATGGTCTGTTTCAGGACAACTTGGAACAAGCCATCAGACGCGTTAACCATACGAGTACGCAAAATGGTGCTTCGCTCCGCGACCTTTTCCCAGGCTTTTTTGAACCGTGGTAGATCCAAAGTGTCTGGAATGGCAAAGACTGTTTGATTAGTGTAGGATGCTGCATGCTGACGGTTCAAAACCATGAGACCTTCCTGGAGGGGTGTGCAAGGGTAAATATCTTCGACGGCGGTGCGTGAAATACCACACAGCGAGGCAGCCTCAGTAGCGAGCTGCTCGGGATCAAGCTGCGATGGTAGCAGGGAGAATGGCTCCAGCTGGTGCTCCTCACTTTGGTCAAGCAGACTGAGTTCCGTGGCCATTGCAGACAAGGTAGGCTTCTGGAAGACTGAATTGATAGTGAGAACAAGACCCTGGTTCCTAGCGGCGGCCACAAGTCTCATGGCTCCGATAGAATCGCCACCGAGGCGGAAGAAGCTGTCGGAGGGGTTAACTGTACTGCTATCTGAGATATCTAGAACATCAGCCCAGAGAGCAAGCATGATCTTCTCATTTGCGGTCAACGCTGCACATTCTTGGACGGTCACAAGCTGATACTGCTTCAATTGCTGCTCGTTCAGGCCGTCAACAAGCTTCTGCAGGGCCGCCCTTTCCAATGGGAGACCGTTGACGGGGAAGTAAAGCGTTGGAATCAATTCCTCTGGCAGATGGCGTGCGAGTGTTTCTTTTAGATCTGTAAATTTAGCCCGAGGTCCGTCGGTGATGGGCAACAAAGAAACTTCTGCCCTGGTGTCGTTGACCTCGGCGTGGAAGACGGCCATGCATTGGCGTCCACCCAGCTGATCCAAACTTATCACTTCAACAACAGCGTCCTCCGTATCTAGGAGGGCCATCGTAAGTCGATTTTGAATGGAAGCCAGGTCGAACGTGCGACCATTCAGGGTCCGGCTGACATCCTTCAATCTCTGGAGCTCTTCGCCGCGCGAATGTGATATGACATCCACGCTCGACAGACTCATCTCAGGGGTATCAGCAAGAGTTCCGAGTACATTGGTGAAAGCTTGCATCAGTTCATCTGCTTGAGAGTTGCTGAGGATGGCCGTGAGATATGTCATGTGGATCTCGACACCAGGTACATCGTGGGTGGTGATACACAGACTGATGTCATACTATCGTGCAAGTTAGTAAGATCCGAGATTGCTTTCAGTTCTAGGACGAAGATAAATACCTCAGTTGGATCGGCTTGGTCCACAATATGGAAATCAACCTGAGGAGGTGGGCCTTGGCTGGGCTGCCTTTGCAAAGAAAGGACAGTATTGAATAAGGCGACATCCTTGTTGCCCAGCTCATGCTGGATCGCTGCGAGTGATGTCTGTTGATGAGGAAGGCTGCTCATATAGCTCAGTTGAATATCCTTCAACAGCTTGTAGACCGACAGGTCGTCGACGAGGTGCAGTCTGCAGACCAGTAGGTTGATGAATGGACCCACTGCATCGTAAATCCCATCAAGAGGCACGTCACGCCCCGAGGCCATGTAGCCAAACATGACATCTTCCTTCGATGTATAAGCTCGGAGGACCATTCCCCAAGCAGCCTGGACAAGATTGCTCATGGTAATACTTTGCGACTCGCAGAACCTTTGCAATTTTCCATCTTCGTCAATATGGATGAGCATATCGTTGAAAGTCTTTGTCTCAGACCCGCTGTCTCCATTGCCAATACGCATGTTGGGGAAATGGCAAGGCTGAGCACCAGTCAAACGGTCGGCCCAGTACTTGAGGGAGGCAGGTTTAGACAGGCTGTCCAGGTAGCGAACGTATTCGCTGTAGAGGGGACCTGGCCCAGAGGGCAGCGTACTTTCATACGCAGAGACAAAATCACGGACTAGGAGTGCCAACGATGTGCCATCGACCAGGGTGTGGCTCAATTCAATTTGGCAGTAGATCGATTCGGGGCCTTCGCAAATGGTCAGGCGATGACCAGGGACGGGCTTGGTGTAATCTGGGGACTGCTGGCCTTGGAAAAGTGAGACAACGTCCGTTCCGGAGAAAGTGAGGTGCTGAACCGTTGCTTGGTATGATCGCAATACAAGCTGGTCATAGACCCCATCTCCAGACAACGAACCGATGAAGACTGTTCGCAAGATGGAATGACGGTCCACAGTTTGCTGCCATGCTTTCAACAGACGTGGGAGGTCCACGGCACCAACATCCGATCTAGGCACAACTTCAAAAAGCTGGCGAACCTCATAAGTACCAGGCTGTCGGGTCTGACTAAGAAGGATGCCTTCCTGGATCGGCGAGCATGGGTACAAATCTTCCACGTTGTCAGGGGAAATTCCCAGTGCCGGTAAAACAGTGTTTGTGAAGTTCGACAAAGCAGGGTAACTGATCTTCATGAGAGGGAAGTCACTGAGAGTATGCTCCACCGAGCTGGCCACTAGAGCTTGAGCGGCATATTGAATGGCCTTCTCGCATCGCTTGACCCAATCACGGATCTGTTCCTGACGGTCCGTATCACGATTGAAGAAGAATGAGACGCCCAGCTGACCGAAGGAGATAGCGGCAGAGATATCAAAGACTGCCAAACGACCCATACCTTCACTGATATTCTGAATCTCCTCATCCGCACGGAGGGGCTCTTTTTTCAGTAGGGCATCACTTCGCTCCAGTTGTTGTGTTTGTCCGAGATAGTTGAAACATATCTCCATGGCCCTATGATCGTTGAAAGCCTTGCGACCTTCGGCACTGTAATGGCGGCAGGTAAAGTATGAGAATCCATTGTCGGTGAAGGAACGACGAACATCTTTTGTTCGCTTGATGGTATCCTTGACACTTTCATCCTTCCTCATACGCCTGTGAACTGGATAGAAGGTGGTAAACCATCCGACAGTTTCAGATAGGTCGATGGAGCTGTCCCAAGGTTCTCTGCCATGGCCTTCGCTGAAGATCGCAGGCACCGCACGGTCTGTGAAGGTCTGGTTGAAGGATTGCTGAATGGCCCCCAAGAGAATATCGATAGGTTCGGTTCGCAGTGCTGTGTTGGCCGCTCCAAGCAGGAGTGAGGTGGTGTTCTCATCAATTGTGAAACGGACTTCCTCAACATTCTTCCATGTGGGTAATTCTTGCATCCCCCAGTATGAAAGGTTGGCAGGGGGGATGTCGTTGGGCAATACCGACTTTGAAACCAATTGCTCTCCGAAGTGGCATTGCTCTTGTGCCCAGTTGTGGAATGGCATCGGAGCATGAGGGCTGCTACTCTCTGACAACAGGGAGGCTTCCAGCTGAGCGACAATTACATGCCATGAGACAGCATCAACGACCAAATGGTGCGCGACGAGAGAGATGAGCTGTCCCTCTCGGCAATCAAAGCTTGACTCTCCTCTCTCCTCGTCACGAAGAGAAAAGTGATCTACCACGAAGATCGGCCCGTTTTCGATATCAACGTTTCGTTGGGAGGAGTTAATCACGTCAAGCATCTGCTGGCGGCTGGCGGCTGAATGGAAGCCAATTTTAAAGGAACCATTAGATTGGCTCTGCACCATCTGCGACCACTCCCCATTGTCGCTCCTAATAAATTTCGCACGCAACATGGAGTTCCTGGCCACAATTTGCTCGATGGCAGATGCAACTGCAGCCGTCGAGACAGGGCGGGTCAAGCGCAGCAAAACGCTCTGATTGTAATGATGCTCGGTCGCCTGGCGAACAACGTCGTTGAAATATACCTTCTGGATGGGCGATAGGCTGAAAGGCACATCGTACGTTTCTTGTCTAGTGACAGCACGGTCGCCGGCTGAGCTTGCGCGACTAACCACTGCCGCCAACGACTTCGGGAGCAAAATATCTTGAACGCTAAGCTTGATTCCAACGGCTCTGCAGCGGGAAACAATCTGCATAGCAGTAATTGAATCTCCACCCAAGCTCATGAATGATCGGTTCAAGCCTATAGACTTCTCAGGGATGTTCAGGACTTGGCTCCACACCTGTGCCAGCTGCTTCTCTAAGGCGGTTGTGGGTAGGTTAACGCTGGCGGAGGAGATATTCACAATCCGGCGGTAGGTGTCTTCGGTTATGCTGGTGACCCAACGTGTGATGGGAACGCGGTTTATCTTCCGTGATGCAGTCAATGGGATGGAGTCCAAGACAATCCAGACGGAGGGAACCATGTAGCTAGGCAGTACACTTGTCAGTTCCTCCTCAATCTCCATGATAAGAGGCTGGGCCGTGGACTTCGCATCATCGGAAACGAGCTCGACGCAATCACCTTCAAGGGCCAATGGTTGCAAATCTGCAAGCGCCACCACAGCAACGAGCTTGCCTTTGCACGGGCCAGTCTTGGGAAGAGTGACCATTCCAGCCTCAACCGCTTTTTGAGCACGGAGGTGAAACTCAATCTCGCCTAACTCGATACGCTGGCCATGGAACTTGACCTGGCTGTCTTTGCGACCGGCAATGTTCAGAGTTCCATCGGGGTTGTAACGAACGAGATCACCAGTGCGATAGAATTTGTACTGAGGTGTCTCCTTTCCGTGCATCCATGCTGGGTTTTCAACGAATGCATCTCTCGTCTTTTCCGGCTCGTTCAGATAGCCTCGCGAGACATTCGGCCCTTCGATGAGCAGCTCACCCACACAGCCGACAGGGGCAAGGCGATTATAATCAGAAGTCTCCACCACCCAGTACCGGCAGGCGGTACCACTGCCGATGTTCGCAGGCGAGACGGTGGCACTCGGGTTTGCATGGGATGCCCAAATAGTGCATTCTGCCGGTCCGTACGAGTCGATCATGTGTACTTGGCTTGCCCAGCGATCGACCAGGCTTTGCGATACGGCTTCACCACCTAGAACGAGTGTCTTAAGGTGGGGGACCTCTTTGGGGTCCACCAGGGCAGCGACTGTCGGGGCCATGAACGTCCATGTGATTTGCATGGAGTTGATCACCCCGGCAAGATTGTTGACTCTATCATGCTCGGTGGGAATGCAGAGAGTGCCTCCCTTCATCAGCGTGAAGAACGTTTCGCCCATGCTAACATCGAAGCTGTACGAAGCAAACTGCAGCACCCGCGAACCTGGTCCACCAAATCCTAGACCTTCACCGTGCTGCGCGGCCACGGTGCAAACTGAATTGTGCTGAACGATGATGCCTTTAGGCTTTCCAGTACTACCAGATGTGAAGATCATGAAAACTGGATTGGTAGGCTGGACTTGAAGCGACGCGCGCTGAGATGTCGAGACGGGGGGCAATTCTTGAATTAGGGTTTTGGTGATCGGGACAACAGAAGCCGAGACGGACCCGAAGAGGCCCTGGTGTTGTGGCGAGGTAAGGACGAGGTGAGAGCCCGTGTCTTCAATTAGGGCCTGAAGACGGGTCACTGGGTGGTCAGGATTTAACATGACGCAGGCTCCTCCGGCCTTAACAACGGCGACCATGGTGAGCACCGTCCAGGCGGATTTGTCGAAGCACAGAGGCAGCAGGGTCTCGGGCTTGACAGAGTATTCGGTAGACAGATGATAAGCAAGTCTCGAGGACAGCTCATCAAGCTCACCGTAAGTCAAACTTCCGTCCCACGCCTCAATAGCCATATTTCCGGGGTTGAGAGTGGCTTGTTGGGAGATTTTCTCGTGAACACACTCATTGACCGCGGTCGGTGCCACAGCGTTCCACTCCCAGATCTGCTTCTCATCTTCTTTGCTGAAGAGATCGATATCCCCTAGCTTAACATCGGCAGATGGGCGAATGATCTGTCGCAAGACATGTTCGAAGTGACCCAGAAGCTTCTCCGTCAGATCCACCGACAGAACATCGTCATCAACGCGAGCTTCCAAGTGAACGCTGCCATCTCCGAGGTTACATTCAACTACCAAAGCGTAAGGATCAAACTCCGTCATGTCCGTCGGAACGATCTCGAGCTCAGCAAAAGCCCGTCTCCCGTCTGCCTTAGGCTGGACGACGAATAGGTTGGTGAAGTCAGTCGCTGCCAACACCTGAGGGCTGATCTGACGAATGTTTCGCAGTCCGACGTGCTGGAAGTTCATCATCTCGACATTCTGCTCGTGTTGGCTCTCAAGGAAGCTTTGAAGGGATGTCTTGGGGTCCAGGTGAACATTCATCGGAACGGTTGTGATGGTCGGACCAACAATGCCCTCGATGTGGGGGACGAGGGCATCACGTCCCGAGAGCGTCAACCCGTAAAGAATGTCCTCGGAGTCAGTGTACCGTGCCATGACAATAGCCCAGGCTGCTCGCAAGAGGATAGCCATGGTCAGGCTAGATCCAGATTCTAAGGCTACCTCGACATCGCGGTGGCAGGTTTTCTTCGCCCTGGGTTGGTAGGTCGCATATGGCAACCGAGGGAAGGAGGAGGGTGGCTCTTGAGGAGCCATCGAGCGCCAGAATTCTTGCGATGCTTCGGGATCGGTTTCTTGAACATATTCCACGAATTGAGCGTATGACGGTGCTGTAGAGGGCTTGAAAGAGCCTGTGTAGGCCTGTTCCAGCTGTTCGAACAAGAGTGGGACAGTCCATCCGTCATACACGGCGTGGTGAGCAGTCCAGACGAAGACAGAAGACTCGCCATCTTCAACGATCGCATAGCGAGCTAATGGGGTGCCACTGGTCACGGCAATCGCATGGTCGCGCTGGAGATATTCCTCCAAGGAAGAGCCTTGTTGCCATTCGAGTTTAGAAGCGTCCTCCGTCAACACAACCTGATACGATGTAGAGCCGATAGTGACAATACGGGTGCGTAGGATTGAGTGGGCATCAACCAAGGTTTGCCAAGCGTCTTTGAATCGCTGCATATCAAAGCCAGCTGGCAGCCGGAATGCAGATTGAGCGACATAAGAACCAGTATGGGTGTTTGACATTGAGAACACACCCTCCTGCAGAGGGGTACAAGGATATACATCCTGGATGTCACTGCGCGCAATGGAGCAATGGCCTGCGGCTTCCTCCAGCAACGCGTCAGTATTGGTGGCATTCTTTAACATCGAGAATGGTTCATAAACATTCTCTTGTTCGTCAGCCTTGACTAGTTCAACGCGTTGCGCCATCTGAGACAATTCCGGATACCGGAATATATCAGCGACAGTAAGCAAGAGGTTTGCTTCCCGTGTTGCGACGACCAGTTTCATGGCACCAATTGAATCGCCCCCAAGTCGGAAAAAGTTATCGTTGCGGCCCACAACGTTAGGATCTTTTCCTAAAACAGCTGCCCACAGAGTCTGCAACTGTTCCTCCTCCTTGGTCTGGGGGGCGGCCTTGTCCTGGTTGGCTAAGGCATACATCTCCATCTGCTCGTGGGAAAGGCCGGGGACGGCACGGCGGAGCGCAATCCGATCGACCTTGCCCGAAATAGTCATTGGGATGTGAGAGATCGGGATGAACAGACTGGGAAGCATGTACACGGGCAATGTCTCTGACAGGACCTTCTCAAGGGCCCGCAGTTCCACCGTGAACTCGGCTGATAGTGGGACAAAGAGTTCATTTTCCGTAGGGAATGCGTTCTCCATCTTGAGGAAAGCTACCAATGTCTGCTGAGGCAACACGACCGAGTCCACTGTGACATGCGCAGCACCCGGCAGATTCTCCAGGATTGCATGCTCTATCTCGCCCAGCTCCACACGCTGGCCTCGGACTTTGATCTGAGTATCCTTGCGGCCAATGAACCGAAGCTGGCCATCTGGATAGTAGCGGACCAGATCACTGGTTTTGTAGAAACGGCGTGGCTGACCATTCTCGGGCTTAGGCAACCAGGCTGGGTCTTCGAAGAAAGCTGCCTTTGTCTTTTCGGGCTCATTCAGGTATCCCCTAGTGACCAAGGGGCCCTCAATGACCAGTTCACCAATGCAGCCAACGGGAAGGAGCTTGTTAGTATTCTCAGGATCTGTCACCCAGAGGCGGGTTCCAACAGCATGTCCTAATCCTGCGGGGTCACTGTCTGCGGTCAAGGGATCCGTTCCCATGCTGTAAATGGTACATTCCGTAGGTCCATAAACGATGCGCAACTCCAGAGCATCGGTCCACGGGGAGATATCTTCACGTGAGATCGCTTCACCTCCCAGAACGACTGTCTTCAGAGTGGGGACGGTTTCCGGGGAGAGCAGGCCGAGAACCCGGGGTGTCAGGAAAGCCCAGTTGACCCCGAGTTTGTTGATTGCGCCGGCCAAATCATCGACGCGGTCTTTCTCACATGGGATACAGACCGTGCCACCGCGAGTCAACGTGGTGAACGTGTCAGAGACACTAGCATCGAACGCGTAGGCAGAAAACTGCAGGACACGCGAGCCCGGCCCGACACCCCATTCAGACCCGTGAGCTTGAATGCTGGTGATGAGGGAGCGATGCTCGAGGACAATGCCCTTCGGCTTTCCAGTACTGCCGGACGTGAACGACACGAAGGCTGGATTAGATGGTTGCGCCTGAGGAAGTGTGCAGTTGTCGGTGGGTGCAGGGAGTTCGTCGAGGAAGCTTTCGTCCACGACAACAATATGTTCCACGAGGCCTTCAAGCAGTTTGGCGTGCTGCGCTGATACAACTGCAACACGAGCCTGGCATCCGTCTAAAATATCTTGAATGCGGGATAGCGGATGTGCAGAACTCAGACCAACACCAGCACCACCAGACTTCATGATCGCCACCATAGTCACTGTTGCCAATTTGGACTTCTCGAAGCAATGGGGAATCAGTACCTCCGGTCCAGCCCCCAGCTTCGCCAAGTGATGGGCTAACTTCTCGGACAGCACGTCGAGCTGGGAATAGGTGTACTCGCCATCCCAAGCGCACACTGCCTGCGCATCAGGTTGCTTCTTGACTTGTTCGTAGAAGTATTCATGCACACAACCCGACTCCGCAACTGGTTCAGCCTTGTTCCACTCAAAGATCTGGGCTCGGTCCTGATCATTAAATAGGTTAATATCGGCCGGCTTAACTCCGGCTTGGTCTACTATTCCGTAGATCGCAGCGCTGAATGTATTGGCAAGATTCATGGCATCGCCTTGTGTCAACAAAGAGGACCAGTAGCCGATAGAAATCTCGACATCCTCAGTAGTTATGTCAATAGCAACGGCAAGATCGAACTATCAAAAGAAACACCTGTTAGTGGCTTTCTCTGGGATTCGGAGTGGGCTTCAAGGGCTTCACTTACATCTGTCGGGTCATCTTCTTCAACTGCCCGGAAAGAAAGCGCATCGCCAAATTGCTGGTCCGGAACACCTTTCTGGAGAGAGATGATGCTGTTGAACAAGGGCATACCGGATAGATTCAGACCATGCTGAATCTGTGCCAGGGAACAATGCTGGTGGGCCAAAGCGGTAAAATAGTCGCTCTGCATGGTGTCGACCGCGTCCAGAGCAGCCTGGTGCTGGTCCAACCGCACCCGACAAACCAGCATGTTAATGAACGCTCCCACAGCGTTCTCTATGCCTTTCACAGGTACATCACGGCCAGAGGCCACGTAGCCAAAGCAGACATCGTCGGATCCAGTGTACGCCCGGAGAACCAAGGCCCATGCAGTTTGTATCACATTAGCAATAGTGACTCCATGTGCTACGGAAAACTTTAACAGATCCTTCATTCCGGCGAAGGGAACTTTCACAGACCGGATCTGCTTGGAGGCCCCATCGCGAGGGTACATGGGAACAATGGTCGGTTGAACTCCTGCAAGGTAGCCGGTCCAGTGACTCATGGACTCGCCTTGGGAGTGCTCCGGAGAAGAGATGTAGTGGATATAGTCACTGTACAACGATGCAGGCTCCGTGAACGATTTGCCGTCAAACGCCAGTGACATCTCCTGCAAGACTACCTCGGTGGACCCACCATCCACAATCGCATGGCTGAGCTCGACCATCATGTAGACGTTGTCGCCACGGGTACGACAGATGGTGAGATGGTGCTGGGGTTCTGAGGGGTTGTAGGTTGGCGAAGGCAGAGACTTCAGGAACTTGGTTACCTCCACTTCATCATCTGAGCACATGTACTCGCAGCAATATACGCTGGCAGTGATGTTCTTGAGTACGATCTGCTGGAAGATACCACCGGCGTCGACGAAGATGCTTCTGAGAGATTGGTGGCGATCTACAACGCCCTGCCAGGCACGCTGAAGACCCAAAATCGTCGTGTTCGCATCCATAATGGAAAGCACTTTAAGGACACGTCGAATTTCATACGTGCCGGGGAATTTGACCTGGCTCAGAAGAATGCCATCCTGGACAGGGGAACAGCCGTAGACATCTTCCACGTCGTCCTTGCTAGAGAGTCCAGCTTTGGACAGAAGCGCATCGTCGATGGCGGCAGTTCGCTCGGCAGGCGTGGAAGCCGGGGCAATAACGGTGTCCTCCTCCACAGACACCTGGGATGAGCGGACGGTCTTGGAAGCCAAATCAATCAGGCTCTTGGCCCGAACCACATCTAGCACTGAGACCTTCAGCTGCTCCCGGCGGCACCGCGCCACCACTTTCATGGCTGTAATAGAATCACCACCCAAAGCAATGAAAGACCGGTTATACTTCAGCTTCGGCAATGGAAGACCCAGCTCCTCCGCCCAAATTTCTTGCAGAAGAAGCTCCATTTCGGATAATTGCACGGTCTCGCTGGTTTCTTCTTCTTCTTCCATGATACCGGCAACTTCGTTATAAGTGTCTTCGTCCATATCACGAACCCATTGATTCAAAACAACACCATTGACCTTCCCGGACGTCGTGAATGGAAGGGCAGCTACCACCACCCAGAAGGTGGGTACCATATAGCCGGGAACCTGGGCAGCAAGACGGGTAGAAATCTCAGGGATGAATCCGCGTGCTTGCTTTCTCTGGTCGATCAACAGCTCGTGCACGTCGCGTCTCGTGGCCCCTCATAGGGGAAGGCATGGAGCGAGAGTACAGCCACCAGGTTTCCTTTACAAGGCCCTGCCTTGGGAAGCAGCACGCGAGCATGACGCACCGTGGGGTCCACGGAGAGACGCTGCTCGATCTCGCCTAGCTCCAAACGCTGGCCTCGAAGTTTCACCTGGCGGTCCTTTCGCCCAATAAAGCTGATTGTGCCATCGCTGTTGTTTCTGACGAGGTCACCGGTCTTGTAGAATCGGAATGGGGCTGGCTTGGAGGTCATGTTTTGGAGGAACACGGGTGCCTCGTCCAGGAATACCGCCTCGGTCTTCGCAGGCTCGTTGAGGTAGCCTCTGGCAACAATCGGACCTTGGATGAGCAGCTCACCCACTGCCCCGATTGGGACAAGGCGGTTGTGGTCATCTGGGTGGACGACCCAGCAGACCGCACCGTAACCGCGCCCGATGTTCGCCGGGTCGGCAGCCGGAGTGAGGTGGGGGTTGATCGTTGCTGCGACGGAACATTCACTGGGACCATATCCTAATGCCAAAGGTTAGCAAATTGATTTGGCCCAAATCAGCCTGCACGGAACCTACCGTTAATCAGATGCAGCTTGCCCGCCCAGGTCGTAACATCGACCTGACTCAATGCTTCACCTCCCAAAGCCAGAGTCTTCAGAGTGGGCACATCAGCGGGGTCGACCAAGCGCACCACCGAAGGGGTCATGAAGGTCCATGTGATGCGCAGCGCGTTGATGATATGAGCGATTCCATGCTGTGCCAGCTCATCGCTGGGGAAGCAAACGCAGGCACCGGTAGTGAGAGTGGTGAAGATTTCGAGCATGCTAACATCGAATGTGTACGGTGTCATCTGGAGGATTCTGCTAGTCGGGTCGATCTCGCCCGCTGTGACGTGCTGGATTGCAGCCGTGAGGAAGGACTCATGTTCCACCACACAGCCCTTGGGGGTTCCAGTACTTCCGGAGGTGAAGATAATGTACAGAATGTTTTTGGGTGTGACTGCAACCGCTGGAGATGCTTTCTGCGCCGGAAGTGCCATCACACTTTCCTGATGAACAGAGAAAACATTGCGGTTGTCCTGCCAGAGCGATTCATATTGCTGGGAGGTTAGAATCAAAGGAGCCTGCAGCTGCTCCATAATTTCCATCAAACGGGACCGAGGCTGTTTCGCGTCCAGATTCACAATGGCACCGCCCGCTTTAACGACAGCGATCATGGTGACGATTGCCCATTTGGACTTCTCGAAGAACAGAGGCACGGCCACTTCAGGGCCCACACCCCGATCCACCAGAGAGTGGGCCAGGCGATCTGTGAGCGCCTGCAACTCGCCGTATGTCATGCACCCATCTGGGCCTTGGATGGCAAGTGCCTCGGGCTCTTTGCGGGCCCGCTCATCGATGAGATGGTGCAGGCAGCGGGAGACCACTTCGGGCATCCGCTTGTTCCATTCCCAGATCTGGTGCATTCCATCCTGGCTCATTAAACTTACCTCGGAGAGGGGGGTTCGGGGGGCTTTGATGATCTCACCGAGTACGTGGCTGAGAGTTGCCGCGCAGTGTGTTGCCTGCGAGGCGGGGATCAAGGAAGTCGGACACTGCAGGTCGACGACAAACTGGTCCTGTAGGTACCGGGCGTGAATGGCAAGGTAATTGCCCGGCTTGGTGCTCCTTGTCAGCAACATCCCAGTCGATCACAATCATCGCGCCAGAGTCCGTACCTGTTCCCGCTCCGGGGATTCTCCATCATACAGCATCACAACGCTGTTGAAAGCTGGACCACCCGCTCGGGCGGACAATTCCTGGAATTCGGCCGGTGTCATCAGGGCGGATGACGAAACACTGGCCTGCAGCTTCTCTTCCGCGTCGACGAGCGTCTTCAGCACGGACTTGCCCCCGTCGATCTCCGCCTGGTAGACACCCACATGAGGCACACCGGCGACGAATCGAACGAAGAGAAACCCGATCGCCTCGGTATCGGCGTAGGCGGAGAGAACCATGGCCCAGGCGACATTCAGCACACTCAGGACCGACAGTCCATGGCGTTCGCAGAATGCAGCCAGGGCCTTTCCCTGGGACACGGTTCCCAGGTCCAGGGGGATTCGCGCCTGGTCGGTCTGCTCTTTATCTATAATAACTCCGTCAGTGAGGGTGGGGAAAAAGAAGGAACTCCCCTTGGATCCCATGGGGATTTGGGCCGTGATGGCCTCGAAAGCGGTGTAGTCTCCGGCGTCACCCATTGTGATTAGTATAACTTGGTGATCGAGTTTAAAGGTACGTAAAAGTTGGTGGGAATGCAATTAAAAGGGTAGAGGAAGAGGTAACAGGAGATGGAGAAGTTGGCAAGACAATGACGGTCGTAGTGTAAGGAGAGAAAGAATGATAAAGTCTGATTGCTTCACGGAAGATCAGAGCTGAGCAGTTCTATAGACCAGGCACGTTTGGTAGATACGGTAAGTACATCCGCCAGAAAGGTGGGAAGAACTGGGTAGATATTAATCCTCGACGGCGACGGCGACTGCAGCGTGCTATTCAGAAACTCCCCATGCGTCCACCAATCAACACGCCTCTCATCCAACATCAAGTTGCAGCCGTAGATTCCATGTGCATGTCAGACTGGATGCCCTGCCATCCGCCTTGGTGCGTGGGGGCGGCTCTCCCATTAGGGCTGACGGTACCCCCTGCCGACCTCGTGTCAGCCACGTTTTTTGAACAGTCTGTAACATGTCACAGTCTTGCAGCTAGTCTGAAAGGTGCGCCGCAGGTGGTGATAGCCCCCAAAAGGATTCGTGCGGTCAGCCTGGGGGCCAGAGTTGCCTGAGGCTACTTGTGTTCTTACGCGCATCTTATCTTGCAGTAGCGTCGCGATAGCATGGATTCGTCCGAGCTTACTGCACAAATTGGCCGTATTTAGAAACACGAACGAACCGCGATGAGATAAAGAAGAGGACTTAGCCCGAGTTAGTTGCAGAGCCCCAACGCCATGACGTGAGGACTGTCCTATTCTGGCAAGGCAAGTTCCGATAATTAGCAAGTCATCCTAAACCGAGCCCTCCGCCCAGGAGGAAATCTGTAGAATAAGCTCTACATGAGTTAAGAAGGAAAATCCAATTACAAGGTTCCATCTCTCATGGCATATGCAAGATCCATGCGCGAGTCAGGAAAGTTGGTCCAAAGACACCTTGGGAGAAGTCTTACTCGAAAACTAAACTGATCATTTTCCGGGGTTAGTATGATAACGCCCGATGTCCGCAGAAGGACCCGCTGGGTCACCGCCCCCATTTCTCCGCCGCTAGAGTTTCAAGAGCGAACTTCTGTCGCGGCTGAGCACCTTCGTTGCATTAGCTCGATGCTTCCGCACCAACATTTCCTTCATCAGTTTAGCGCGCACCTATGGATATCATCTTACTATGTTGCAACTGGGGGCGAGGACACAGCTGCCCAATGGTATCCACGCCTGTTCGAAGTTTGATTCCATGACTGCTATTTTGAGACAGCTCGGACTGCAGCCAGTGGTTGGTGCAAAGTGATCTAAACAGGAGCTAAATGCCGAAGGGGGGAGGGGGGACCCCAGTCGCGTACAATTCCATGCAGCATTACGGAGTAAAAGGGTTATATATAGACGAGAGGCCGATCCTTTGCGACGGGTCCTCCGCCATCTCTGAAGGTAATCCACCATGTGTGGATCTTGAAACCACGTCGAATACTCTTGAATACGCCTTTCGCACGGGCTTTCTGTCGACGGTGACAGCACTGGGACGACCTCTTCCTGCCGCTGTCAACCATGCAGTTGTACATCTGGCCTTGTGCCAAAGTCACTGCGTAGCGACTTTCTTCCCCGAAATGGTTTGAGCCATGCCATCTTCCCCACTACAGATCGCTGGGTCGGAACGCGCACCATACGCGTCGTCGACAACCTCACGATTGTCCTCCCCGACACATTCTTTCCTTTGAAGTAGGCGTCGAGGCAGATTCAGACCACGTCGGTAGAGGGTTGTTGTTTGCGATGAGGTTATCGATGCAAATGAACGGGTTTGCGGAACAGTTCATGTGCAGGACCATGCGACCGTGGACGCTACATAATTCCGACCGTCATAGTTGGCTCTCACTAGGAGTGTCTGTGACAAGCATGACAAGTTAATGAAAGGAATATCTATCAATGATGTGGAGTAACTGTATATTTCGCGTAGTCCGAATCATTATCCACGTCTTCCCATTTTATGGCAGCGGGGTTGTGCGTAATACGCAGAAGGTCGTGTACTCCATGCTCGGGAGATAGGACACAGATACAGATACTGCTGGCATAATAGCTGACCGCTTTGATTCTCTCTGTATGGGCTTCACCGCCATGGCCCCGATGATGAGCTCTTTTGACAGGGTTGAACCCCCGGTTGAACCCCGCTTGGCGTTTTCTGGAAGTCCGCTAAGTCGCTTAAGGAGAGGCTTGTTCTATATACCTTGCTTATTGGTTCAAATTCACACCGCTCTCAGTTAGGACCGCCTCTAACTTATAGCGGTATGGACTGCGGGTCGCTATGTTGGCCAATAGCAGTTTACATTCTGCTGTGGCATATTTTCCAGATGGGCAGAGAGGAAGACTGTGTCCCCTGTAACGACAACGACATTGATCTTTAGGACAGAAATTAAGGTGTTTGGTGGACTGTGAAGAGGAGGCTATTAGGTAGGCTGCCAAATAAAGGAGAAAAAAAGTAATTTTCTTTCAATATTTAAGCCGTTCGCTGACTTGACCCATATCAATACTGTGCCTCGTTTAAATATATATATACTTCTACCTTTAACTGCACCGTTCTGCCGCACAAGTCGAGATCATCGCCACGTAAACTGAAACCAGGCATTGAAGGGCTGATTAGAGCTGCTATTTTAACCATACTAATTGATATAACCAGGTAGGAATTGAGATTTAAAGGCAAGCTCAAGGAGTTGTATGGTTGTAGAGGGGAGCCTCAACGACGCGACGCGTCACAATTACCACCCCAATGCATGGTAGGTATTGAGTGGACTGAAGGTACGACTCGTTACTTCTTTTATCAGATATCTCAACTGCTTATACTCTCGTGTATTTATCTTCTTTTATTTCTTATCTCGCGATTCCATCTTATCCTTCGAAGGTTTTCGTTAACCAGAGGCGCTGTACTGTACAGCGTAGAACTGCGCGTATACAAGGCCATACGGTATCCACAGAGTCCACACCAACATCTATATCACCCAAAAAAGGAAAAAAAACGGAAAAAGAACAAATAAAGAATGAAATGAAGAAAGAAAACGGAAATTAAGCAATTTAAATGTCTATCGGACAGGATATAGGTATGCTTGCGCTGTGAAAAAACACATATCAACGCCCTGAAACCGCGTGAAACAAGACGCGTATCGCGAAACAAAGACCGAATTTTCCCCGAGTCGACTTCTTCCTCTTTCCCCCTGAAGAAGAGTGGTCAAGTCATGCAAAAGAAGAACAACGCCATTGGATATATGTGGGGAAACGACCGAAGAAAAGATCGGAAAAAGAATGCTGACAAAGGAAACCCGACAAAGGGAAAGGTAAGGAACGACTGAAAGAAAATCGCTTCTCCGAAACGATCGATGCCCAAAACACCAATAAAACACCGGCAAATGCAGCAGATGCAGATATAGACCAGGATTCCTTTTTATCCGGTCCGGCCCGACCGGGCATCTAAGCGCGCTCCATGAGCCACTAGCAACTGCACCACTTCAACATGTCCCTTCTCGCTTGCGACATGCAGTGGTGTCGACCCATGGTGGTCGCGAGCATTGACATCGATGTGTTCGGTGGCGAGTAGCAATCGCACCACGCCCAGATGCCCGCACTGGGCGGCAATGTGCAGCGGGGTCTGGCCGCGTGAGTCCTGGACGTTCACGTTAACCCCGCGTTGAAGGAGCAGCAAGGAGACCACACGTTCGGTGCCGTGGCTGGGCTCCTGAGGGGTTCTCGGATTCGACTGAGGCTGCGAGGGTGGCGGCGTGGGAATGCCATCACGGGGTTGGTGGTGGATGTCTACTACATTCTCACCAGAGAGATCGCGCGAGGGTATAATGCTGGGAAAGAGACATGGATCCTATCAAGGAGGTTAGCTCATGTCGGTCTGGAGATAGAAAACCATATACTTTGGACAGCAAGAGGGAAGCAGGGGGTATATGGAAGAGAGAGAGAGAGGCAGAGACCTACGCTGCTAGGTGTCCATAGAGGAGGCTGGCCGAATGGGGCGTCCGACAAGGTCATGGATAAATCGTTGAGGGAGTTGGTGGCCCAACTACCGCTGTCTGACAGGTCTGCATTCTGCCAGTCTGCTTGGGAGAGGTGCAGGACATCGGAGTCGGCAGAGAATAGGCCACCGGAATATTGTGACCAGATGTCGTTATCTGCATATGAGACTGGCCAGGGACAAGGGTCAAGGGGATCCCCGGGTGCCAGCACCGGATCCAAGCCTTTCATCATCATTCCGAGGGGAGAATTTTGCGCAGGAGACGGAGTCTGGGAGAGGGACCACGCGGGACTGTTCCGCATGATTTGGATGGCAGGGTTATTTGCTAGCTCCAGAGTATCGCGACACCACCGGATGTACTGAGGCTAATAAGATTCTGGCAATATGGATAAGGGTTGATCGGTCCGTCACACTTGTCCTCCTCTTTCTTTAATGTCTACGAAGTATGAGCTTGCTGATGGTGAGCTTACAGCTTCATGGCTCCGGGGGATCGACCATCTCAGCAACACCGAGTACCTGATCCTGATGTTGCCGACAAACTGGGGCACTAGATCACCATCGCATGGACACCTGTAACGAGAGAGCCCTACTTGGGGGCCGTTACAGACACGGTGATCTCGCATTGTCCGTGAGATCCATGACGAAGGTCATCCGATCGAGAGGCTGAAACAAGGCAAAAGAATAAGCTCTTACAAAAATAATAATAAACTATCACGCTAAAGCTGAGTCTGCAGGTCTCCGTCATCCCTCACAGTGCATCTGCAACCTCATGCCCTCGGGATGTTGTGGGGGCCAGCCAAAGCGAAGCCACACCGGAAGGATGCGAGAAACTCCCACAAACCCTGAGTTGATCAGTCCACAACGACATAGACAGTGCATAGATAAACCTCGTAATCCACAGAACCGGTCATAATCACCCGTTCCACCACCGATCCTGGAAGAGAAAAAGAAAACAAAAGAAGACGAACAGTGGACACAACAGACTCTCGAAACTCGTATCCCTGGTCACATCAGCATTCCCCATCATGACTTTCCCACCCGCACCAGCAGCGAATATTGGTCGGTACCCATTCGATCGTGCATAGGTTGGGATGGAGACTAACATGATTATGGAGTAGATTGGACGAAGTTAGGGCTCGCGGTGACGGACATGGGTAAGAGAGGATCGAATGGACCCGCACGAAGAAACCAAGAATAACATTATTCTGTCCTAGTCAACGGCCATGTGGAGTCGACCTTTTCCGCTTCCACAGGGAAGTGGACATCGCCCAAGTTCGTGGAGGATCCATATCTTCGCATCCACGGCTTGGCCCCAGCCCTCAACTACGGGCAACAGGTGTATGAAGGATTGAAAGGTGAGCTTTTCTCTCCCCACACAACACTGGATCGGAATCTAATAATAGAGTGATTAGCCTACCGATCGGCTGCTGACCAGATCCTTCTCTTTCGCCCACGATTCCATGCGGCGCGCATGCAGCACTCTGCCGACGTGGTCTCCATTCCTCCCGTCCCCACCGACCACTTTCTGGAGTGCGTGAATCTTGCGGTCGCGAGAAACGCGGAGTGGGTCCCTCCTCACGCGAGCGGCGCCGCCTTGTATGTGCGCCCGGTCCTCTTGGGCTCCGGGGCGCATTTTGCACTGACCCCTCCTGCCGAATATACTTTCTGCGTATATGTACAGCCCTTCAGCACCTATCACGGCATTGCGCCCCTGCCGGCGGTCGTGCTCGAAGACTTCGACCGTGCTGCACCCCGGGGAACGGGCCACGCGAAGATTGGAGGCAATTATGCCCCCGTGATGAAGTGGTCGGAAAAAGCGAAGAAGGAAGGATTTCCTATGACCCTGCACCTAGACAGTGCCACTCATACCGAAATCGATGAGTTTTCCACCTCGGGATTCCTGGGGGCGAAAATGGATGGGGAGAAGCCCGTGTTGGTGGTGCCCAAGAGCGACAATATCATCGGGAGTGTGACGTCCGATAGTTGCATGCAGATTGCTCGGTCCTTGGGATGGACTGTCGAGCATCGCGCAGTACGAACACCTGGTCTCTCTCTTCCGATCGAGTCTATGACTGACAGTACTTCTAGGTCAAATACGAGGAACTTGCAACCTTCAAAGAGGTTATGGCCGTCGGCACCGCTGCCGCCTTGGTTCCTATTCGGTCCATTACCCGGAAGTCGCGCGACGACCATTTTGTTTACACCGAGGAGTCGACCGCGGGTCCGGTATGCCAGCAGCTATATGCCGCGCTCACTGAGATCCAACGTGGTGAAGCTGAGGACCAGTTTGGATGGCGTGAGGAGGTTCAGGGGACATCTGATGTGGGTTCTTCTGGCTCTTCTTGTATCATTATGTAGATATAAGTTTGTATGTGAAGAGTGTTTAGCGGTTCTAATGTTTACATGCCAATTTGACAGAATGCCATAACCCAAAGTGAAAGCACGCTTAGAATGTAAGTGTAACTATACGGAAGCCACCAAATGGCCCCCAACTAAGGTGAAGTGTTCATACTCACCATGAAATTAGGATCTTCAACGTCTGCTGCCGGTTGGAGGTACACACAGGGCTGGGGTTGGTGGCTGAGCTGCTGTCGCCATTTGCCGTCTGACACAGAGTAGAAATATACCAATGATAGCCGTAATCTTTTATGAAAACTTCAGACAAGTTTGATACATCTCTTTGGACATTGAATTTTCATTTTATTTTCCTTTATTTTTCTTTATTTTCTTTTTCTTTTTCTTTTTTTGCTGCTCTGTTTTGACTGACTGGCTAAAGACATGAAGGTTTACCGAAGTATGCGGATTCAAACACAACTTGACCAATTTCATTCTCAGCAGACACTTTCCAGGCCCCTCGAGATACTATTTAAAAATACATACACATCGTATCATTCTCCAATTCACTTCCCAACCTAAAAAACAAAAATCCCTATCGGAAAGAAACCTGCACGATCGGGCCGTCCTTTGCAGCCGTGACATGATCGCGCAACTGATATTCACCCTCGCGCTGTCTTCCAGGTCCCATGGCCTCATTTCCACCTCCAACCTTCTCGTCCTCACCCGGCGCACTGCGGAACTCATACTTCGATAGCATATATGCCATGGTCAGCATCAGCTCCGTCCATGCCAACCCTTTCCCCAGACAGCTCCGCGGTCCAATGGAGAACGGATTGAAAGCCGACCGTGCGAGCTGCACCTTTTCCGGCACGGGGTCAAGCCAGCGATCGGGACGGTACTCAAAGGGTGCTGGGTAGTAGTCGGGGTTGTGTTGAATGGCGTAGATACAGGTACCCACGTCGTAGCCTCGTGGGACGACGTGACCGTCAATGGTGACTCCGTCCTCAAGGACTTCGCGCCAAAGGGAGCTACTGGCCGGTGGGGACATACGAAGACTCTCGTCGATACATGCGCGCAGGATCACACAGTTGTTCAGGGCGGGTCCGAGTGCGACGTCGTCGGGGCCCGGGAATGCAGCGCGAACCTCCTCCTTGGCTTTCTCGTACCATTCCCGGTTACGACAAAGGTAGAAGAAGGTAGAAGCGATGGCGGTGGAGGAGGTGTCGGACCCTTGGCGATGTTAGGAGACGGAATAGATAGAACAGGAACTGGTAGAGAGAAAGACGATCTTACCGGCAACAATCATGGTGGTACTTTCAGCACCAATCTCTGCAGGTGTAAATCCCTGTTGCGTCTCCGGATCGACTGCATCCAGCAAAAATGAGAATGCATCGTGGCGCTTCAAGGGTTTCGCGGACATGCGCTTCTTGAGAAGAATGTTGACGAAGCGAATAAACGCATTCCGGCCTTGAATCGCCTGAGGGAATAGCCAGCGGTCAAGACGGCGTGTGGAGAGCTCACCGGCCTGCGACAAGACTCCAGTACGCACGTTGGAGTCCTCGATGCACTTGACGATCTGCCGGTTATTGGGGCTGCCAATGAGATCAAAGCTTTCGCCGAAGATGATGCCGGACATGATGTCGAAAGTGAGGTAGTTTGCTGGGAAAAGTGTCAGCAGCTCCTTTCGCCTGGAATGAGTAGGATGATACATACACCATTTACCCATATTCTGCGGACTAGACCAGTCGCCAGCTTTTCCGCCCGAGATATCCTTGGACAACTCGTCGCAGAACTTGCGTACATGACCCATGATAGTCCCTTCGAAGCCACGCAGGGCGGCGTCTCCAAAGCCCTGGCCGATGATGCGTCGCTTGCGACCGTGTTGCTTTTTGTCAATGAGGGTGAGCGTGTTGGGAGCGCGATGAACCATGGCACCGTAGGCGGCCGACTTCTGGAAGCTTTTGCTGTACGCATAGATCTCTGAGAGGGTAGATGATCTGGTTAGTGACGTCCAGTGATGCAGAGCTCTAAAAGAGACAAACCCTTCAGGCCGGTGTTGGTATTGAACAGCACCCGATTTGGCGCATAACGAACATAGTTGCCTGTCCCATCACCCGTTAGTGAGTGCCGAGTCGGCATAGAAAAGAAGGGTAATATAGCAAGCTCACCATATTTTTCATGGCAGCGCATCATGTCAATGTGCAGGTCTCCCTTCCAGGCGTAGTACCCTCCATAGAGATTGGTCACTTTGGCCAGCAAAGGACCCGGGTACTTCGCAAGTGGATGGAACCAGATACGATAGATGCAGATAGCGAGCACCTGACAAACTCGTCAGTGAGGATCCCATCCTCATTAGGGCTGGAAGTAAGGGCTCACGTAGGCCAGACATGCGACGGGCACCGCCGTCACATAGGCGAAGAGAGGCACATGTCTCAGCAGCGCGACTGCCTGCATGATGGTCGTTGATCGATTTGATACTAAGTGGAAGACTGAGTAATTGATGGTTCACGGACTTAGGGAAAATGGTTATGATGGCAACTCAAACCAAATAAGTCCGGCGAAAAGACATGCTGATAGCAGAAGCACCGGTAGGAGATCCCTTACAACCTCGGTGGTGAGGTGATTGCATCGCGCAATGTCATCTACATTGTATGATTCTGGGTCCAAGAGCCGCTGTCTGACGGTGACAGAGATAAATTTAGATCACCGTTCCTGAGTGTCAAAACCTGGGGGTTTCAGATTGTTGGGCGGATCCTGCGACTTGGGGGCGGACCCTACTAGCTGTCAGTCAGCGTAAGCCCTAACGCGATTCCATCAACGATGTAAGCCTGCAGTGTGAGCCACTAGCGCGGTTCGCCTTGGAGCTGGATCACTCAACTTTATTCAATTGATCGCTGCTGCTGCATGCGTGAGATGTTATGGCGCTTTTCCTTCTCTCACGTTGAGGCCTCCGCCCCGAAACACTTCGCCACGTGTGTAGTAAGCCCTCGGTTGTTGCTGACATGGACTATACTGAATCCCGAGTATTATGGACTTGTAAAGAGGAACCATGCACACGTAATAATGATAGATCCTGGTAGCCGAGTCCCTTTTAAGTACTCGTGTCGGTCGACCAAAGTCACCCGACTGTCAATGACATTGATACCCGAACAACTTTTGCCATGTCTGCCACAATGCAGCCGGAAGTTGAGCAGCAGCTTGCATATGTGCTCTTGATTGAGCTGTTGGCGTGAGTGATGCTGCCTATGTCTCCCGACCGATCATGGCGATATCTGACCAAGGAAATAATCACTTGTAGGCATCAGTTTGCGTCGCCAGTCCAATGGTAAGTCCCCCATCGTTGTATAATAGAGAATGTTATACTAACCGCACTTCCGAACACAGGATTGAAACCCAAGATGGACTCATCACAGATCAGAATGTCGAACGGTTCATCGAAATCGGCCCGGCAGACATCCTCACCGGCATGCTCCGAAAGACTGTCGGTCAACAGTACAAATCTCAAGATGCTGCACGACACATGACACGAAAGCTACTCTCATACGCGCAGAATGCAGACGAAATACAGTATATCTCGGGGTCGTCAACAGCAACCAGCCGGCCAGCTGTGAAGCCTCACCCGCTATTGTCACAGACGCCGTCGGCGCCCAGTAAGGCTGTGGAAAGTACGCCGTCGGCCCCTGCTGAAACTCAGGTCACTACTGCGCCGGCCCCTGTTGCTAAAGTAGCGATGGTTGCGGATGCTCCTGTCCAGGCGAAGGATATTGTGATCGCCATCATTGCACAAAAGCTGAGGAAGAGTCACAGCGAAGTAGCAACAGACAAAACAATCAAGCTGCTAGTGAGCGGTATAGTACTCCCTCTTACATTACATTAAATATAGCTGCTAATGATCCGAGTACAGGCCGATCGACCTTAGAAAATGAGATCGTGGGCGACCTCGACGCCGAGTTTGGATCCCTTCCCGAGAGGGCGGAAGAACTAGGGTTAGAGGAACTATGCAATACACTGCAGTCTGGCGCAGCCTTCTCAGGCCAGCTGGGTAAAGTATCCACAGGGATCGTCTCCCGCGTCTTTGCACAGAAACTTCCTGCTGGCTTCTCTAGCGGTGATGCCCGTGAGTATCTTCAGACTCGATGGGGTCTTGGGGCTGGACGTCAGGATTCGGTTTTCTTGCGAGCAAGCACAGCACAAACATCTTCCCGATTGGCAAGTTCGGGAGAAGCACAGACATTCTTTGACCAGATAGTACAGCAATATGCGACAGACAACGGCCTCAACCTGTCTGCGTCCGCGCCGGCCGCGGAGGCAGCAGCAGCGTCGGCTCCTGTGGACAGCAAGGCTCTCGGCTTGGTGAAGAAAGACCAGGAGAGACTTCGGAAGGCGCAGATGGAGCTCTACGCCCGACTGCTCGGGAAGGATCTGGGCCATGATGCACGAGAAGCGCTCAAGGCACAGCTGGCGACTGTCAAGCTGCAGGAGCAGTTGGACTTCATCACAGCCGAGGTGGGCGATGTCTTTATCTCAGGTATTCGTCCGCTATGGGCAGCTGCCAAGGTTCGACGCTACAACTCCAGCTGGAACTGGGTGTTGCAAGATACATTGCATCTGTTCCACCGGATTCTGCGAGGGAACTTTGGCAATGCCGATTTCCCTAAATACAGCAACGCCATCGCCAACCGATCTAGCCCTCGCTTACTGCAAATGATCAAGTACCTCTCGAACAGCCCATGCTCGCTCTGGGGCACTCGTTTCCCAGAAGCCAAGACCGTGATGCGTCGCCTGGTAGACCTCTGCGAGAAGCCGCGCGCGCCTCGATTTGAGCCGTTGGCCGCGAATTATGATGCCTTCACCAAGGGGCCGAGCACTACGGTGGATGAGAATGGTCATATCAAGTACCGCGAGGTCCCTCGCGGTGGATCCCCCGTCATCGCATCGATTCATATCAAGACCCAGCGACATTCGACCTGGCTGACCGACCGCTCGGTAACGGCGCTGTACCTGGACGAGGTACAATCATCCTGGAATGACGGTATCACATTTATCAATAAGTGTGTGCTCATGACTGGAGTGAGTATTGGATCCATTGGAGCCGAAATCCTGAAAGGCCTCCTGAGTGGCGGAGCCAAGGTCGTTGTCACCACCAGCAGCTACTCCTCTGCCACGACCCGGTTCTACCAGCGTCTCTACGTTGAACACGGTTCGCGGGGATCCGAACTGATCGTCGCCCCATTCAACCAAGGAAGTCAGCATGATCTCGATGGTCTTGTGGAGTACATCTACACCTCGGGGAGTGGCCTGGGCTGGGACCTGGACCACGTTGTTCCCTTCGCGGCAATCTCCGAGGCTGGACGTGAGATTGACAATATTGATGCCAAATCCGAATTGGCTCACCGAATCATGCTCACCAACACGCTTCGTTTGCTGGGGGCCATCAAGAAACAGAAGCAGCTTCGGGGATACCGCACGCGGCCGACCCAAGTCATTCTGCCCCTCTCGCCCAACCACGGCGCGTTTGGCAACGATGGTCTGTACGGCGAGTCGAAGATTGCCCTCGAATCCTTGTTTGAGAAATGGCACTCGGAAAGCTGGTCGACATACCTGTCCATCTGCGGTGCAGTCATTGGTTGGACGCGTGGCACCGGTCTGATGGCCGATAACAACATTGTTGCGGCAGGGATTGAGCGTCATGGCGTGCAGACCTTCTCCACAGCCGAGATGGGAGCGTACATCTTGGTGCTTATGACTCGGAAGCTTGCGAATCAGTGCAACGTACAGCCCCTGTATGCCGATCTGACCGGCGGTCTGAACACGATTCCGAATCTGAGGGCTACCTTGGATAAGGTTCGGCGCGAGATTGTCGATAAAAGTGCCATGCGCACCGTCCTCGCGCGGGAGCAAGCTGCTGAGCAGAAGCTTACTACCTGCAGCTCTCCAACGACCCAGGAGAAGGAGGCACGGACGCGCCTGGCAAATATTCGCTTCTCATTCCCCGCTCTGCCCGATGCGAAGACCGAAGTCGACCCCTTGCGAGCAACATTGATGGGCATGGCAGACCTAGAGCGCATCGTGGTGGTCACAGGCTTTTCGGAGGTTGGCCCGTACGGCAACTCTCGGACTCGCTGGCAGATGGAAGCCACAGGGCGTTTGTCCTTGGAAGGATGCATTGAGATGGCCTGGATTATGGGCCTCATCAAGCACCATGACGGCCCGCTGGACGGGAAACATTTCACCGGCTGGGTGGATGCTAAGACAAAGAAGCCCGTGCAGGACATGGATGTCAAAGCCCGATATGAAGAGCATATTCTCAATCATACGGGAATCCGGCTGGTGGAGCCGGACCTGGATCCTAGCGAACCACCCGGCAAGAGACGTCTCCTGCAAGAGGTCGTGCTTGAAGAGGATCTGCCGCCCTTCGAAGTCTCTCCTGAGGTGGCACAGCAACTCATCCACGAGCATGGGGAGAACCTGGTTGATATCTCACCGCAGGGTGAACAATGTGTTGTCAACCTGAAGAAGGGCGTGGTGCTGATGATCCCCAAGGCTCTGCAGTACCAGCATGCGGTTGCAGGACAGGTTCCTACCGGCTGGGATGCACGCGCCTACGGCATACCGGACGACATTGTCGCCCAGGTTGACCGTGGAACTCTCTTCACCTTGGTCAGCACCATGGAGGCGCTTGTGGCCTCGGGAATCACCGACCCCTACGAGCTATACCAATATATCCATCTCTCCGAGTTCGGCAACTGCATCGGTTCGGGTCTTGGTGGCGTGCACTCGTTGAAGAAGATGTTCCGGGACCGGTACCTGGATAAGGATGTCCAGAAGGACATTCTCCAGGAAACCTTTATTAACACCACGGCTGCCTGGGTTAATATGCTGCTGATCTCCTCCGCTGGCCCCATCCGCACGTCGGTTGGTGCTTGCGCCACTTCGATCGAGTCTTTGGAAACTGGGTTCGAGACCATCGTCACTGGACGTGCCAAAATCTGTCTTGTCGGTGGATACGATGACATGACGCAGGCGGTAGCGGAGGAGTTTGCCAACATGAAAGCCACTACCAACCCCGAGGAAGAGGCCAAGAAGGGCAGGCTTCCTCAGGAGATGTCGCGGCCCGCTGCAGAGAGCCGCAGCGGCTTCGTTGAGTCTCAGGGCAGTGGTGTACAGGTTATCACCTCAGCCCGTTTGGCTCTCGACCTGGGTCTGCCAATTCATGGCATTGTCGCCTGGGTGGGAACTGCGAGTGACAAGACGAGCCGATCGGTGCCGGCACCAGGACAGGGTATCCTGACCAACGCGCGCGAGAAGCCCAACAGTCGGTTCCCATCGCCACTGCTTGACATTCGTTACCGCAAGCGCCGTCTCGAGGCGCGACTGAAGCAAATCCAAGAATCGGTTGACCTCGAGGTACAGATGCTTGAGGAGCAAATGACCCAAGACGGAGAGGCTGCGGAAGAGCTTCAGGAAGAGCTCCAGAACCACAAACGCTTTGTCGAAGGTGAAGCCGAGCGCCAGCGCAAGGAGGCCTTGAACACATTTGGTAATGAATTCTGGAAGAATGAGTCCGCCATTTCTCCCGTTCGGGGTTCTTTGGCCGTTTTCGGTCTGACTATTGGTTCGTCATGCCTCTATCTCTGCATTAACTGTCTAGATATCATGGAACTGACCGCCTACTAGATGATTTGGATTTCGTTTCCTTACATGGCACTAGCACTGTCATGAACGACAAGAACGAAGCCTCAGTGCTCGAAGCCCAAATGCGACACCTCGGCCGCGTACCCGGCAACCCCCTTTACGCTATCTCACAGAAGTATCTTACGGGCCACCCCAAGGGTGCCGCAGGAGCATGGATGCTGAATGGTGGCCTACAAGTGCTGGACACGGGCCTCATTCCCGGCAACCGCAACCTGGACAACGTCGATGGGAAGCTGGAAAACAACGAATACATCCTCTATCCCAACCGCAGCATCCAAACCAAGGGATTGAAGGCATTCTCGGTGACTTCCTTCGGCTTCGGGCAGAAGGGTGCGCAGGCCATCGTGGTGCACCCTCGGTATCTCTACGCTATGCTCGAGGATGGCGAATACCACGCATATCGGACACGCCGTCTGACGAGATATCGGAAGGCATTCCGCTTCTTCCACCATGGGCTGGCCACGAATACCATGTTCGTGGCGAAGACCGAGGCTCCCTATCGACCAGACCAGCAAAATGCGGTGTTATTGGATCCTACGGCGCGAATGCAGTCAAAGGAGTCAACGGAGTCGCCCGAGCCAACAATTGGGGTTTCATTCTAAGCCTCCATATTTTTTTCTTTACTTTTTTCTTCATTTCCTCTACTTTTCTTGGAACCATGCTCATTCCGTGGCAGTGTCCTATCCTTGTAATATGAGCGGTTTTCTTTTTTCTTCTTCTCCTAGAACCAACAGAGCCTCGCTGGGGGGAAGAGCAAATTGGGCACTTCTGTATATACTACCTAGCCAAGTAGTAGTAGACTAGATTGATCGAAAAATTGACCATATCCACTGACTCGCGTCCACAAAAGGTAGCCTAGGACCACGTGACAGCACCAACATTTGGATGCATCCATCATTGGTTCCTAACCTGATAAGCCCTAACAGAGGAACTAAAATCCCTCGCGTTGGATTCCTCTGTTATCTTCGGGGACATATCCCGGTGTACCCCACTGGGATACGGCAGGTTTGAGTCTAAATAGCAACCCTTTGCAGGGGTGCGAATGCTTACGTTGGGGACACTTAATTTTGCATCATACGATTTGTTGCGACAGATAATGCTGGTTTGTCTCTCTGGAGCACTGCCCGACTTTTGTCCTCCTTGTTGACACAAACTGCTCAGAGTATCCTGGGACTTGGCGCCAGGTGAGGCGAAGCCAGCCCTACGATCAGCCCTGTGTAGATAACGTCAAAGATACTGCCAGTAGATATCAACAATGAAGATCAGCTAGAGCGTCCTTCTACAAGAATGTTGTTGCCGTGCATGGTTTTGGAAAGGATGAGTTGAGGTTTGCCCAGAGAACATTAATTATGATTTTGAATCCCTTCTTTTTTTGGTATACGTTTTGTTAGAGGAGAATCGGAAGCATTCGATGAAGCATATGAATTACTAGTACCTCGGATATATTCTTATCCTACAAGGCAAAAGCAATGCGTGATCATTCAGTTCGATCATAGTGAGCAATCTACTCAATTGAATATAGAAAGGATCTTCACGTCTCTCGTTCTCCCAATGGAAATATGCTTACGACAATACTGTACATCCCATGCACGGATGCAAGTTTATGCATGTATTCTTATGCTGGATTGAATGGGATTATGGAACAAGCGTGACAATAGGGTTATCACGATGGGTCCAGCTGCAAGCGGCAATGATTCAGCGCTTGACAAGAAACCGCCATGATTGGAGATTCAGGACATGCAGTGGGGCAACTGAGTCAGTGGGTGTCGTTGAGAATGGCAAATGAAGCTCCTTTCCTACTCTTTGCCACGGACTCTAGGTAAGTATTTCTGGTTGTGGGGTTTGCTACAAGGGACACATGGCCTTGCCGTGGAGGCTAATCACGTCAATCTCTACCTGTCCGATATCTTATGCAGGATATACAGATCTGGGCGGTCTTTAGGCAACCCCCCGGGAAACATACCTGGAAGGCAGCAAATTGATATATTCTTCAAACAGATAGACTATAGACCTATTGAACTTTCGTGAGGGATAGACTACTTATTGATCGACTCAACCGGTGGTCAGTAGACATGAGTATCAGTCAAGCATCGCGCGGCCACGGCGTCGATCCGATATCAAGTCCTTTTGGTTGGCACGAGCAGTTATGAAGGCTTGGCTGGTATAAGCACAAGGAGAGTCCCACTTGCTGGAAATAAGTTTAAGATGCTTTCGTATATCACGTCGGCTCGTGGCTTCCGAACCGATGTTTATAGCCCAAACAGTCTTTTTTTTTTTTCGCCTGCTCTGCTCCTTTATAAACCAGTCACTCGTTTCGTTCCATTTCCTATGTCTACTACCCTCTCAGAGCACGGCCTGTCTTATCGTCCATTAACTGCTTACACCGAGCCCCTGGCTACGTGGATGGCTCGTTCGAATTAAAAGATCTCTCACCTCTATCATGGAATCCGCCGACTATAAAGAGTCGAACGCAAGCGCTACAACAATGACGGAGAAAGGGCCGGGAGATGAACAGCCGGACCTCGAGCAGGGCAAGACGCAGACGGCAGAACCATCTCAACTCTACCCCGAAATGGACCTCGACCGTGGCATTGTGGGATGGGAAGGACAAGACGACCCTGCGAATCCGCTAAACTTCGCCCCCAGCAAAAAATGGGCTCTCCTGGCACTGATTAGCGCATTTACCTTCGTGAGTCCGCTGGCGTCGAGCATGTTCTCCCCAGCCCTCAGCTATATGGCTGCCGACTTCAAAGAAACCGACGAAACGATCCTTTCCTTTACCGTCAGCATCTATCTTCTAGGCTATGTGGTATGTTTGAGTTTGCCTGTCTGAATGCACGATCAAGAGAGATTGCGGCTGACTAGATATGATGCCTCACAGTTCGGTCCGCTAATCCTAGCTCCGCTCAGTGAGATCTACGGACGACGGATCGTACTCAGCATCGCGAACTGGTTCTTCGTCGTCTGGCAAATCGGATGTGCGCTCGCCCCGAATATTGCATCCTTAATTGTGTTTCGGCTCCTCGCAGGAATCGGAGGATCGGCATGCCTCACGTTGGGCGCGGGCGTCATCGCGGATCTCTTTGAGCCCCAGCAACGAGGAAAGGCAACCTCCATCTGGGGCGTGGGACCCTTGATCGGTCCGGTCGCGGGTCCCATCGCCGGAGGCTTTCTCGGTGAAGAAGTCGGCTGGCGGTGGGTGTTTTGGGTGCTGTTGATTGTGGGCGGGGCCATGGCATTGGGAATTGAGATCCTCAATCGGGAAACGTACGCCCCCGTCATCATCCGGCGGAAAACCGCCAAGCTGTCCAAGGAACTGGGGAGAACAGACTTGCGCAGCGCATACGAGCTCAAGAGAGGCCAAGTTTCCACAGGGGAACTGTTGAAGCAAAGTCTGGTGCGGCCTATGTTGCTGTTAGTCAAGTCCCCCATCGTGTTACTGCTGTCGACGTATATGTCCCTCGTCTATGGCCTTCTCTATCTGTTCTTCACAACCATTTCAAGCGTCTTCACGGGGCAGTATGGATTCTCCACCGGCCTGTCGGGATTGGCCTATCTGGGTATCGGTATCGGTTTTATGCTGGGTCTTGTCTTTGTGGCGGGCACGAACGACCGGATCATGGTGAAACTCGCAGCTCGTAATGGAGGCAAGACAGAACCAGAGATGCGACTCCCCCTGATGATCATCTTCTCGTGTATCCTCCCGATCAGCTTCTTCTGGTATGGCTGGACGGCCGACAAGCATGTCCACTGGATTGTACCCATCATTGGAATGGCGCCGTTTGGGATCGGAATGATGGGGGTTTACCTTCCCATCCAGACGTACATCATCGACTCCTATCCCGCCTATGCCGCATCAGCGAACGCAACCTTAACGGCGACGCGATCCCTCGTGGGCGCATTGCTTCCCTTGGCCGGACCGTCCATGTTCGAAGCGCTCGGCCTTGGCTGGGGAAATTCTCTCCTCGGGTTTTTGGCGCTGGCCTTCGTTCCGATCCCTATCGTGTTTACCAAATGGGGCAAGTCCATCAGAGAGAAATATCCGGTCAATTTCGACAAAGTCAGCGCTTGATGTTGGCCTGTTGGTGATGAGCATCACACAGCCGCATCGCACACATTCATATAGACCCCCAAAGTCGGTGGATACATAATAAGCATAGACTTGTATATAGCTGCGATCATTTTCCAAAATAAAATCTTAAAGACCACGATCACTTTTCACCCTGATAAAATTCTTTATCCACAAGCTCATAGGCGATAGCCCCGAGATCAACTCCCGCAAGAAGTTGAGGATATCTTTGCATAAACTCGGGTGTAAGACCCCATCCTGCTTCGCTCATAAATGTTTCGAAAAATTTCTCTTTAATACACAACTCGTTGTCCGAGTTCCGTTCGAGGATGCCCTCCCCCCACGGCCACCGAATCTTGACACAGCACGAGAACAATCCAAAAACGTCGTCGCGAATATCGCGGAGCACATCCCAGTGTCGAATCAGGTTCACTCGGAGTTGCGGCCAGGGTATATTGTCGAGCACCATGGGATGTGTAATCTGGAGCTGGTCTGGAACCGGTCGCAGAAAGAGTGGGAGGTTTGCGTAGGTCGCAGGACTAGGCGATACAACCCATCGCGTAAGATGGTAGCATAGCCAGCCCATGGCTAAGCGTTCAGGGTCACGGATAGGGCGTCTCTGTGTGGCTTTATAAATCATGTCCGCGAGGTAGTTTGTATTTGTGCCGTAGAGGAGGTCTAGTGGAGAGGAGGGGGAGTTGGGGCACAGGGCTATTCGCTCCGGGTATTCCAACCAAGGGCAGGAAATGGTTCGCGGGTCCAAGAAGTTGTCGGCATGCAGAGGGAGTTGTTTCCAGATGAGACTGGTATCCGTCGTCGGGGGTTCTCTGGAAAGTGTCTGTGTGTGAGGGACTTGCTGATGGCTTAGTTCACCACCCAACCGTAATGAGGATGGGTTTGGGTCATCGCGTGGAGTATTATTTCTGCTCGATTGGATCGGATTCGAACTAGAATCAATGTTGTTCATGAGTCCTCCAGGGATTGCGATCGAGCCCGGTAAACTTTGGTCGCGAGGTTCTTGCGTGTTGGTCGGCACCTCAACTGGACTTGCGTCCCAGGAATTGACAAGACACTTTAAACGTTCCTGATGTGATCGCAGGGCTTTATTTTGCTCCCGGAGACCAGTAATTACTTGCAGGAGGCGCTGGATTCCGTGATCGTCGTGGTGTTCCCGACAATGAGCAACTTCTTTCTCGAGCACGGCCATCTGCTGTGAACGCTTGCTACGAAGGTTCTGCTGTGCGCGCCTATCGCGTAGTCGTTTTTTCTCTACTGATGACATTGTCCGTAGCGATCGGGGGGTTGGCCGGTCGGAGGATAAGACGGGGAGGGGAGGCTTAACGGCGAGGGTTTGGTGGGTAAATCAGGGCAGAGAAGCCGGCGAAGGATTCAATAATCCAGCGGCGTTGCAAGCCCTTGAAGTTGAAACCCCACGTTGAGAGAGGACTCTTATACCGCTTGAACGAATATGAAGTCTTCCAAGTTGATTTGGAACTTAAGTTTGTTCGTGAGTAGCTTCAGTTGCTTTCCACT